GCCCCAGCGACCTCAGGAGTAGTAGTAGGTTCACCATACTCAGAGGCCTGGATGGCAGCTTTGAGTTTTGCCCTTGTTTCGGCATCTAAATTTGCCACATTGTTGGTGACGGCCTTGGCCATTCTGTTTGTTGCAACTCCCAACTCTGTATCCTTGACATCCACTTGTCCATCCAACAGCGTCTTGAGCTTCGCCTCTTCCTCATCAGACCACGCGACAACAGGAGGTGGAGAGGGATTTGCATAGTAGGCAGCAATCATGTCAAGTTTCCTTGATGGGATGGGTGAAACTTTCTTCCATTTGAGGAGTGCTTTGAGTTCTTTCGTCACAAAAGACTTCTCAGTTTCTTCGATAAGATTTCCTCTACGAGACAAGATCTCGTTGCTTGTTCTTGAAGTCTTTGAGCCTCCACGCGATTGGCCTTGTCATCTTTCAGCTTCTTGATCACGGCATCTTGTTCGGCGAGTTTTCGAGCTTTGAAGAAATCATCGCTATTCAGGTGATTTCCACCAGTCGCATAGAACATTTGCCCAGCAGTTTTGGCTTTCTTGATCACCAGTTGACGTTCTTTTGTGTTGGCAGTTGTCACCGCTACATAAGTGGATCTTGTTGGTGCATCCTTTCTCATATTCTTTCCCTCCATTCCATAGGAAGTCAGAACGTCGCAGTACATCTTGTTCAGCTCTTCAAGCTGTTTCAAGCGGGCAACTTCTTGCAGTTCCTCAGCTTCTGGTCCGGCTACAGCTGCTGCAGCTCCAATGGGAACTTCATGTCGGACGTTTGCATGGTTAAGGGCTGCTCTTGTTAGAGGCACCGCTCCTACTTTCTTCCAACAGTTCAGGTTGGATTGACAATTGAATGCGTCACTGAAAGCATCTCGGAGGAAGGCATCGGTCTGCGAATCTGTCCCACCGAAGACAAGAAGAGGAAGGTCAGTAATTTGCATGCTAAGGTTCTTGTCGAATCTGGCTTGAGAGAGAACTCTGAGGTTGTCGCGATAGGAGGTCTTGTAGACTCCATAGTTCTGATCAGTTTCCTGTGTGGCGCCAGTTGTGTTTGGGACTCCTGGAACGACATACACTCCCATCAATCGCAGATCGGCAAGCATCTCGATGTTCATTCTTCCAGGTCCACTATCCAGCTTGGCAAGAACTCTTTTACCAGGTACATCCTCACAATCTGGATAAAGCCTCATGACGTTTGTCTTCAGGTACTTGTCAAGCTCAACTGCATTCATTCCTGCTTTCTCATTCATGCCGAAGGTACAAGGAAAGGCTTTCCTTTGGTCATGGCCAAACTTCCCGGTGACATCTTTGCAATGTTCAAACCAATCGATTGACATTCTCTGTCCTTCCGTGGTTTGGGCCATTGTCTTGAGTTGAAAGTGAGGCGGAAGGGGATCACCAGCAGAAGTGCTCCCACAAATAATTGTGCAGGAATAGCCGCTCTTGTTGACTGCTGTGGCGCCACCTTGGATCTCAGGTGAGTAGAAAGTTATTGGAGGTCTTCCCCCTCTTTGTCCTGTTGTGTCATCAAGCGATCCATCTGTTTACAACGGGACCTCTCTTCAGAGGTGACACACCAATCAATCCTTGTCTTACATATCTGGCTGCTGTTTTCGCTGTTATGTTGCTCTTCAACCTTTTGTTGGTGGTATCCACAATCTCTTTGATGGTCCTCTTTTGTGGATCTCCCTTTGGCAACTGTTGGTTCCTGTGAATTAGCGTTGTTGCTGCTTTCATTGCACTCTTATCCCTTTGGGAAAGCTGAATTTGTCTTGCATTCACTCTTTGCAATTCCTTGCTAGTGCGTCTTGATGACTTGGTATCCTCTGTTTGCTGGCTACTCTCATCCAAGATAGACTCAAGAGGCGACACTTCTGATTGAGGATTGGTTGTTCCTAACAAAGGAGGACTTGTTGTTGTTGTTCCGGTCAAACTGGATGCCTGAGAAGAACCTTCTGCAACACTCACACTCTTTGGCGGATTAGCAGCGGCATCGGTACCCAGCGGGCCACCAACAGAGACGACTACTTTGGCTGATGTGCGTCGGACCTTTTGGTAGTTGGTCATGTTGTTTCTTTGTGGAGTCGAGAAGCCAACCATTTTCATGGCCTCTTTCACTCTGATGGCTCCTTTGCTGATGGAAACAAGGGCTGCAGCCCTGTCGATCTTGCTCTGTTTCCTCTCAGGCTCGTTCATACTACTATTAAAGAAGACGATGCAACAGTGTTGTCCCTGAAAGGTAAGCCACAAGTCAACCAATCGGCACTTTTACAACAGCATGTCGATTTTCGGAGAAGTGACATGGCATCCTTACACACCTCCGTTGTCAATTTCTACAGCTACGAAAGGCGAAAAGTCCATTACAAAGGTTGATCAGCTATCTTCATTACTATCACTAACGTTTCCGGTTACTGGTTGGATGGTGCTACTAGTTGCATAACAGTCAAAAGGTACGCCATGGTCGACTTTTCTGTGTTACAGAAAAACTTTTAAATTTTCGTTGGCTCATAACCGTCCTTATTCTAGTACAAAGTGTACAAGATGGACAAGCCGGGTATCTCTGCAACACTTGCGGTACTTCTGGCAAGATGCATTGGAAACAAATAAAGGCCACACCTACCCCGGCACAATTAAAAAAGCTGAAAACTACTACAGTACTAGTAGTATAGGATCCATCACAATGGCTGGTTGGAAGACATGCCGGATTTGCCTGAAGCACCCACGGAACAGCCCAAGTACAACAAGAAGTACCATGGACTATTCGTCAAATTCATGAACTATCTACACCCGTCCAAGTCTTACACCAAGTCCGCTCGTTTCAAACCCAGTGCTTTGGTCGGCATCCAACCACTCCATGTTGCCAACTACTTGAAAGTGCGTGCATATGGTACGACCCACGTTGACTTCAAAGATCTTGAGCAGAATCCAACTTGCCAGTCGTTATTGTTCGTTGAGGAAGGCCCCACATCAGTACCGGTAGCAATAGTAGAGGAGGGAGAGGACGTTGAGCCCTCTTTCTCTTTGTGTTTCTTCGGAGCAAAGAAGCGGGTGATACTAGCTAGTAGATAGCATGGTCTCTGTCGGGCGGACAATGGACAATGCTGTGGGATCCATTTTTTGGCGGCAAGTTTTGGGCGCCAAGAGTGCGGCAAGCCTGAAGCGTAGGCATTTCGTGGAACTATTTTCGGCGTGGTCCGAATCACTTCACTCCGTGGAAAGATCCCGCCAAGCAACAACAGGCTCCACGAAAACGCTACGAGTAGACTAGATCTACCAGTGCGAAAACCAACTCGACCCACTCGGAACGCACCAGCCAGCCATATCCAACCGTGAGGGTCCCCACGATAGGCAAGCAGGATTGGATGGATTGTCCTTTACGATTAGTCTAGCTACGTACTAGCAACTGATGAATAAAAGGGTACTAAAAGCCATAAGAAGCAAAAGCAATAGAAGATCAAGAAGAACGCTTTGACCAAACAAGCAGGATTGGCTTTCTACTGAGTACTACCTGGTAGCTAAACTCATTAGGAGCGAAGCATTATTGTCGCGACAGTACGAAGGATGTCGAAGACGGGTCCTCCCAACTCATCAAATCGGAGCCGAGATAAACGCACTGTTCAAGAAATTGGTTGCCTTCCACCTTCCACCACAATCGTGACAGTAGTTGACCTCAATAATCAATCTATGAGCTCTCATGACATATTATGATTATCATCTACTAGAGTTGTGGTTTTGTGGTTTTCTCGACTACGCTGACCACCGACCACGAAGGGGCCTATTGATCAATTCCCACTTTGAACTTTCACACGGATCTTCAACTTCAGACACACATTTGTACATAGGGAAGAAAGCTTTTCGTTGACTTGGATGAACAGATCGTAGTAACAAGAGCCCAGAGCCTTGCAGCCCTTCCGCCCTTCCTACATTTATGGGTAGATCAAGAGCCTTTGGTCCAAGCATACAGTACGAAGTACGAAGGCTACCCACTCCCGCCAGCCGCCAGCAAGCAGCATCTTAGATCCAAGCATTGCCTTCCGGCTACATGTTCAAGAGCGGGAAGGCTGGGGGCTTATTAGTGGGGTGTTTTGGGTTGGATAATATGCCCTCAAGAGGTAACTTACTTTGATATCAGTTGGTACAGCCAGCTAGTACCGTACTCCTACTCCTAGACTTCCTGTTGATCATCAATAGATCATCGACTGGACTCAGACTCATCCACTTTCATCGATCCACCCGTTGCGCTGCAGTTTGCAGTCCCCATGATGTTTGCAACCACAAGCCACTGTCACAAGCATCTCACTGGCCCATTTTCTACGGTGGTCAAGTACATACATACATGTACCTGTAAAGTGTGAGCCAAGTTCTTTTTCAGCTGATTTTGCAGTTGAAGTAAGAAACACCAATTCAGCCAAGACTATGAGAGTCCAGACTCCTTTTTTGGTAGATTTGCTTTGTTGGTGTCTGACTGTGTCTGACTACATTTATGAAATTTGTGAATTTTCTGGATTTTGACATCGAGTCCACCACATCAGTTTCCGTTTCTGTAGTCCGTACTTTGTCTCAATGAATGCTCTTGAAATTCAGACACTTGTGGATTCTATGAAGGGAGACTCCTCTAATATTCATTCGCGTTTTTGTTTGTCAATTTCTTATGCTCTTCAACTTCGATGTACAGTACAAGTTGGATAAAAGCTTCGTAGGTTTTCACGTTAAAATTTGGTAGTACACATCTCCTCCAAAACCGTATTTTGTTCTGACTTTCCAGAAGAATGTTCCAGGTACCTTACCGGGATTTAGAGTTCTTTCTTTTGCTTGAACTTTATTTACTTTCTACAGGCCTACTTCACCTCAATTCCCCCGTGTTTACAGAGCTTTTACAGTGATTTCACAAGCAACTTACCAACGTCGCTCATAGCTAATCCCGCCGTCCGCGAGGATGGGAGCCAGCGACGCCGCATCTAAAACCAATATTCGAAAAAACGATTTGCTCTTGGGCATCTCATCATTACCGCCAACGATTCTTTCTCATCGCAGTGAATTAGCCACCCCAGTGTCGTTCAACAGACCCACCAAAATTTGTCCAGTCTTCCTGTTTGTCATTGGAGCCTTGCCTGGAGCCTGGATCGTTGACACCTTGGCTGAGGGTTTTTCGGAGGTGTTGGGGCTCACAATTTCGATCAGCGTTCTGGAATTCGCCAGTCTAGCATTCTCCATAATACCTCATCACTCATCACATACATTCCTTCTTTTTCTAGTCTCTCCGGCACTATGCTCCAAATGGATTTCCCCACTACCCTCTCTAACAGCCGTCTTCACATGACAGCACCAGCACAGGCTGCCAACAGTGCCAATGCTGGGCAGCAGCAAATTCCGTTCAACCAACAACACGGGGCAGGATACACTCATCAGCTTGCCACAACTGAACGAATCGATCCTTGTGCTTTGCTCAATACATTTGGTAGCAAGAAGGCAAAGAAGCTGCTACCTCCCGACTTCCGACCCAGCAATTACACAGTCTTAGTAGGTCGAACACGTGAATGCCAAGAGCACGCTGGAAACAGACGTCTAAGGGCCATCGTCAATGCTCACTTGCAGCAGTACAACGAAGCCCCTGATAAGCTTGAAAAGACTGCGATTGTGACAGAAGTGTACAATCAGGTGCGAGCGGCAACAGCGATTGGGCACTTTGTCAAACTAGAAAAGGGAAGGTTCTACGAAGTGGGGGAACGTACAGCTCGCGAACGAATCGGGGCCATGTTCAGAGATAGCCTGAGTTGCAAGTATAAGTCAAGTGCCAAGAACAAGGTCGCAGCGAGGATGGTGAAGAAGTCCAGTAGGACCAGTCAAGACAGCAATGGCAGCATGCGCATGGCAGCTAACGCCGTCCAACAGTACTGGGAAGACCACTCCAGCAGTGCAACCACTGAATCGGGGCCGGCATTCGAGGACTTCTCAAATATTTTCGATTGAAGGGGCCACTACGGTACAGCAACGCCAGCTTCAATGCGCATTACCACTAAACCCTGTCTAATACGTTAACGAATTGCATCTTCTTTTAATAAAACTTCTCAGTTCTGGTAACCAAAGCGAAGAGCCCATCTTGCTCTTGCTACAGTAGAATCGGAAACCAAACCTAATACCGAGAACCGGTACCGGTAGCACCCCGGCGGCTGCTCAACAGGTCGAAAGTAGCGCTGTTCTAGACGCCGGATCTGCGACTTCTATTAGAACAGTACCGGTACTGCGGCTGCCAGCTGCTGTGGTTACACTTCCAGCGCCTGGGTCGTGTGAATTTGGAACGCACCAGGAAGCCCATCAACCACCAACAGCCAGATAGCTTGTCATACATGTAGGCGTAGTACCACTGGCTAGTGGTACACATTTACCATCATCAGATTCGATTCTACAAGCCACAAGCACATGTAGACCAAAAAGTACGAAGTACAAGCAGTAGGCAGCGAAGAAGGTGTGGAGGGAAGGATTGAGTCTGGATCTATGATCACTATGATGGCGCACCACTGGATCATTCAGGTGGACCGGTACGACCGTGCCCATGCGAACAAAATGAATGTTGTGATCCTTTTGTTCCAGACTTGTTCTTGGACAGTGGTCTTTGGACTGCTAGCTAGTATGCACCACTAGCTAAAGTTCTCGTTGCAACAAATAGATCTAAGTGGAGCATGCTCTAAGCTAAAGTACAACTACATCAGACATCAGATGCACGCTGAGATGAATTGTTAGACTAGGCTGTATCTAATTTATTTATCTTGAGTGCAACCAACTTGTCCCGCTTTTGGGTTGCGAATGTTGTTGCGATGCGACAGTTTGGGCATCCCCCGCCGCGGATGGTCGTGACCGTTCAGAAGCTTTTCATTGAAACACTGACGGAAAGTAGCAATCATCGAGTAGCTGTGCGACCTTTAAAACCCCTTTGCATTTTTGGGAGGTGCAGAAATGCATCATGCATCATTCCCCTTTCCAATCTATTATCATACCTCGAGTGCCAGCGCAGTCGACTGAATTGGTTTGCTTTTGATCGTTTCGAACTGAGTTGGGGTTCAATGGTCGTGATGGTTGCGGCAGAATTTGTTCGGGGGCTGCTTTTGGAGCCCAGCACGACGGCAACGAGACCATCCGCCTGGCCAAGCCCAAACCAACGGCAATCGTGAACGTCTTGGCATTCAGTACACCCACGTTACTGTAAGCAGCAGAAGAACGAAATTATCCCGACTGCTCGTACGTTTAATGAATGGGAGATCTGATTGTGTATCTATGCATAGTAGTCTAAAATTGGGAGCCTTGCATTCGATCCCAGTGTTGGGCGTCCACGGGCCCTGCGTTTTGGTTGTTCGTTTTCAAAATAAGAATGAACCACCGGTACGGCACGGTTCGTTTAATTCCATGAGACGTTCGACATGGGAACAGTGTACTCCTAGTATCTTTAATCTCTTGTACCGGTACCAGTACCAGGAGCAAGGATCTTTCTTCTTGATTTTGAAGGAAGCAAACCACCATCCAAAAAGAATGAAGAAGAATGAAATCCTTGCTTTGTAGAACCGTTAGAGCATTCAATACCGGGGTCATACCCGTTCTTATCGCATGGCACCAATTTACCACTGAGTTTATAATGTACATGTCCTATAAGACTAACTTTTGGTAAGACGTATATACACGCGCCATCCTACTCAATGTTAACGGCGATTAACGTCAAACGAGAACCATATATTTAACAAAGCTCTGCGATGCTGGAACCGCAGTCTCAAATTGATGACCACGTGCCACTCTGTGAACCGCATTCATCGCATTTTGCGTGACAGGTTTCTTTCAACACGTCATCTACGACAGAAAGCCTTGCGTCACGACGATGCAAGATGCACCTTTTCTGCTCGATAAGAACGGGTATCACCCATAGCACAAAACCCAAATGGTCGGTGGCTTGACATACTCGCAGCAAGGCTATGCTTGCTCGCGAAAGAGAACCTCAACGCTCGTATTGTGATGTTAGAATGATGTCATTGATGATATGGCAATTCTTCTCCTTAAGTAAATTTGAATCCAATCCAGGCTTTAAAGCCTGTGTTCTTTGGAACACTGGCTTCTTAGTCCCCAAAAGAAACAAATATAAAATTACTTAGCTTTCTGGAAAAGATTAACTTTTTAGTTGTAAAGCTCCTTTACCGGGAGGTGGAGAGGAAGCTGACAACGACTTTTCTTGTGACGAACAGTCTGTGAGGCTGGTACCAATACGCACAGATGCAACTCATCGCCACTCTCATGGAACCGTTGTCTTTTCACCGTTTCTGGGCATGTTCACAGACCATTATGGAGCTTTGGCCTTAATGTACATTCTAGCCGCCTTCGGGTCATCTGGTATTGCTTGACCATGATAGCATCTGTAACTGAGGCTCACCAACTCTTGTATGTGGCATTTGCTCTCTCCAGTCTAACGTTTGTTGCAACTACCCAAATCATTATACAAACTGGATTGGTCATGCCAAGCAAGGGACAGTAGCGTGTCATTGCATTTCTCAATGCCTTGATCGAGGATGCAGGTACAATATTATACCTAATTCTCTACGCGATATTCAAGGCAGCTGGAGCCAGTTTGGTCCAAGTCATGGGAGGCTACTTGGGTTTGTCCATCTTCTGCTTTGGAGGTGCTATCTTGTTTTGGCATGCACTGCCCCGATCCTCTGAAGAAATAGTGGCTCATCAAAATACCGGTACATGTGCGGCTGCAGGCCCTACTACTAGTGCCGTGGAACATGCAGAAAAAGTCCATGTTGGGAATGATCCCGGTACAGATGGGGATGGTCAACCAATGAAACGCGGGTCTATTCTTGCCAGACAGAAGACAGCACTTGATTCCTTCCGCAAGCAACGGTCAAGGTCCTCCTCAAGTCAACCTTTCAACTCGAAGCCTTGTCAGAAACAGAAACGAAACAATCATTCTTCAAGGAGGAGTTGTTTTTTGATATGGTTGTCTCCTGCTGCTGCTAATGCATATCCATACGTGACTGATGCCCATAATCAATTCATTTTGCTATTATGCTGTATCATAGGTTCTCTCTAGCTAGCTAGATATAGGTAGTAACAGCCGTGTACTCATCTCCAAACCTGCGGAGTACTAAATACTGGATCTACCCGTGCCCTCCCTTAGGCTTTCGGTTTGAAAGCCCGAACAAAGTTCGTACCGAGGTGGACAGGGTTCCCACCGGATAGATCAGTCAGCTGTGCGGTCTTTAATAAAAAACGCCTACCGTTGTTTTTGACCGTTGGCAACTCATGAGCTCTCGAACTGGGCAACCTGCGCACCCTTCTCTCTTCTCGCTTCTCTCTTCATCACTCCGCTTCCTTATTCATCACTCGCTGTGAGGTTCTTTGTTGTCTCTGTGTACTCGTATGTATTTGTCGTCCATCATCTTGGTAAGAAGATGCAAGTGCTTCAGGATGTCGTCCTACATGTGTACGAGTTGCAGGCCCCCGCTGACCAGCAGCAACAGCAACAATCATCTGGTCTGCGAGCTCTGAGTTTCTTCTCCCAAATGCTCCCATCGATGGGGTACGGCGCCTACCACACAAGCCTGGAGGTGATGGACGATCGGTACACGTTTGCGGCGAATGCTGGCATTGTCAAGACACGCTCTAGCAACGAAGCTGTTCCTCCTGGAGCCCTTTACAAGGAAGCCATTCCTTTGGGAGCCTGTTGTGTTCGAAGTCGCGGAGAACTCCACGAAATTGTCACCAAATTGAGAGCCGTGTTTGCACCCAACGCCTATCATCTCGTCCATAGGTGAGTGAGTGAATAGTCGCTTTCCATGCTGTTGCAAGCGGTCTTTTTGTAAGGCGCCTCATGATTATTGCTTTCTCTTGTCTATAAAGGAACTGCAACCATTTTACGGAAACCTTTGCCACGGCGATTATTCTCCAAGATGCACTGGCAGAGCCAGGAAATCACCACAGACTGAAGACCTACCCGGATTGGATCAATCGATTAGCCAACACTTCTAAAATGGTCGTGTCGCATGATGAGGACATTGTGCCTTGTAATGTTCTAGTGGAGGCACGAAATGCAGTCGGAGCCAATGAAAAAGTGGGCTGGGAATTCTCCAGCAAGGCATCCACCAGCAGCAAGAGAAACAGTATTAATAGCACTGCAAAATCATCCAAGAAGGAGCTGACGGAAAAACAAAAGGCTGCACTGGCAAAGATACGGAACAAAAGCTAGCTAGTCACATTCGGTAGTTGTGGGCGGAACCTAATATCAACATTGACTTACTGAATGTGTTTTTTTTTTGGTATTGTTGAGCCAAGAAAGACACTGGAGCCAGCTGTATATCTCACAAGGGAGGCATCGGCTTTGTGAGTAAGCTGCCAGTGTTAAAGGGTCGATTACGATAGGAAATGATGACAATCAAAGGCGACGGCCAATTACCTGGTACATGTACAAAGTTACAATGTACATGTGTACCGGTACAGCCGTAGGATGGCCTGGTGTTGTGAGTCGAGGATTAGTTAGAAAACGATAGAAATGCTACGCTACGTCGGTGGATGGTGGATTTGTTTGTTGATATAGTCCTTCCGAGGTGGCTACAACTACCTGGTAGTAGGACTGTGTGGTCTTGACTATTTATTAGGCTCCTTTTTTATTGTTTTGGTATTTTATTATAATGTAGTCCAGCATGTGCCAGAACTCATGGATTGTTGTTCAAAGTTGGGGGAGTGGTTGTTCTTCGGGTCAAAGCTGGCTACATCAAGGTACACTGTAGGGTAGTATGTATTGGCAGATTGTCACCAAGCCCGCAACCACTGTCTCAACACTTTCATTTTCTTACGCATTGCGGGCAATGCTGATGGTCTCGCGGTGCTCGGTAAAGACTGGCTTTCCATCTTCTCCCCCCTTGACCATATCTTCACGAATTTCAATTCTGGTCTTGGTGGCATCATCTGGGTCTGGTCCAAGGACGTGCACCTTGACTTCTCGCTTGACAGCAATTCCCAGGGACGTCTGCTTTTCGCTGAGTGTACGAATCAATTCGTTGCCATGGCTGTCTTTGGCTTCGGGGGCAGGAGGACAGTTCAGCATGGTCTCTCCGTCGTCCAAGATCAGCTTGTCCATTTTGTGAACATCATGAATCACACCATCAATATTTTCCTTCAGAAACTTGACAATTTCTTCAAAATCAGCCAAGTCCATTTCGTGGTGCACATTGACCAGTTTCATAAAGGTCGCACTGACCGAATGGTTGGCAACACCGGCATCAATCACTTGGGGCATTTTGGATTTTTGTTTGTATTAGACTACTAGATCTAGTAGTTTGGTTGGTTGCTATTGCTTGTTTTTTGTCTTTCAAATCAAGAAAGGTTGTTTTTGTGAGCTTCCTCACTCCTTGGAGAACGGCTGTGGAGGGGTTCGCAAGAGCAAGAACCGTGCTGGGTTCCATGGCTTCGCATCGCCCAAGGTGTTCTCATAACTGTTCTCGTCCACAATTTGGGTCAACTGTGCGTGGTTCAGATCACAAAGATACGGAGGCCCAAAAGAGGGTACCCAAGCGTCCGGCTACCGGTAGCTAGGGAGATTGGAGTTGAGTCTCCCACATCCCCATCCACAGTGATCTCATGCAGGAAGCAGGAAGCAGGAAAGAGACGGCAACGAATCTCGAACTACAACGCCTGGATGTGTTTGGGATTGTCGGTCGAGTCTGGTACACTTTTGGAAATTGCAGTGGCCATCATGGTATTCCCGTACTTTTTTCTGTTCCACTCTTTCTAGAACGTGTGTGGCAGAGGAAGCTGACATGTGTTTCACTTGGATTCATTCTTGATCTTGCTCTTGGGTGTGTGTTCACAACTACTACGGGCTGTGTTATAGATACAGTGAAGTGATTTATTTCGATCGCCGCATTGAACACGAGGGTTTGACAAAAGCAACCCCATCAGCACTGTCAAGACCTTCGGGACACGACACTGCCGCCTATGCAACAGGGAGCGACTCGAGATACTGAAACGATCCAGAGAATCGCCGGAAAAGCTGATCAACTCCTGCAACGAAATATACGGAGCATGCCGACATAAACCATGATTTCATAAGTACCACAATAGCCCAAGCACTGATGATTCCCATGGGGGATGAAAAAGTCAAACAACCGAAAAGTTACCACAGAGTAAAGCCTGTGTTTTGGCGATTCGGCAGTTTGTGAGTAAACTTACTTAGTTCAGTCACTTTTTGCTAAAATCGTATGACAAAAGCTACCTGATTCGATTCTTGAAAGGCTAAGAAGCTGGATCGTTGCCGTTGCTCTCTCCAACAGCAATTGCGCAAAGTTCTAGCTAATGCTACATGTACGTTACTGGTATCGCTACCACCGCCGCTGCGGTTCGACATTTATTTCAACGACTGCATGAACGTTTTCATGTTTCCGATTTTGGCATCAACTCTACTCTCCAACGGCAAAATGCAAACGAACGACACCCACCGTATACAGCGTACACCAACGTGCTCGGGCGAAAGACTCACTCAACTGAATTGTATTATGCAGATTGCAGATGTTCAATGATTCCCTTGCCATCAACCAGTTCCTGAGCCATGAATCCTGCAGCAGCAAGCATTGCCAACCTGCCGTTCTTTGTATATAAAAGGAGCAAATAGAGTTGATAGTGAAACAAATAAATGGTGAGATTCCCTGGCAGACTACCGGTAAATATGCAACACATTCGTGGCTTGAATTCTTACCTGAAGTTCTTTAGTCTGCATCATTTCAAATTCCACTGGTTCTGTTGGCTTCAATCCGAGAGGATCCCACGCAAGATCTCCAGGTATATAGTCTTCTCGAAGGAGGCCAGGTTGGTCCGCTGGTACATCAACTGGTTCAACCCATCCTCTTCTTGCTCTGTACAGCTCAGCATTGGTGATTGCAATGACCAATGCAGTCCAAAATGGTGTAGGTGTTTGTTCCAGATGTGTGATGGCTGGCCCGCTCACAGAAGCATCAAAGAGAAATGAAGATCCCTCCACTTGTTCTCCAACCAGAAAACCCACACTGACAAGCATTGCCACCCGCCCATGGGTTATCTCTGCTTCTCTGTATCTTTTGAGAGTGTTTGCATCAGCCTTTGCGGCAAAACCAAGGGGATCAAAGAAGCCCAAAGGTGCCACAGCACCTGGCAGAGATTCTGGGGTGAATGCTGCTACCGTCTGAAAGATGGGAGCGATATAAAGCGCAATGATGGTAAGCCTCATAGTGGTTAGCCTGGTTTTCCTCTCTGGATGTCCGTCCGCCAGTGAGTTTCTATCAGTATGGGTTGAATATTTTGCGATCGTTGCGATGAGCTACTGAATGGATGGTCATGTACCATGACATACTTTGGTCTTCGTCACTGATCGGTCGTCCTTGTTGTCGTCGCAGATTTGGGTGATCCAGATCAACGGACAGCAGCCTCTTGCTATGAACGATGAACGTCAGACCGGTAACACCAACGCTACAGCTCTTTCTTGGGCTCCGACGAAAGAGCCGCCCTCAGAAGGGTTCCGTCAAACCCTTCTGATGACGCTACGATACTAACCAGCTACTAGCTAGCTAGCTAGTCGGTAGGATTACACAAGCCGCCATCACAGATGAACGTCAGAATAATGGTACCACCCGATAACACCGGACGCTTGTCTCTATGAAAGAGCTGTGAAACGCGCCTCATCATACTAGCCAGCAAGTGTAAGAAGGGTTCCGTGAAACTATTCTGATGACGATGAGTGATGTGTTCGGAAGCCACCCTCCTGAACACGTCATCCACTGAGTCACTCGACCTAACAAATCCAGAAACAAATATTCTCACATTTCCAACTCACAAACCACAAAAAAAAGATCCAACAACCAACAACATCAAAATGAAGTCTGCCATTGCTTTCCTTGCCCTCATTGCTGGTTCCGCCACTGCTTTCACACCAGAGACTCTCCCTGGTGCTCTTGCCCCCATGGGATTCTTTGATCCTCTTGGATTTGCTGCCAAGGCTGATGTCAACACCCTCAAAAGGTACCGTGAAGCAGAGCTCACTCATGGCCGTGTTGCCATGCTTGCCACTGTCGGATTCCTTGTTGGAGAAAAGGTTGAAGGGACCTCTTTCCTCTGGGATGCCTCTGTGACTGGACCTGCTATTACCCACCTTGAACAGGTACCTCCCCTCTTCTGGGCCTTGTTGGTTACTGGAATTGGTGCTGCTGAACAACAGCGTGCTGAAATTGGCTGGGTCGATCCTGCTGATGTCCCTGTTGACCAACCTGGTCTTCTCCGTGATGACTACACCCCTGGTGACATTGGATTTGACCCCCTTGGTTTGAAGCCAACTGATCCAGCAGAGTATGAAATCATGCAGACCAAGGAATTGCAGGTTAGTGTGGAGAAGACCACTTGTGGCGTCTTGATTTTGTACTTGATTGTGATCTCACCTTCACTGTTTCTTCTCTCAGAATGGACGCTTGGCTATGCTTGCTGCATCTGGATTCATGGCCCAGGAGTTGGCTGATGGGAAGGGAATCCTTGAACACCTTGGATACTAAATTTGAGAACTTGATAGAAGATGAGATAGATAAAGAGTGACTAGAACAGAGAAAGATATGATACATTGACTGTTGACTACTGGTAGTACCGTATCGTACCGGTAGCTAGATGGGTTCATGGCAATAGTGCAGGTGAAATCTGCAGCAGCGCAGAAGAGCTCTGGTCTCGGCAAAGTACCGGTAGTGGTAATTGGAGCAAGAAATGGGTGGGCCGGACCAGTGCTCCCAGTGCTGTGTGGTCACTGAGGAGAGCTGTGCTGGTGGGAACATAGGAGCACAGGCAACCTACCGGTGTATGCCATAGACTGACGACAGAAAAAGTCTGGAAAAGAGAGAGAGAGACGAAGTGCTCGATAGAGATGAAGCCTCCCGTAGGGCAGTTCGAAGCAACAGGCCACCTGTGCTGGGCCTTGAATGAGCCAGTTGAATAATATATTAATGTTATGCTATATGCAAGTCTCTCGGCTTTCGCAGAAAGTGCAGGGCATATGAGACCTATCAACAAAATCCGTCGCGACTTTTATTTCTTGCCCTTCTTCTTCTTGCTGTTCCTCTTCTTCTTCTTTTCTTCAGCTTCTTCATCCGCCTCGATCTGGCTCGCCATTGCCGCCGCAGCCTGTTCCTCTTTACGTTTCTTCTCATCTTCCACCATCCGGTTGCCTTGTTCGACCGCTGCCTTCATGAAATTCTTTAATGTCGCGTCGCTTGCCTTTGTCAGGTTGTGGTCTTCGCCGAACATGAGCGAAAAAGTCTGGAATGCCTTCTTCTCAGTCTGAACTGCCAATTTCAATTGTCCGATCGCAGCCAAGATCATGGAGGTGCTTCTCATAATCATTCCTTCGTGCAAACGATCACTGACAACACGAGCACCAGCTTCTTGGTAGAAGCGAAGAGCAGTCAACACGTTGCCTGCTCCTTGGTAGAGCGATCCCAACTTGTGGTACACGTTGGAATGCTCGACATAATGTGGCCCGCCAAGGACCTCCATGAGATAGAGTGCGGCGCGGAGATGTTTGACACCAAGATCAACTTGCTGAGAGGCCAAGAGCATCTGGAACAACAGCAGATGGGCACTGATTGTGTCGAATGAGTCGAAACCAGCGACTTGTACAAGGAGCCCAAGCCCTTTCAATGCACTGTTGGCGGCAAGAGCTGGCTCGCCGGCTTCAAAGAGGATTGTTGCCATTAGATCCATACACCTTACGACTCCAGGGTGAGCTGGTGTGTCAGTGACTCTTTGATACAAAGATGCTGCTTCCTGTGCCAGATCCAACGCAGGTGACAATGATCGTGCATTGCAATGCAGGTGGGCAGCTTCCAAGGTTGTCCTCGCGTCCGCCAGCGAGATGTGAAGCGACGGGAGTCCGATTGAGCTTCCCAATGCGCATGGGACAAAGCCTTCCACGTGAGCGGCAGCGTGTTTCATCAGCGGAACAATGTCAACAACATCAGTTGGCTCGATTGGGTAAGAGGCAGTCAAACGGCCGCCAGAAGAATTGCCACCACTGCAGAGACATTTTCCCCCCACGTCGTAGTTTTTGGCTACCAATCTCACACCAGTTCTCTGACAAACTCGTCGAAGCAGTGGTATGTAGGCGGCACGTGAGTCCTTTCCCGCCGGGTTGTACAGCGTCAGAGTGTAACGGAAGCGACGACCAACTTCGCGCTCAATGTCTGTCCACACTTCCGACCTTGTTCGGATCGACCCTGGCACAGCGTCTCCATTTCCTCCAGTGTCACAAAGAGTAAGGGCGTTGAAGTCATCTTCGTCAGGGCCGCCCTTCTTCTTCCCCATTCTCGTTTCGGTCTGTGCAGCAGTTTCCTCTGACTCCGACACTAGAGCACTTAGGAAGGACGCAATCGTCTGCGAAGGTTGTGCCGCTGCGGATCCGCCGTTTTCTGTGAGATAACACTCCAGCACGTGCTTGGCCGCGCGGGCGACCATCTCGCATTCAAGGAGCTCCAGCCAATACAAAGGCATCTTGCGACGACCCAGCCTGAGGACATTACCATTCTTAATCTCAACCTCCAATTTTTTGTCCACTTCTTCTTCCTGTTGCGCGAGCATTGCCAGTCGACCAATGTATCGACAGTTGATTCCATGTTGATGGAGCATTTCCGTCAAGCTCCTGCCGTCGGGTGGAATCTGCTGGTGAGGACCACCGGCATCACGAATGTCCGCTGTAAGACGAGGCAATACTTGCTCCCACAGCAAAAGGGCAGCTTCCCGAGCGATCTGTTCATCGGCTTTCGACTCTTCTGCAAGCTTCTCATCGACGGCATCCATAGATTGCACATCAGGCAAGAAAACGTTGATATTCATGCGGAAGGTCTTCAGATGTTCAACTTCTTCATCGGTAAGTTTCCGTGGTTCAACCCTTTTCTCTTTCGGCTTTTCTTCCTTAGCCTTTTCGTCCGCTTTTGTGTCCTTTGCATCTGTCTCGCCATTATCACCTTCCGAAGGTTTCTTCTCATCGGGCTTGGCAGGATCGGCTATTTCTTCCTCCTCTGTTTCCTTGCTGGCTCCATCTTTCTCCTCTGCTTCGCTCTTCTCTTTTTCTGTAATGCTCTTAAGCCACTGTTCTCGTCGAATCTTGACAAATCGAGAAACAAGTTCGGGTCTAAGCACTGCCAGCGTCCACTCGTCGTCATCCACACTGACAGGTATGGAGCTCGCAGCTTTACCCCCACTTTTCTCCAGCAATTCTTCCCACATGCCAGTTCCTCCCTTCTCCTTCGGGACCCAGTTGGCATCGCGAGGCGACAATCGGGAAATATCCAACAAATACTTGCGCTGGTCGCTGCCGCGGATTCCCTTGGCTTCCAACGGAGCACATGAGAGGATAGTGGGGCCAGCGACCTCAGTTTCGCTCTCAGAGGCCTTTTCTTGCTGTGATGGCATGCTCATGTATGCCGGGAGGGTGCTCTTAATTTTCTTAATCTCTTCCAATCGTTCCGGAACCAGTGGCTGCCTTGGAACCATGCGAGATGCAACCTGCAGTGTTTTCCCCACTGTATTCTCGAGGGCTTTGTGCATTTCCTCGTCGTATTTGAGCTCGCATCCAGCCTCTACCGCACCGTAAAGAAGTGTGTGCGTCTTGTCGCCACTCAAGATTCCTGGCAAAATGCTCTGACAGACAAATCGGGTACCCAAGTAGTCGATGAGGACGGTGGCCAAAGTATGCAGTTCAGTTGTATCCATGCGGTGCAGAGTGCCGATGCACTGGATATCCCGAGATGCTGACTTTCGCGCCGCATTGTCACCCTTTGCAATTTTGAAAGTTTCCACACCGGCATCAACTGCACGGGAAAAGAAAATGTTGTTGTGCAAAAACACCTGCGAACGTGCGCCCTCATTTGGATTCATGGCCGAAATTTGTCCCTCCACGATAGCTTTCACACCCAAAACAGACGCCTCTCCAAAGTCGGTCAGCACTTTGTGGATGATTCTGCGGAAAAAAAGAAAAAGAAAAAACACTGCCCAGGTTAGAAAATGTGTTTTATCTATAACAAAAATACTCCACCACCCATCGGCCTTACCTTGCACGTTCAATGCGTTCTTGCAATGTGGAAGTTGGCATCTCACGGGCACTCTGCAGTTCCTCGTTCCAATCTCGGACAGCCCCACCACGAATATCCACTCCGAAGGTACTGCAAAGGTCGTCTTCTGTGCGATTGAGGTTGTGGGTGTGGTGTGAATAATGCTTCCAGTCACTGCCGGCTGCTTTTGACGATCGAGGTTTTGGCGTCGGAATCAACCACGATGGAGTCTGCAAGAGGGCATCAATGCCAGTGGCGGCGCTGGCTGTAGCAGGATTCTTGTAGCCATCAAAATCCCCTCGGACCGCAACTCGAAACAGGGAAGAGAAAGGACCGTCCTTGTTGGTAGCATTCATGTATTCCGCGCGTTCCTTGGACGCTGCAACTGCCTTTGTCCATAAACCTGCGAATTTTGTTGATTTTTTCAAGATGCAATCCAAGAGCTCATGGCTGAAGCATGGATTTTCAAGGACTGGTGCAGGATCGAAGGAAGCCCTGGTACTCTTATTGACATAGAATCCTGTCGTACAAGCAGTGATGTAAATGGTGGGTTCTTGGTCCACGATGATTTCGAGGTACGCCAAGTCTCCCATCAATTTTCGGTGTGATGGCGGTGGGTGAAAGCCGCTGAAGCGGATGTTGCAAGGGACCCGTGTAGTTTCTTCCAAAGCATTCATGCGAGGAATGGTGGTACGCATGACTTCTTCCACAGGGATGTCTTCATCGTCTTCGGACGAAGTCTGTCCATTCTTTGGCTGAGGCGACTTATTTCGGTTCTTTCCCTTTTTCCTTGATTTGCTGTTGGGCGATGCTGTTACACCACCATTCTCAGGTTTGGGCGATTTGGGGGGTGGGAGGTCTCCATGGTATAGACTGGGGTCTTCTCCACATGCCAAGTAAAAGAAGTCTTTCAAGTTTTTGCCATCCACACTGACTGGTTTGTTAAGATCATACACAGGCAGTTTAGCGGCAGCTTTCAGAGCTGCCTCTTGTTCTTTTTTTTTGAGTTCCTTGGCTTTGTCCACTTCGACATCTTTTTTGGCTTCAGGGCTGGAATCCGTCGCGACAGCAGCAGGATCTTCCGCCTCTGCAGTTGGTGTTGCCGTTGGGTTTTCTTTGTTTGCTTCCGCAGAGGAATCCTCTTTTTCAGTGTTGTTGCTGGGAGCATCGTCGACAAAAGAGGTGACGGTGGGAGCATTGCCATCCAATAACGACCGCAACCTGGCGACATGATCTCTGACGGACGCTGCGTCATATTTTTCGAGGACAATGCGAAATGCCGATCCGTCTTTCAATCCATCTTCCAAAAGCAGTGTCAAGTCTCCAAAATCATCGAGTACCACAGTGTCGTCCTTTTTCTTGTCCTTCGGCTTATCGTCGGTACCGGTACTGGGCAAAATGAAACTAGTGTGGTCGTTGCGAGAATTGACAGCGGCAACCGAGACGACTGCGTTCATTCCAGTGTATACTGAAGCTTCCAAAGTTTCGTCATTTTTGTTTTTGTTGCTGTTGGCCTTTGCTTGTTTCGCCACCAGTGTTTTCCGTTCCAAGCCCAAAGCTTGCGGAACCAGCTGCAAACGATAGTTGGTCAAATGCGCATAGCCGCAAACTTCACTCAAAGCCGTTCGAAGCGACGACACGGGTTCCTCACTGCGAATAGGAGGCAATGGGACAGAAGCCATCAGTTCTTGCTCACTTGGTTTGGCAGAAGCAGCTGATTTGTTCAGAGGCGGAAGAATTAGCAAATCCTTCAAAATCACACTTGAATCCGTGGCACCAGCAGCTGCTGCTTCAATGTCCTCCTTGGTCACAGTGGGACCTTCATCCACCTTCTTCTCGGTCTTTACTGTCTCCATAGTCGGCGAAGACTCGGCAACAGTAGAGTCCACCATGGTTGATCTTTTTGACACTACTACTGGTACTTTCTCACACACAAATGAATGGGAATTAATTCTCAATCTTTCTCGCTGCGTTTTCTTTCAAGAAACTATTATTGTGGAAACAAGACAAAAAGCCACCCTTTCTGCAATTTGCTCTTGGCTTTTGCACTCGCAGCCTTTTCCTTCAAGGTTGGCACTTGTAGGAATTTGTGTCTTCTTTGGCTCGTCTTCTCTGCAGTTGCAAAGTCTCAACGTGCATGCAAGTGATGAGAATGCTGTGGACCCGACCTGTGGTTGGTTGCGGATCGTTGGATCCGTCGAAGATCGCAACGGTCCTGCCGACGCGCACTCATTCAATTCGACGTAAGAATCGCGTTCGCATCGGCGTTGCTGCCGCCCATTCTTCAATTCATCGCAAAGAAAACCGATGGTGATCGGTTCTCTTGGAGGGCAACAGCTGGCAATGAGAATAGAAAGCGCTCATAACCTATCAATGTTAGTTCCGCAACGATGGAAGGAGAGAGGCAACAAGGAGAGGAGCACAAGAGCACAGCTACAGGGTTGATCTTCAGCTCTCTAAATACTAGCTAGCTAGCAACTTGTTGTACTGACTGACAAGTCCAGGCTACCGGTAGCTACCTACAAGAACATGTAGCCAGCCAGATTTGCATCAGCAGCGCATTCAAAAGGTTGTGCCTGTTTCAAGGCTATGAATCCTATTTGTATTCGTTTACATCATGCACTATCCCCCCTACAAACAGAGGAATGAGCCATCGATGACAGTGTATTGTTGATTTCAAGTAGGGATCGTTGTATGCTTTGTCAATGTCTCTTGCTTTCCCCCTGCTCCTGCCCTTGGTACCGATGCTTTCAAACAAGCTCACTCCCTTGTTTCATACTGGCCAGCTTGCTTGCTGACTGTGGTCGAAAGTTGTTGCCGTAGGCCTACAAACTCGCTAATATCGTCGGTAGACACCCCCAAAGCCAATCCAGGCGAGCAGTGTCTTGGCAAAAAAACTGAGCACAATAAAGGCTCTCTCCCCCGCAGCATAATCTTTTGAAACAGCAAAGGAGAAGGAACAAAAACAGCTCAAATCAATCAGAATTTGTGCTCTTTGTCACCATAACAACACTGCATCCAGCCAACACAGCTACCGGTACACAAAACTCACCATGGAAGGGAGGGACTTTGGCCCACTGCAGGTGAAACACCAATGCAAAGGAACTGTCAAGCAGGAACATGACAATCATGATCGTCCAAATGAAATCAGGCTGGGAGCCGCTGCGGACCCTCATGGCAAAATAGTTGAAGATGATCATCCAGCTGACTCCTTGGGATACCCAAGCCAAGTGGTAGCACCTCCAGTTTTGTTGACGGTCTTCAGAACGTGCCTTGGCATTGAAGACTTCATGGGCAGCCCCCAACTGCATGGTAAGTGCTGACAGAACAAAGGTAACCAAAAGGAGGTGAACATCCGTGATCCCGGCGAATTGAGCAACCATGACTCTCATCAAGGAGGCTGAAAAGGTATATTCTGTCCAACGAAAGGGGTTTTGATTCCTGGCAACATAGTAGTGATACCTGTCACTGAAGACAAGGCAACACATGTGTTCCATCCCAGCCATGCTGATGAAGATGGGTGAATACCACAGAATGGAGAAGTAGGCAACTTCCTGCGGATCAGGATTCTTTGGTGGCTGGCTCAGGGCATCATCCTCGGGCTCTGCATAGTTGGTAAACCAGCGCCATTTGGTGTCCGACTTGGAAGCAAAATAGAAGAGGATTGCTATGCCGGGCGTCAAAAGGGCGACGAGACAGTGAGAATGGCGGCGAGATGTTGGGACGTAGCACGTAGCACCCACTTCGATTCCTTTTGCCAGTGTTTACCTGCTTGACCAAAATGAAAGACCGAAGCTCTCAGCGAATACCGATTCAATGACTGAGGGACCTCATTCAACTCCTGAATATTCAAGAACGCCTTTTCTTCCTCCGTCGCCATTCCCTGGTTACGCGACTTGTGTACGATCCTCTCCTCTTCATCTCCTGGGTGAGCTTCAGGGCATGAACCGCTACGGTCGGACATGGTGCCAAGGTTTGTGAATAGCTTGTGGAAAGAAAACTGCTAGTATGCCGATCGATGTTGAGGCGAGAGAAATGAGCTTGTGTTGTGGCAGAGGGAAGAGAATCGAATCTGGAATTTGATACCGTAAGCAAGGGAAAAAATGAGAATAGACCATCAGTCATCATCCAATTGAAAAGGATGACCTGACACTTTCTTTAGGCAGAGCACACTGGCACTTAACGAATGGCTCAAATCGACTCTAACGTTTTACGAAGGTCCACTGACGCACCATTCTTTGATTAGAGACGGTCGATTTTTGGATTTCTTATGTTAAACGTGTCAAACAAAGAACTCTGATGACTTTTGTTCAATAACAACGCACAGCCCCAGTCAAAAAAGGCTTCAATAATTCAGGACCCACATTTGCTCGTTCTTGACTCCACTAGTTAGCTAGCTAGCTAGTAGTATTATCTACGTACCTACAGAAGTACATGTTGCTGGGATGATGATATCTCCACTACCTGCAGCCAGGCAGCTGGTGGCTGCCTTGGGAGAGCTGGAATGCTAGAACGAGCACCGAGACGAACTGAGTTTGGGGCGGTGTCTGGGATTGTACCGAACGGGCGGGCAACAAATGCGCAGCCTTCAAATAGTATATGATGGAAGAAAAGCAGAATTTGCTTTTCGCCTCTGCTTAATAAAGGCCAAGTCAGTGCAGCAAGGTGTGTGAAGTGCCAGAAGCGGAGGTCCCTCGAGTGCTATCCTTGATTGTGTGCAGCCGCCCCACTTTTTTTTTGCATTGAGAGATCGACCAGTCCTTCGTTATCATTCTTCTTGACAAGATCAGCTATCCAAAAGGTGCAGCACAGGTATTGGAGGCTTGCCCCGCGAACCTAAAATTAATGTAGGAACCAACCCTAGATGGTGTCCGAGAAAGGTTTCTACATGTAACATACATGCAGCATTTATTGTGGCGTATTCCGGTAGTATATTTAGAGTGCATAAATAATCATGTATAAGGTCCTTGCGGCAAGTAAGCAGGCATCCAACAGCCAACAGTCAAATGAGGACACCTGAACAAGGATCATGTAAAACGTCAACCCGCGTAGCAGTCACGATCCTGGTTTCTCACCAGTGCTTAGCGTGCAGCAAATGAAATTATCCCTCGCCTAGAGTGGTACCCTTTCATCGAGAAAGCACGGTTTTCTGCGCAGTGCATGCATTAGTATCGTCGATAGACTCCACCAAATGCAATCCAAGCCAATAGTGTTTTGGAAAAGAAACTTAGCACAATAAAAGCACGTTCCCCGGCAACGTAGTCTGCATGACATAACAAGAAGTATGAATACAATGAACAAAACCATTAGAGAAGACAAGGCACAAAAAAAAAGGAGTGTTGCTTTGACTTCGGGTGTTGCCTGCTTACCATCAAAGGGAGGGATTTGTGCCCACTGAAGTGTGAAGATAACAGCAAAAGAGCTGTTTAAGAGGAACATGACAATCATAATGACCCAGATGAAGTCAGGTTGAGAACCTCCCTTGACACGCATGCCAAAATAGTTGAAAATCAGGAACCAGGTGGTCAGCTCAGCAAACCAAGAAAGGTAGAAGCAGCGCCAGTTCTGAGGATGTCCGTCGGCTCGAGCTTTGGCATTGAAGATTTCATGAGACGCTCCCAACTGTATCACCAAAGCAGTGAGAACAAATATCAGCAACAGCAGGTGGATATCCGTGACCCCAGCAAACTGAGCAATCATGACTCTCATCAAGGAGGCAGAGAAGGAGTATTCGGTCCATCGGAAGGGGTTTTGGTTCCTGGCAATGTAGTAGAGGTACGAGTCTCGAAAGTACAAGCAGCAAAAGTGCTCAATGCCAGACAGGGTGATGAAAATGGGGGAGTACCACAAGATGGAGAATCCACACACTTCTTGAGACTGCGGTTGTCGAGGAGGTTGGGACAACGCATCCTCCTCGGGTGCTGCATAATTCGTAAACCAGTACCAAGTTGAGTTTGACTGGGATGCAAAGTAGTAAAGAACAGATGCCTGGCAAAACTGGAAGATACATGCCCGCAAGGAGTACTTGCCCAGCGCCTCTGGCACGGGGTTGAGGTTTTGGATTTCCAGCAACTGGCGCTCGGCCTCCTTCAATTTCTCTGGCGTCGTGTGGATAACGATTGTGTCGTCTGGGTGCCCTTCAGGGGAAGAGTCCACTTCGAGGTTGTCCATGGTCGGTTCAGTAAACTTTTTGATAAGACGAAGTGGTTTTGTGGCTCAGCTTTTTGAGAGATGTGAGATGAGGGAGGGGTTTGTGTTTGGTGTTTGGTGGGAGGAGAGACGAGATTAAAAGAGGAATTATTCTAAAGTTGGGGTGTTCGTACACTGTTCGTACTGTAATGCCTCTATGGGCTACTATTAATTAATAGTAGCCCAAGGTCAATTAATGACTTTTTTGTTGAGGTAAAGTAATGACGTGGTCCTGCCTCCTCGTATGTCACTCTAGATCTTTCCGGCCAGCCGGGCAGTACATACACTGTACCTTGCGGCTTCCGGGTTGTGGCTACTGGTATGATAGAGCTCTGGTAGCTAAATGTATTGCCCTCGAAGGGCCTCGAACGAAGAGCAACTTCTCAACTTCTACATGGAATTCTTGTTGTTCTTTTAATTGCCCGTGCAGCTGTGTGTTGACATGTTGACATTCATGTTCGCCAAGAGTCGACCATAACAAACCTGCTTCTCACTTTCCGGTCTGTCGGAAGGTTTCTGGAAAGCCGGAACTCTAGGAGTAAACTGGAGTCGACTCGTCACACCCACTTCCGCAAACAAAAAAGAGAAAAAGCTTTTATGTTTGAAAATTAGCTTCCTTTATTTGGAATTGCAATTTTCGTGCTCTACTTGTAGCGTACCGTAATTAGACTACGCTGTAGCCAGAACTTGAGAGCTGGGCAACATCGGATTATCTGCTTGATCATTATTCCAACATTATTTTCCTACATTTTGATATTTTTGGGGAACTGCATGCAATAATTCCGTCTGAAGCAATTGCCTTGCTGCATTCGTGCATTCCATGTCCAGTCGCTACCGGTACTGTTTATAATGTAAAACATCGTGGAAGAAGCTGTACTCAAACGGTACATGTAAACATACATCCAGTGGATGATGGTTGAGCCACGGTAGCTGCTACGTTACTGCATGGTTGTTGCTTCCGCTAAACCGCATTCTTTACACAGGGACTGCAGAATGCGAACAGTCATTTTGAAAATCAGCTCTTAATCAGCTCTTACTCCCACGACTGGCTCTTAATCAGCTCCAAAAATATGATCTGGCTTCAAACAAGCTCCTATTTTAATTAGGAGCTGGTTAGGATCTGATTTTGAAAACAGCTCCTAACCAGCTCCTATTTTTCAAAAACCAGCTCATAAATTTTGAAACCAGCTCCTATTTTTCAAAAACCAGCTCCTAAAACTACTAGTAAAGTACTAGCGATCAGCTCCTGAAGATTTGAAATCAGCTCCTAAATTTTGAAACAAGCCCTTAAAATTTCAAAATCAGCTACTATTTCAAAAAGCTCTAAACCAGCTCCAAAATTTTGGAGCTGATTTCAAAATGAGCTCCTAATCAGTTCCTAATTCTGCGAATCAGCTCCTAATCGCTCTAATCAGCTCCTAATTAATGGTCGCGAGAAACAAGATTCAAACAGTCATTCTGGATTCCCCAGGAAACAGGGCCTCAAGTTTGCTTCCGGTTTCGATTGCCGCTACCGGTACGGGCTCCCACGTTACCGTATTGGTTATTGGGGGGTCTATTGCTGGGGCTGTCTGCAGGCTGCGGGCATTTGGGCTGGAGGGGGCTGTAGGCTGTGGACAGGGGCAACTGAAACCCATTGAACCGCTGTTAAAATTACATGGTTTATGCGAACAGGGCATGCTCGAGGCAGCTTAAAGTGCCGCCACTGCCGCCAAGACACAACCGATGCGAGTGAACCTCGCAGATGCAAAATAAATATGCAAAACTGTGTAAAGCACTCGCCTGGAGCTTGGATGCAAGTGAAACCTTACATCACACTGTCTGCCAGCCTTGTAAAAAGAGTGACAGTCGTCGCAGCCAACTATCGTCCGAGCGCTTTCCCGAGTACTACTACATGTACTACATGTATGTCGCCTTTCCTTGTCGCAACAGCCAAGCAACTGTCTTCAAGGCGCCTTTGATGTCCAGGCCATAATTCCTGAGATCAAACTTACTGCTTCTTAATTAATCGATTGACATAATTCCTGCTCATCTCATCTCAGCCATGCAGTGCCGATCCAATTATGAAGTTTTACTACCCAGCTTGCTGGCTAGCACTTCTTCCTTCCGCCTTCCAGCCAACAATGTCATGATAACTTGTCTGTTGGGTATCTCAATGACAAAGAACAATAGTTACTAGTAGCTAGAAAACTGAAAATTTTCTTTTCTTCTATCTAGACTCTACTCCTTCTTGGCTGATTTCTGGCCATTTGGGGGGTCTTGACCTCTGAAGTTGGGTGCATACGCTGCAACTTGAATGGTCAATCCTGTGGCTTGGTTGGGGGTCAATGTAGTCTAGCTATTTCTGAGGTCTGCTAGCGGTCCATGTTGTCGGTTGTTTAGCTAACCATCGAAATGACAGTTTTGCTGGTTTTAAAAACCAGTTCAGCCGGCTTGAATGGTCTTGCATTCTCTTAAAAAATGGAACGAGTGGTACTACTCTACGTGAGTCTACTACCTCTACCTGGTACCAGGTATCTAGCTAGTACACACGCGTACACTCCTCCCTTGATATTTTAAAGATGTCTCTAAGTTCACCTGAACCCTGAAGGCATCTTAGCAAAACTCAACTCTTCTCAGCATTTTGTTAAAATTCAGAGTCCAAAGGCAACATCTTAGCTTTCTTGCCATTTCTATTGACCATACTAGTAGTATGGTACATACCAACCTTGCTACTCTGCTTTCCACCTTGCCGAACAAACCCTAGGAGAAGAGAGGAAAGAGCAATGTATCATCTGCTGGAGACGAAATTTTTTACTTTTGGTACCTGTTTTTTTAAAAGGCATTTTGTTGTAGAAAAGTGTCATTGTATCATCTCTCAATCTCTTATGTGCCCAAGGGAGAGTGCTTACTGGCTATTTTAGCTCTAGTGCAGATCTGAGTGTCTCAAGCATCTTAACATTTTAGCAAATCTCAGTACTTGACATCTTATCTCCGACTCTCTTAATTAATATCAAGGGAGGAGTGTATTCGTAACACGGTAGATGTTTACATCATGTGCCTATGGCACTCACAAAGCAAATCGTTCGCACGCTGTACATGTAGCTGTCCTCGACCATACTCGAGGGAAGGGCTCTATTATTAGCTAGTCTACTAGCTAGAGAGAATGTACAGCAACAGCCGATCATGACTACTAGCTAGCTAGTTAGCTAGTGGCTAGTACGAGTACAATTATCTTGTATGCTCTTTTGCACAAGCTAAGTGTGAAGATGGAAGAAGAGGATTATATATATTTAGATGATGTGTTGTTGTGATGTAAAATGTGTTGAAAACTTCCAGGTTGCCTGCTGTCCAAAACATGGGAGACGCCAGCCATCTACTATTAATAGCTAGTCTAGTTAGGAGAAGGTAGCTATGCCACCACTCCTCCATATTTCAGAATGGCAAGTTTCCACATGGCAAACCCTGCGAACTGAAACCCGATGAAAGCAGTCCAGCTGAACAAGGCGAGTGGAGTGCGTGGACTAAAGACAAAATAGAAATGTACCCCAAGGCGGTCAAGAACGAACAGATAGAGGGCGAGGTACTGCAACATCATTGCCAGTGCCATGCAAAAGTCCATCTGGTTGAGTTCTCGTGCTGGAGTGCCCCAGACCCCGTTGATGAAAGCCAAAGGAAGGTTTGCCATGTGTAGTTGTGAGAGCAAGAATCCGAAATTGAACTTGTAAAAATCTCTTTTCCTGTTTGGGTTTTTCATAGTGATGGCAATGGCAGGAAAGAGTATGAAGTTCCACACTAGAAAGGTGATGGCTGTCTGAAGGAGCATGGGGAACCTCAAGTGTTCATTGATGACAGCCAGTTCTGGAACAAAGGGCGCCAATGCGGAGAGTCCATGGCGGAGAGTGATGAGTGTCCAACTCTGGAGAGTGTAGGAAAGCCCAGCACTCCATCCCATGGGAGTCTTGAGTGATTTGTATGCAATGTAGAGTGTCCATGCAAATCCAGTAGCATTGTACCACCATTGCCAGGTATTGGTTCCATAGGTGCTGTGGTAGTCAGTTTCAGGCACCGTGGGAGGATGAAGGTAACATTGGATGCACTCGAATAGGACCCAAGCAACGGCCACCACTAGATAGAGACGACAAGCCAGTTTCCAAGGACCGACACGGAAAGCAGCTGGCACGTTGTCGAAGTATCCCTGGTAGGAACCATTCTCTACCAACACCCAAGGCTTGCTGAGATCGAACAGATCCGACAACTCCAAAAAGTTGAGAGAAGGAGCAAAGCTCTTGTCGTAGGAAACATCTTTCATCGCAGCCGTGCCGGTTTCTTCATCCCCGGCCTTGAGGGGCAACATTGGTTTACACATGATGAAAAATTTTATTAATAGAATGGATTGATGGTGATGGTGATGATGCCGACGAGTAACGAGTTTGTGGAGTGACAGTCAAGTCAAGTCAAGTCAAGTCAAGTCTCCCAGGAGAAAAAATTATGAGAGAACAATGGAATGGAATTGCAATTTGGCGTGATGTCCATCAACCTTGCCAGGAGGCAGTTGTCAATGCTATGACAACAACGTACTCAGTACTATTCTTGTGTTGATGGTTGAGTCTTGAAGGCTTGAAGGTACACCTCCTGGTGGCAGCAGCACGTCTATCTCCGCGTCTTGCGCAGACACTAACTGTCTACTGAGTATTAGTAGTTTGTAGCTTCCGGCGGACGTCAGGTTCAACGTCCACCTCATCGGCGATGATTTCGGCTGACGATTATTAGTGTCAGAAGCAGTCAAAAAGCGGGGTGTCATCGGATAGTTTGATGGGCTTTCCAATTTCCTTCTGGCACTCAGACTCACTCAGTAAAGCGGCATTCATATTCATCGAGCTAGCTTGATCTTCCAATGAGGTTGTGTCATTTTGTTCGAATTCTGACTCTTGACAGATCCTGTCAGCTCGTTATTACCACGGGGCACAGTGCTCCGTTAAAAACTAGCCGTTGCTTTCCGATGACGTTGCATTGCATCCGACCTGCGTAATCATTCTTGCGACCACCCAATCTTGCTTTTGACGTTTGATTGATGAATGAATCAATGATCGTTGGTGTGTGTTGTGGTTGAAGGTGGACGCTGAACTAATGATACATGTACCGGAACCCAGCCAAAGCTACTACTGGTACAGTACTGAGTAGCTAGCTCGGTCCCATTCGTTACCCAGTGGCAACTTGTAACCGAGAGCTTCCAGCATGAAGAGACAGGCGCGAAGGCCCCTCCTTGCAATTGTTCCTGTTGTCAGAATAAAGGGAGCTGCCGCCCTCCTCCTGTTGCTGTTGACAGTTCTTCCAGCTTTTGCGTTTCTCGCTGATGTTCCCGCAAGTCCAACATCCAATCGGCTTTTGTCGTGGAATCTCCACCTAAGCCTAAATCTACTAAAAGATGATGATCATGATGATGAAGGTCTCTCCAAAACTCAAAAGCAACAACCGTCCGTCATTGTTGCTGGCAAAATTATAGTGGATGAGTACGGTGATCCCACCAAAGACAAGATAAAAAATAACACATCACCCAGCACTACTGTGGGTGGAGGAGGACCTCAAGCCGCCGTGGGAGCTGCATTGGCATTGGCAGCCCTTGCTCTGAAGAAAAATCCTGAAGGTGCTTCATCGTCTCATTTTCCGCCCCGACAACCCGTCAAGTTGTTGGCGCCAGTCGGTGATTTGGATTTTACATCAGTGGAAGAAATGGCGCTACTGGAAACCCTCGACAATGCTCTACAAGAACCTCCTCTATTTTTACGTGGACAAGATCTCATCACGCCAAGAATTCGACTATGACACGATGACCATCAAAATTTGCAGTGGTATGCCGTGAACAACTCCTTTGGAGACACGGGAGCTGCTGGATTGTGGGGACAATTGCCAACTGTACAGGATTACTTGGCTGTCATCAGACAACAACAAGACCAACAAACAGAAAAATCAGAAAAATCAAATCACTCGCCCAAACCCATTCTTTTTATCATTGTGGAAGGTGGCAAAGAAGCACCAGGGAAAAATGGAGATTCCAGTCCACTGCTGAATCCAGGGCTGCGCCAGGAAATTTCCTTTTTGGGAGTGGAGCCCATTCTATTTCCAAATGATGAGGGAGTATTTAGTGAGCAAGATGCCTCTCATTGCGCCTCTCTTATACAACAAGTTTTGAATGCAGCACCATCAGGAATAATTGAGGGACCGTCCGTCGTTGTCTCTCCTGACATGGCCGCCTTCTTGGCTCTGCAGGGCTGTTCTGTTCCTCCACAGTCGCAAAAATTAGACTCCTGGGCAGTTCGTAATGGACCCAAGGGATGCCAAATACATTGTCAAAAAAATGATGACTCCAATACTACTACAATTCAACAATTTCCTGCAGCCACACTTATCCCACTGGAGCTGGAAATTCTTTTGGTGCTGCATACACGGCCCTGAGAGGGTCGGGATGTGATATGCAAGAGAGTGCTGGCTTGGCCAGTGGCGTCGGGGCAGTTTTTTGTGAATATCAGCATTGTCCACCCTATACCTGGGAGGTGGTGCAACGCGTCCTTCAAGCAAGTCAAGAAGTTGAGACCAAAGCAGCAGAGAGCAAACAGGGCGTCACTGACAAACAGGGACAGCGTTGATGGGAGTGAGTCGATAGGCAACCGGTTTGTTGCAAAGAGACATGCAGTTGTTTTATTACACAGATCAGGTTTTTGAAGTGGGTGAAGCAACCTCTGAGAACTCTGCTGACGATTTTCAAATAATTTGGCTGATGGATCATGATCGTGCCCAAAGCTAACAGTTCTGCTGAACGGGCCCCTCACAAAACGAGAAAGCAACCAATTCCAAAGGCATAGCTCCTGCAGCATCAGCATGACGCATGTTCGTACATCATGGATGGATGGATCGGATCGAACCATTCGATTTTCATTGAAGCCTACCGTACAACAGTCTATACCGGTTGTGCTACCCAAACAACCCTTCTGAAGCCAGCAATCATCCATACTTCAAGACAGACCAAGATTGACAAGAATGGGCACTACCTACTACATGTAGGCAAATAATGGACCTAAGTACGCGGCCACGGCTGGTTCTGCTATGACGTGGGTTGAAAGTAAACTCTAGTACTCTTGATGCAAGTGTAAATATGTAGCAGTAATGCGTCGTATGTTGATGCATTCACTGTGTCTTTTGTCACCTTTCGTGTGTGATGCTCTTAGTGTAGCAGTTCAAAGATATCGTCTGATATAGCTTCTCGCAAGCAAGGCTGCAGATATCCTCCCTTCACAAAGTCGAAATCACTCACACGGTTCACCTTGTCGATTGCGATGCACTGTCCTGTCGGGAGATACTTCGCGACACGGAGTTGATAAGTGTTGAGGTAGTATATGAACAAGATTGTGAACCCAAGCAATGGTGTCATGAAGGGGATACCAAAGAAACTCCTCTTCAAAACCAAGAACCCAACAAGAGTCAGCTGGGCTACAATCATACATGCCTGCAATATATGAAAAAAGCCAATCCAGTGCTTGCCTCCGCTATCGGGAGTCTGTGCAGCAGGGACAAACACTTCTTTTGTTAGATTCAGTGGATGTGCGAAGGAACAAGCAGAACAATGAGCAAAGAAGCTTACCGGTGGATAATTATGCATGAATTGATATCGGTATCCGCTTTCCATCAAGAGGAACATGCCAAACAGGAAAAAGCTTGAAATCGGGGCCAAGCAGGCATAGACGAAGAAGACCATGAAGTAGAGCACAACACTACCAGAGACGTTGGCATGCTCAAACTCCCGTGGGTCCTCCAGGGGTGAAAGGAATTTCCATCTCTTGGTCCGCTCCTCTTCCGTTAAGTTCGGCCCCACGAATCTCCTCACAAACGCTAATGCCAAAGGAGCAACTCGAAGCAGCTCCAAACCCATTGTGACTGCCATTGCCACTACCAAGATCTGTAAGAAGTAGTTGGACTACGAAAGCAGACAAGCGAAAGATGTGAGAGGAGCCAATCGTCGGAATGCCTCCCGCTTTTTCGTAGGGTACCGTGTCTACCCCGGAATACTACGCGCCAGAGGACATCAACTGGATTACCCACCTGTGCAGGAAGCGCATTGGCCAGGAAATCAATGAATTGATCTGGCTCATTCAACATGTTGGCTAATTCGGCAGAGATACTACCAGCCATGGCTGAAATAAAGAAGGTCTGAACCAACTGTGACAGTGCCGATGCAACGCACGGTGAGTATCCACGGACAAGCTCCTCTGTTTGCACACATCCCTAGCCAGTGATCCACGTACCACAAAGCTCGCGTACTTCAAAAAGACTGCAGCTTCCATGGCTGAACGGGATACGTGCCCTTCCCATGTGGCAAACCACATCAGAAACACTGGTAGGGCCACATCCTGAAGGATAAGGAGCAAAAGTGGCGCAATCAAAGCCAACATTCCTTCCAACCCTGGATGTTTTTCGAGGGACTCTGCCAAGGATGGAATTTGCTCCTTCAAGGAGTTTACCTCAGTGAGAGCAGAGACAAAGGACACTGGCACTGTCCAAAACAAGCACAGAGCCACCGTCGCGGCAAGACTCAGCAGTCGACCTGTACGTTGTGCACTGCCGGGTAAACCCACGTTGCGCCAGTATATCTCTTCTGGACCAGGAGCCTCTTCCACTACCATACTACCAGCTTCGTTATGATGAAGCATTTGCAATGCAGCTTGTGTACTGTACAAGTCTTTAAACACCACAAATCCAGCTTCCAAGGGTTTGCCTTCCCCGTGGGCCATGACCATTGGCACCACAGCGGCTGCCGACGCTCGGATCGTATAAATGTTTGCGACTCCCAACTCTGCGGCTTGCCACACGGCTTTGTTGGCTTCCTTGACTCCGAATTCGCCAACCTTTTGAATGTTGGTGATCCCAAAGTCTCCTGCAACAGCAGCTACTTTGAGGGATTGTTTCGTGACCTCGCCAACTCCTGAGCCTACGTTGGCCACGGTCTTCCCGACGCCTCCACTCAACTTGTGGACTCCCTTGCTGACTATTCTCAAGGCATTGCTTGACTTGGACTGTCCCAAGCTGTCACCACTGCCTCCTGGCTGGCTGTCTTCTTGTTCTCCGTCCTCTTCGCTGTCGTATTGCTCGCCATTCATCCTTACCAGCGTACGTATTGCGCTATAGGCCTCTTCGTTTCTACCAGAACTTGCTGTATCGTTGGATGGCACTTGTAAAATCTCGATGGACTTGACATTGTTTTTCTTCTCATGACGGTTGCTGTAATTCCAGAACCTGCTAGAACGTTTCTTCTTTGTGTTGTCGAACGTACCAGGCACAGTGGTGATCGTGCTCCTAGATGGAAATGTGTTGTCGGCCATTTCCGGTCGAGACGACGGTGAGGTCGGCCTTTCGTGGCGATAGTAACCGTCCAGGTCCATCTCCTCTTCGGATGCTTCGGACAAGGTATCCGAATAAAGGCTATTGCTCGATGTTTGAATGGTGACTCTGCGGAGGGGGTCATCATCACTGGATCCGCTGTGTTGCCGCCCCTGTTGATCCAATAGCATCTGTCGCTCTTCCCGTCCGCGTGGAGAAAGACTTCCAAGAAAGAATGCCTCTGCCGCCCTGGAGAATCTATCGTCACTTCTACCTCTTTGCTGGTACTTTGAGTTTGTCGCTTCCAGCTCTTCAGAAGGCACGTGAAAGATCTCCTCTTCCTCTCCGTGAAAACTGTGCACTCTTTCACGATTTGCCACATTCTGAGCTCTTTCAGCATTGCGGAGCTCTTCGATTTCACCAATGACTTGTTCTCGGTGTTGTTCTAGGGTGTAAGGATCATTGGACCGTTCGATGTTCTGAAATGCCAATGCAATATCCTTGGTGAGTTGTCTCAATTTGGTTTCCAGTGTGTCAATGGAATCGTAAGTAGCCACCAATCCGTTGGAATGGTTCTGTAGACTGCTCCTCTTGGCGCCACTTCCCTTCGTCTTCATGTTTGGTAGATTGACGCGTCGCAATACTTTTCGTTCTCCATATATCTCTTCGAATGCTTGGGCATGTTTGAGGCGCGCTGAAAAATACTCCCTTTGAGCCACTAGACCTTCCAGTTCGGGACAGGCCATAGTGACATGAGCTTCCAGTACCGAGGAGGTAGCACCGGATTGTCGAAAGAACTCTGCAAGCCGGGCATCACGTCGTAGCTCCTCAGGAATGCCCGACACGTAGACAGCATAGTTGCGGGGTCTTCTTTGGCTGACGAATTTATGTCGCATTTCAATGAACCACTGCAGCTCTCTCTTCATGAGCCACATGGCATATCCAAAGACAGTGTATGCGCAAACTATGGTCGCCAGAAACCTCGGTGATCCAATTGGCAGATGAGCCGTGCTGATCAAGACCAGAGGATCGGTGAGATACCAGGTCTCATCAGAGTCCTCCGCGGTAGCATACACAGGTATCAGCCAAAGTGCGTGAATGCAGCCGACCAGTGCCAACCGCCTGCCTAGTTTTAGCACTCTAATGAAACATAGAGCGTCTAGGCCACACTGTTCTAGGATGTCGTCTTCTTCCACTTCAAAAACCTTCCACATCCAATTGACAAGGCCATAGTCGGACTCCATTGCGATCTTACATTGTAGCCCCGGAACCCAACTTCTGATGTTGAAAAGCTTATTGTAGCGTAAGCGCAACACGCAAAAGAGCGCCATACCAATCAGGTATATGATTCCGTAGACTTGAATGGTATTGATGAGGACGGCTGTATCCGTAGACTCAATCAAGCCAACACTGGTGTCTGTTGCATTTGGAGGTGGAGGCCATGTCGGTTGCACTGAAGGTGCAGGACTTGGATATTCGGAAGGACCGTCATCTTGGAGGATAAGAAACGTGGGGCCTGCCGAAAAGAAGTCCACTTCATCATTGATCGACTCATTGAAGCCAGTGCCATTTATGGCGTGGTTGGAATGGGAAGCATTATAGACATCGTCGAGAGGATAGAAAAATTCTGGATCGTCCAAGTTGGAGGTGTTCATCAGAAGAAGGTCTGCGTCGATAAAAGACTGGTCCATGGTTGTTGATTGTTGATTGTTGATTGTTGAGGGAGCTGTTGAGGGTATCCGACATCAAACTATAGTCTGAGTTTGTTTGTTTGCATCGGTCTTGGTCCAACGGCTCTAGTAACGCCACCTCTCCCGCCTTGGCATTACGAGCTAGCTAGCCAGCTACTTTGTTAGTGTACTAATATGGCTTCGACCTTGCTTTTGATGGGGCTACAAGCTAGCTAGTAGCCAGAGATCGAAGGAAATGCAACAACGCAACAACAAAACAAACCCTTCCGGGTGCTAGCTAGCTACAGTCGTACTAGCTAGTCGTACACTTCCGGATGAGTTGGTGGTCGATTCAATTCAATTCGAACCAAATTTTGAGCCTGCAGCCACTCCCATGAGCCAACTCTGCCGACTATACTCACGTACAAAATGTACTGAAAATAAGGTGGAGGCCAGGCTCTCAAGAGTGTTCCGTGAAATCCGGTACCAAGAAGCAGCTTTTGAAGCGAACAAAATTAAATGTCGCCGCTGTCGCCTCCCTCACCACTTTGGATGGATTGAAATGGGTGCCCTGCATTAAAGAGTTCAAGCTTCAGGTGCGCGGCCAAAAGACTTTAGTGCAGTGATGAGCTATGGGACCGGCAGGAGTTTGCCCTCTGCTAGCTCTAGATAGTCTACCGGTAGCACCACAAGCTACGGTAGCTAGGTAGAGCTCGATTAGAGTCAAGTCTGCTCACAGGCTACACTGGCCTCCTGACAGCGCTCCACAACAAGCAGCTACAAGGCTTTCTACAGCCAGCGACGTCAGCTTCCCCAGTTATCGGTAGCTAAACCCTAACAAATTGGAACTGAAGCATTACCCAAGCCGTAGGCTCGGGTACGGTACGAATGTACAAGGTGGATGATCCAGAAGATCAAGCGCTCAAATGCCGAAAGCCATTGACAATCAAGCCAGGAAGGCTGCCACTGCACTCGCAGAGCTCGCTCAGCAAAACTTGTTCTTGCATTGGTTCTGCGTTCTGCATGAGCGTGTGGTACCAGCAGGGTGCGGAAACGGGCTTCCGAGCAGAACTGTTATTTAACGCAGCCTGCGTGAAACTAGACTACTAGAGTACATGTAGTTTCACGCAGATCTGCGTGAAACTAGCCATTTTCCTGTGTGAAACTAGTTAGCTTGCGTGAAACTAGCCGTTAGTTTCACGCACGGGAAACTATCGTCAGTCGTGTGTGAAACTATCAATCCATAGGTAGTAATCACTAGTAAATCTTGCGTGAAACTAGCCGTTTTTCTGCGTGAAACTAGCCATTTCTTGCTAGCTTCACAAGGACCTGCGTGAAACTAAGTACTAGTTTCATAGTCCCATGAAACTGTGTGAAACACTGTGTTAAACTAACGGTTCTGCGTGAAACTAGTAGTTAGTTTCACGCAGACTTGCTGACTTAAGTCCCATTTCCCCACCCTGCAGGTAGGTACCAGTATTGAGAGCTCAGATGGAGTACCGGTACGGTGTACAGTACCGCCATGCCAGCTACCGTCTATCTACTAAGACTTATGCATAGTCTTGTAGTGAATAAGAACACCGAGGGCAATGAGGAACACGTCAGCCAATCATGGCTTCGTATTTTTCAATAGTCATTATGACCATCAAAATACTATTGAATATTGAAGGAAGCTGTGAGAAGCCCTTTAAAGCATATATTGAAGCTTGCACTTCTTGCCAGTTGACCACCTCACTGCTCTCTATGATAGCTCTTGTATGACCATACTACCGGTACACGTAGAGTATAGAGTACTAGTAGTCGAAGGCTTTCGGCTTTTATATTTTTTTGAAATAATGGAATTAAAGAATTAAATGGAAGGACCACTGATTCAGAGTTCAGAGTTCAGAGGAAGGAAGAAACTGCATCATCATCATCTATCTATGTCCATAGTACTATTGGCGTTCGTAGTCCCTTTTAATTCCTCAATCGCTGGCATTCCGAAAGTCTTTTTCTTTCAGAGGGCTTCTTCCCGTACCAAAATTGTTTCCCGCATGCCAGCACCAGCGATCAGAGGTGTGCTCGTCATAGGCGGTGAGAGTCAGAGTGTACGTGCTCCAACCAATATTACAAAACATGTTTGCTCATTACCTTATTGTCTCTACCAAGCTAAACATCACTACGACCCCACCAATCAAGCAAGCCACCGGAGCTTGTAGCAGTTTCAACAGATGAGGGAGATCGAAAATGATACGCATTCGGTGTCGTCCACGTTCACCGACGAGTTTCAGCTGGGGCTCGCACATGATCTGGAAAAGGGCCCCAATGAAGTGACACCGGAAGAACCAGAATGCTTGGCTCAGAAAGTTGCCAAAGAAGATGAAAAGTCGGCTTCGAGGTGGAAGCTGGTCGTCCTCGTCCTCCTGTCGGTGAATGCAGTGGTCATTGTGTTGGGCACCTACAAATACTTGGTTGCCGAAGAGGAGAAAAATGTAAAGAATGCTGTAAGTGCTTGCTTGACGGCTTGACGGTTGGCTATCAAGTGGCAGTCAACGTGCTCACCACAACCTGTACTTTCGCCACCTCTCCGAAACCAGTTCGCACTCCTTGCCAACACTGTCATTGACGCTGCCCAGCATCAAGCATCCAACTTGGAGGACAGCTTTCTTGCGGCCGGTGACACCCTCGCAGTGATGGCAGAGACAAGCGGCAGTACCTTCCCTAACATCACTATACCGCATTTTGATGTCTGGGCGGGAAACATCTTGGAGCTTACAGGCACAGAACTCGTTGGCTTTGCTCCTATCGTAAACGACACTCAACAGAAGCGCATTTGGGAGTCGTACGCCCTCCCATGGTCCAACGGTACCACAAACACTCCAAAGATCTTTGCTCTCGAGGGCTCCGATGATGGCGTTGTTCGGCGGGCTCAGAGAGGCCCCGGCCCTTATGCGCCTGTTTGGCAACTTTACCCCGACTCTGGGCACGAGGGTATCATCAAGTTCGACCTGTTGTCCAATTCAGTCTTCCAGCGAATGTACGAGAAGATGGTTGAAACAGGTCGATCCGTGATGTCGCCAGTGCTGAATCTTGAGGCATTGATGGGCGATCCAAGACCCAAACGGCAGGATGGTACCAGCCTCGAACCGATGCCTCGAAGTGTCTTCTTTCAACCAGTATACAGCCAAGTTGGAGCCAACGCCACCACCAGTGCCTTGAGTGGAGTTCTCTTTGGTGTAGTGTCCTGGGAAGACTCCTTCAGGGATCTATTGGAAGGAGAGAATGAATCCCTCTACAGTGTCGTGGAAAACGACTGCTCGAACCAGAAGTTCACAGTGCTGATCCATGGCAATGAAGCCACCTCCCTTGGGTCGGGTGATCGCCACAACGAAACTATCAATGAAATCATGGTTTCCACCGAATTCGGAGACATTGGTTTCGAGGCGAGCCACCGCAATGTGGGAAACGAAACCTACCAACAAACCCAAAATCACTGCAAGTACCGCTTCGACTTGTACTCCACCTCCTACTTCGTACAAGCTTACAAGTCAGACCTTCCCCTGGTTGTTAGTGTCGCGGTTGCCACTATGTTCTTTATCACTGCAGCAGCCTTCGGGATCTATGTAACATACATCCAGAACAGGCAAAATAGGCTCCTCAGCATTGCCACTCACACAAGCAAGATAGTTTCTGGACTGTTTCCAACGTCCGTGAGGGATCGTATTCTGAAAGACGCCGAAGATCAGGCTTTCCAAGCTCTAATTGAAGAGCAAGAGGCAACGAACAAAAAGAGCATCAAGGTTGCCGAACGACGCCGTAGTAGTGTCCTCGGGCAATTGCGGAGTAGCCAAAGCACTGGCAGCGGCGACTTCTCCTTCCTCCAAGAGCACCTGTCAAGGGCTGCCGGAAACATGCTGGACGCTTCGAAGGCGCCTATTGCAGAAGAATTTGTTGAGACTACGGTTTTCTTCGGAGACATTGTCGGTAAGTTTTCAATGCTCGTGTGGAGACAGGTCCAGCTCACTTGTCACCCTCCAGTGTTTCTAAACTGTTGCTCTTCTATTAGGATTCACTGCCTGGAGTGCCGTTCGTCCTCCCACTGAGGTATTCCACCTTCTTGAAACCTTGGTACGTTTATTGGTGGTTAGTAAACTCCTCCCCGGCAAGTGTTCCGCGGAACCTCTGACATATCATTGCTTACAACCAAACCAGTATGGGGCCTTTGACAAGTTTGCTTCACGGCACTCTGTGTACAAGGTGGAGACAGGTAAGTCCACGCACCACAGGAACCGGATGGAGTGGTCCGACCTCTGTACTACTTTCCTCGTATCCTCACGGTGGCCCTGCCCTGCAACTCTTTCACTACTAGTCGGCGATTGTTATGTTGCTGTAACTGGGGTGCCCTCGCCCAATCCCCAACACAGTGTTGCCATGGCTTGCTTTGCGTTGGATTGCATGGCATCTTTGCGGCAGATTCTGACAAGCCTAGGTGACACTCTAGGCAAAGAGACGTGCTCCCTCAACATGCGCATTGGTCTTCATTCTGGCAAAGTAACGGTGAGTCAGTATCAAGAAGTAGATCGGAACCAGGGAGCCAGGCTCGAGTATCGGTATCTCACTAAGTCTTGTGTTTCTGCAAAACTCAACATAGGGCGGTGTTCTTCGTGGCGATCGGGGTCGCTTCCAGTTGTTTGGGGACTCTGGTAAGTGCTTCGGTTTGGTCATCTCTAGACCTGAGCACCTGTACACAATATCTCAGAATCTCCTTCCCTTGTTTGTTTGTTTGTTGTCTTTAGTCAACACGGCAGCTCGAATAGAGACCAGCGGTATGCCCGGGCGTATCCACTTGTCGGAGACAACAGCTGACGGCTTGATTGCTGCAGGAAAATCGTCATGGGTTGTTCCTCGGGAAGACAAAGTACTTGCGAAAGGAAAAGGAGAATTGACCACCTACTGGCTTGAGAAGCGCCGAGGGGCGAATAGGAGAGATAGCCAACCTTCTGCGAACATGGGTGGTGCAGCCGAGTAGTGTTTTGGTTCCTGTACAGTGTGTTTATCTGTCAAAGATTTTTATTAAGTTGTTTCTATTAGTCTTGAAAAATCATATCGTCATTTCGCTCTGATTTTACAATTTTGTACTTTCAAAGTAGCGTACACGTACCAGTATGCACACAATCAAAGATGAAGTCATCTCTACTAGCAGAAAAAGAATTAGCCATTCAACTTCAGCAGATGTGCCAATACTTGTTACTCGTAGTTATCTTGTTAGAATCGCCGTCTGCATTCCTTGCGGTGTGGAAGCTTGACGACCCAGCACAAAACAACATGAAAAATTTCTACAGTTTAAAGGTGGCCATGTTGGCATAGCGCTTTTGCAGACCCTGAAACATGGCTTGTTGAGCATCAGATGTGTCATGTGTACCACCCAAAGAAATTGAGATGAGCTCCTTGGAAAACTGTTCATGGACTTGCTGTGTGGTGCCAGTGAGCTGCAAGGCGTTGCGAACCTTTTGCGTCAAGAATGGTTTGATGAGGGCATACATGACTGTAAAGACAGTGGGCGCATGTAGCACAATTAAACTGCTTATGCGAATTGGATAGGCATCTTGGCAGAGATGAGCAGCCCGTGTCTCCAAGTAGTAGGAGAAGTTTTCCATCCTGCATTCTCGCATTCGAAGATAGCAACAATGCCAGCTCTCACTGCCGCAATGTCCGGATGCATTGCTTCAAACAAATAAAAAAATGCGCTGAAGCATGCCTTCCAGTCCTCATTGGTGGTGAATTTGGCAGGGACAAATGTATTGTAGGACCAAATGCTGACATTACGGCCCTCGTCGCGTTCTGTGCCAAATGCCAAGAACATGCCGTCGCAGATTTTTCAAACTTTCGAATGGCTTTCATGCCAGTATGAGCATCCAGTTCGTCCAATGCTAATGGAATTCCATTGTCTTGTCGAAACTTGTGCAATCTTTTGATGCGTCGGATGGCTTTGTGCACTTTTTCCTTGGCAATGATGGCATGATGTGCATACTCAAAATCCGTCGTAGTGGCTGCCAACTCGGCGCATTCATTGGTCAGAGTTTCTTTGATGGCCATGGCCCACCTGCGTTCTTCCTCGGTCAAGTCCATCTTACATAGCAATTAAATGCTAAATAACCTTAAGCTTTTTCCTTTGCAACAGTTACAGTCTAGCTAGACTACTGGTACTGGTAGTTTTTAAGATAGCATCACATGCTCTGTTGTGGAGCTGGAAGTGGACTTGATATTCTTGGGAAAAATGAGACGTGTTTTCTCGCTTCCAAAGATCGAGAAGCATCACCAACGTCATCCAGGGCCTCGGATATCTTATTTTTGCCATTATTTTCAATATTTTCATTAGCCATCAACGCGATGATGCCCAACATGCCAACATGTTGTGTTTTAGGCGTTACCGTGACTCGTTAGTAGGCTATGCCATCCTGCCACCCAACAACTTATTAGCAAATAGCTTCTGCTAGCTAGGGAAGCAGCTATGAGGCCATTGTCTTGTCGTGATGGGATACACGTACAAGTACCAGTAGTCCATGCATTGTCCTTCTTTGCATGGCTCTGCTTGAACCAATGTCACTCTGTGGTTGCCTTTGGGAATGAAGCACCCCCCTCCCGTCGAACAGTGGTAGAACACCTCGTCTTTGGTGGAGGCGTCGGGGGTCTACTTTCTTTGGTAGGGAATGAACCTGCTTTGGCAGCACGAGGGGCATTTGAACTTGACAGTGAATACTATCTTCGGGATTTGCTGGGTGGCAACAAGAAGGAAGGCTCCGTGCTGCCATCAAAGCCGCCACCAACACCTCCACCCAGAACCTTGCAAGGGCCACTGGTTCCATTGCTATTGAACAACGACTATCTACCAACATGCATCCCCGTACAAGTCCTCTGCGAGCAGGTGGCTAAACAACAACAGCAAAACGTTGCGGCCAAATCCATCGCCGAAAAGGCCACGGATATCCGAGCTAGAGCCAGCAGAAGCTTCTACAGTCGAGCCCCGTGGGAACGAGAAGATGTCATAGATCAGTATTACTTTGACTTGACGGCTTATGCACTCTGGAAGACAGCTGCAGAATGTCTTCCCAACTACGCCGATCGAGATGCTTTTGTCAGAAATGTGGGCCGTCGTTTGTATCAGCAACTATGCATACTCCAACCACTACAACTGACACTCTCGTCGTCGTCGTCATCATCATCCGCCAAGAGCGTCGTCGCCTCGGAGGCGGCCGTCGTTGCCATCTTGAACGCATTCCGGTCGTCAAACTTTTGCAAAGGATTTCGAATTGCCACGGATCAATCGTTGGACAACAACAGTAACAATGGCAAGAACAATGCAAATACCAATGAACCCGTGTTTGACAGTTTGGATGATGAAGCTTTGGGCCTTGGAGCCACTGTGGCTTGCCTCGTAAGCATATACGAACCAGCTACGCTAGGAGCCAGTCTCCAGATTACTGGAGAGCAGTCCAGGTTTGCACCGGACCTTATCGGACCAACATTGGCAGCTCTTTGGGAAGCGATGGGCATCAAAAGTTCCTGGGAAGTCTTCTTTGTGGACCCAGAGTACCGACCCAACCCCAAAGATTACTATCCAAATGAAAAGCTACTCCAATTCTCGTTGACTGTATATAGATAATACATACAATGTATTGGACAAGAGCATTTCACAACCAATGCAAGAAAGGATACTTAGTTGGTTACAATGGCCCATGGAGGTCTTTTACCAATAAAGAGCCAAGTAAATGGACCACATTACGGTAATACTGTAAAGGGAGAGAGGGAGCTAAGCTGGGCACAGTAGGCCGGTGGTTGGTGGATGGCGCCACACACTACTAGCTAGCTAGCTACGATGTAGTAGCTAGCTACATCGTAGTATCTTTTTGACCTCGGCAGTCTATCTGCCTGAGCCCTCACCCCCTTTTTTGGTATTTCCTGTTTCCTGCTTCCTGTTACGTCTCCTCGAGACGACGCTCCTTTAGGTTACCCCCTCAGTTGCACACTGGAACCGATTTGCCGGCGTTTACTGTGTAAATTAGTGTACCCGCACTTCAGTTGCAGAATCAACGGTCATGTGTATCGTTAAGTAACAAGTTCCCTTTCGAAAGATTTAGATCGATTCGTGGATAAAAGAACCGTTGAAGTTACTAAGGTTAAGGATAAACTACTGTAATTCAATGCGCACCTCTGCACCGACAAACAGGCACAGTCGTACAGGTCCAGCCAAGTTTATTGTTGAAGGTACAGCGCTGACTTCTCTCCCTCATTGAATTTCTATGGTAAACAGGAGAGAATTCCAAGCTCGACCGTCAACAGGTGAGTTGTTTTAATTATTCGAATCGATCGCTCCCACCTCTATTATCTCTACTATCAAGCCTCACTCAAGCCGGCTGTCTCCGGTGTAGATTCGAAAGCCATCCCTCATTGAATCCTATGGACCATGGGATGGCAGTCAGTTCTCGGCCCATGAAGGCCAAGTTGGTGCAATTTGAAAAACAAGAGTAAGTCTCCGGTCGTCTGCAGTTGAGCACAGAAAACAAAACTCATATCTATTTGTTGTTTTCTCTGCTGCACTGCTGACGGCCGAGAAAATCCCATTGTCGAACGAACGATCGGTCGCTCGGGAGAACACGAAGAGGAGAGGCTACCACTACGGAGGAGACTGTTAACTCCAGCCCTACCGACAGTCTGAACGGATCGTCGTCGAGTCATTGAAAGGGAACAGGAGCAAGGCTAGCTACTCGACAACACACAAGAGAGTGGATCCTCCTACCGGATTCATCCCTTCTTGTTATTTCCTACTGTTTTGGTGGTGATTCCTGTGTCGGTACCCATTTTCCTGTATGCGACAATCAAGTACTTTTGCCACTAGCTATACGGCAGCTGGCTACAATGGCTGGATTGACAATATTCCGTTGTGCGTGTATTCGTCATAAGGATCCAATGCGAGGTAACCGAGTGCAGCGAGCAAAGTCGAACCTGCGTGTGTTCGGTACTGTTGCCACTGTCACCGATCGACGAACTCTACGATAGCTGGCTACGATGGCTGGATTGACAATGTTCGGTTGTGCATGTATTCGTCATAAGGATCCAATGCAAGGTACCGGTAACGGAGTGTAGCCAGTAAAGCGGAACCTGAGTGTGTTCGGTACTGTTGCCACTGTCACGGATCGATGTAACTCTCTGCCTACGGTAACTAGCTACAATGGCTGGATTGAGAATATTCGGTTGTGCATGTATTCGTTTCATAAGGATCCAATGCGAGGTACCGGTACGTAGCGAGCAAAGCGAACTTTCGGTATGTTGCCATGTGTCGATGTAGCTTACGCAGCCGGCTACAATGGCTGGATTCATAATGTTCGGTTGTCATGTATTCGTCATAAGGATCCAATGCAAGATACGGCAACGGAGTGTAGCCAGCAAAGCGGAACCTGAGTGTGTTCGGTACTGTTGACCACTGTCCCGATGTAACTGTACGGTAGCCGGCTACAATGGCTGGATTAACAATTTCGGTTTGTGCATGTATTCGTCATAAGGATCCAATGCGAGGTAACCGACTGCAGCGAGCAAAGTCGAACCTGAGTGTGTTCGGTACTGTTGCCACTTGCACGATCGATGAACTCTACGTAGCTAGCTATGAGGATGGGGATTAACAATGTTCGGTTGTGCATGTATTCGTCAAAGGATCCAATGCAAGGTACCGGTAACGGAGTGTAGCCAGTAAAAGAACCTGAATGTGTTCGTACTGTTGACACTGTCGCCGATGTAACTGTATGGTAGCCGACTACAATGGCTGGATTAACAATATTCGGTTTTGTGCATGTATTCGTCATAAGGATCCAATGCGAGGTAACCGAGTGCAGCGAGCAAAGTCGAACCTGAGTGTGTTCGGTACTGTTGCCACTGTCACTGATCGATGAACTCTACGGTAGCTGGCTACGATGGCTGGCTGGATTGACAATGTTCGGTTGTGCATGTATTCGTCATAAGGATCCAATGCAAGGTACCGGTAACGGAGTGTAGCCAGTAAAGCAGAACCTGAGTGTGTTCGGTACTGTTGCCACTGTCACGGATTGATGTAACTCTCTGCCTACGGTACCAGTACCATAGCTGGCTACAATGGCTGGATTGCATGTAACTGAGGAAACAGGAGACGAACGCTGAAAAAAAGCCGAATTTCCTGCTTCCTGTTTCCTGTTCTGGTGAAGCCAAAATATAGGGATAGAGATAGGCACAAGCCAACTCTACAAATTTAGGGGTAAGAATAAATCATGGTTATTCAAGGTTAGTGCACTCAACACAATAAGCCAGCAGGAGCTGTATAGGTTAGAGTTACAATAAGGGAATGACAGCTGGTGAATTATAGAGTATTGGGCGGCAACACACGACGTAGTCGGGTGTTGTCGCCAGGGCTACCTTAATAAAAAGAAGGTTGCAGTGAGGGAATGAATGATACCGGGCGGCAACACACGACTAGTCGTGTGTTGCCGCCCGGGCTAGCTTGAAAGATGAGTGCAATCTCGAACATGATCCTTCTTCTTCTATCTGTCTTTCTGCCGAGGTATCGCAGCTCCCGCTGACTTAATTGTTTACTTCTGAAACGGTTATCAAGGTTGAAAAGTAAGTAAGTGCAGATCGCTTTGAAAAGATCTCACCCGGGGTGGGACACAGAATAGCGTCAATGGCAGGCAATGGCGGCAGCAAGCTGTTGTTCACTCTCCTCAACTTGCGCTCTTCGCTGCTGGGTCGCCTTGTTTGTGGTACATGTAGTGTTTAACGACAGCAAGAGCTGGCGGTGGATTGTCTCTGCTTTTTCAGCAGACCCCCCAGCAAGAACAAGGTTGACGCCACCAAAGATTCAACGTGCCTTGTTGTTTGAATCTTCCCCATCTTTCATAGTCGAACCGCCACTACTGCAGGATGAAGACGGTAGAGTGATCGCAACACCAACAGCATGGAGGAAGCGACGCCAACAGTTGTTGGAGCTCTTTCGAATCCACGTCTATGGGAGGGTGCCGAACGCCCAACACGCCCGACGAAATTTCATTTGGCGAACGGGTAGTGTCGCGACAAGCTTTCCAAGGCCTCGCAACCCTGGTCCAAGTAACTCTATCTATTCAAACTGTCAAGGGAAACTTCTCATGGAAATCGTCTCTGTTGATTCCAAATGACAGTCCAAGAAAATTGCCACTGCTCCTCTTGATTTGTAATACATGTCGACCAGGTCAACGAGTGGATCCGCTCCAACCGTGTCCCTTCTGGCCTACAGAGGAAATTCTCAAAGCGGGCTTTGCTACTGCATCCTTTTACAACGGAGACGTTGATCCTGACGATGGGCAAGATGATCATCTCAACGGGATCCACGCGATATTGGACATTGACAGTCGTCCAGAGGATGCTTGGGGCGCTGTCAGTGCTTTGGGCTTGGGCCATGTCGCGCTTTGTAGACTACATTGAAGAATGTCAATCAGATCGCATCAATCCACACCAAGTCGTTGTAGTTGGTCACTCTCGAGGCGGGAAAACAGCCCTATGGGCAGCAGCTCAAGATGAAAGAATAGCCATGGCAGTCTCCAACAACTCCGGTTGCACTGGGGCGTCCTTGGCACGACACGAGGCTGTCGGAGCCGAAACCATAAAGCAAATCAACAGCAGGTTTCCTCATTGGTTCTGCCGCAACTACCGACGGTACAATGGCAATGTGGAAGCCTTGCCGGTTGACCAGCACATTCTGCTGGCTTTGTTGGCACCCCGGGCGCTTTATGTTGCCAGTGCTACTCACGATTTCTGGGCTGACCCAACTGGCGAATACTTGGCAACGTGTCAAGCTTCCAGCGTCTGGACGAACGTGTATGGTGAAAATGCTGCGACTGCCTTTGTCCCAAGTACCGGTAGCACGCCGAAGGTAGATACTCCAATCCAAAGCATGCATTTCAAAGTGAACTACCACATTCGAATGGGCGAGCATGATCTATGTCTTTTCGACTGGTGTCGATACATTGACACTGCCAAGAACCTTTTCGCAAATAGCCCACCGACAATTGAAGAATAGCAACAAAATTCTCGAACGGTTTGCTAGATGATACTGTACTGTACTATACTCCACGAACACTTCCACAAACGTATCAGAAGTCCCTACCGGTAGCTAGCTAGCCAGTATGCGTGTCCAAGCCGCTTCTACGACTGTACATCGTCGTTATTAGCCCGCTGAGAACAGAAGCATTGTCAATTATTGACGGCAAACAGACCTGGTGAGGCCTTCAGGATACCACTGGATACCGGCACTTTACTCGGGGAGACTCTCCCGCTGCCTGTTCATTCTCGTGTGCACGTAGCAGTCATCATCGGAGCTTCCTACATGTAGTTGCTGTGAATTGCTTGCACGGATCAACACCTTGGTTACTATCGTTGAAACCGCAACGGGCTCTTCCGCGTCGTGCCCTTGGGATCCCAGGTGTATGCCGCAATCTGGAGCAGACAACTCGCAGTTTCAATTGATGCTTCTTCCCATTCTTCTAAGTCCATGCAAAGCTCTTGCCCATACAGCGAAAACGGGCTTTGCTCAGGATGTGCTACACGTCTCTTCTTGGCCATCGACGTTTTTGGCACGCAAAAGCGACTTGAATCCCCTCCTTCTTCCTCCAACAGAGACATCGAGTTGATCTTCGGGAAGACTCGCTTGTGAAGGAGTGGGAACGCCGCCCTTTGACTTTTGCCTTGATTGTTTGGGGTCATTTGCTTCCCGATGGCTTTCGAAACGGGTCGACCCTGTCTTGAGGCCTCCAGCGCGATTCTAAACGGATTTCGTTCCGCTGGTTCTTTTACTCCTTTGCAAGAACCCGCAAACGAGAAAACACATGTCTCTTTCTTGCGCTTCGGAGAAGGAGGGCCATCCGTGGAACAAGCTTCCGTCGTCGATGCCGATGCCGATCCGCTGAAACTATCAGAAAGAGAGCCATCCACTCGACCAAAGCTGAGATGCTCCGGTATATATGGAACAAAGCTTGGAATTGCCTGTTGAGGCTTGAGCTTCCAGAAGATACTGGTCTCCATGCTTTTGTCGTTGGTTCTTGTCGAAAAGTTGAGTTTGCAGGTGCCAATGCAGCAGTTGCCAATACAGAAGGAGTTGCCGGATCACGCCCTTTCACGTCTCTGCTTGAAAGAGGAGTAGAAGATGGCAACAACACGACAACAACAACCTACAAGCTACCGTACGGTACGTGTACTGTACGGTATCCTAGTGCAAGGACCAAGAGCAAGACTTTCACTCTGTGAAGTCCACCTTCACGAGAGCCACGGTCGAGAAATGTGTAAGCCAGCAGGAGCTGTGATTACACAGGAAACCGCCCTGCAAGTGAGAAATCCTCTCTTTGTAACTACCGTACCGTACGGTACCGCTAAGACTGTACAATACCAATAAGAGTTGAGCATGGTACCATTTTTGGTTACTCATGCTGGTTTGAGAGGGCAAGAGCTCCATGGTATCTCAAAGCAGGCGGTGCCATGGTATATCAAGAGGCTAAGCGCACCGGCTACGGTACATGAAACTAATAGCTACGAGCCTAGCGACAGGATGACTCGACTCACTTTAGTAAAATCTGTAGAGCGTGAATTGCTCTGTGTTCAGTGCTGATAGGCTCCATCAACATGGCGACTACAATCTGAAAGCGGTTCTGATGAGCGTGTCATTCCTGTGTCGTTCCATCTTTCATCACGAAAAACACAGCATATTAGACACTGTGAGGTTGCGATCAAATTCAGCAGTTAAGACTAGCATTTGCAAGCAAGGTGCAAACTCTTCTAGTCGTGTCTACCTACTCCTTCTTGGTTGGTCTGTATTCAAATCGCTCCCATTCAAAAAGGAATTTCCGTTTGGTCCACAGGGGGATAGCCTTGTATCCGACCATGGGGACAAGAGGAGATGTGGACTCTCTGTACTCTTTGTAGGCTTCGCTGTGTTCTGATTCGTAGTATCGTTTCAAGTTCTTGCCTTCTGCAGCCCAAATTCCGGTACCGCTCATGCTGAGCAGTATTGTCATTGTAAAGAGAGGCGATACAATCCCAGCCACCCAGAATGCAACTGCCTTATTGCTGGGGTCCGTCGTTGCTGATAGCGATCCATACGACAACAACCAGGCACACCACCACTGGAAGATCTCTCCAAAATAGTTGGGATGGCGTGACAGTTTCCAGACCCCGACTGCACAAAAGGTTCCCTGACGGCCTTGGCTGACCCAACGAGCCTTTTGGATATCTGCAAGAATTTCCAATGAGATTCCAGTGGACATTCCCAGCAGCATGACAATGTCTAAAGTTGTCAAGTTCTGTTCCAATACGTTTGCAGAATCCAAGGACTGCACCACTATCAATGGCCAGGAAATCAAAAAGACCCAGCAACCTTGAACCATCCAAAACACAAAGAAGAGACCGAATTTATCCTTGACTCCATCAAAACGAGAATCCCCTTTTCGATGATGGGCTCGCCATGCCAAGAACAGGAGTAGCCATCCTCGACTGGCAATGAAAAGGCAGGTACAGCTTATATGCCGAGCCGAAGCAGGTTCTTTGCGCCCCAAGTGACCCAACACTGCCAAGAGGATGAAGTTGATGCCTCCAAAGATATCATAAAAGACTTCTGTTTGAAGAGCATAAGCAGCGAGAAAGCCTAACGTCTGAACGCCAAATGTCACCAGCGCGGCGTTGGAAAACAGAGAAATGTCAAATACCATGAGAGAATGCTGCTTGTGCCTTCTTCCGTTCCTTGCACTGGTACTGTATAGTAATACGACAAGCTAGTTTTTCTTCCTGTCTGGTCCGCTGTTGCGATGTAGCATGGTCCTGTCCCCGACCGAGTGTCAGTCGAGTGTGTGTGTTGGTTTGTTCTTCCACTCTTCCTCTTTGTGACTCAGTCATTAATGACGTCAATCCCGCTGTTGTTTTGCTCGCAAGCAAAAACGTCGACCATGCTAGCATGGAGGAGAAAGTTGATGGAAGGTACTGCTACTTGGCCAGCTTGCTAGTACCTGGTACCTGTTTCAACTGTTTTAGCACCATCGAAAAGGACTACCATGCTATTCAGGACCCTGTTATTGGTATTGTCGGTCAGCTGCAGTAAAGGATTTGTCCTCCTTGATCACCGTGCCGAAACCGGCTTCCAACGGTGTTCCTCAAGACATCATCTGATTTGCGTCCTTGCCAAGACTGATGAGGAGAACGACAGCAGAGTTGAGATTGTGGAGGACGAGTCATACGAACCGCAGTATGGAGTTAGCTTCATTGGGGGTGACCCTTGTGGATCCAAATACAACACGGATCCTCACGACGTCAAGGTCGAGAAGCCAGGAATGCCAGACTCCATGAAGGCAAGGATCCAAGCGCTTGCAGACAAAAGAAAGCAAGAAGAGGAGGAGAAGCAGAAAAGAGAGCTTACTGGAGCAAGAATTGGATGAAACTTTTAAAATTACAGCTAGCCAGAAATATTCATAGCTACAGTTATGATCAAACAATCTACATGTACTTTGCTTCTTCCCTCCTCTCGCCTTTTTTAAAAAAACTCCGAGGCAGTATTCGGATCTAGGAAATAGAACAGTTAGCGGAAAGGTATCGTGGCAGCAATAACTAACTGCACAAAACCTAGCTAGAGAGAGAGTGTGTGTGTATGTGTTTACTGGCTTGTATGTTGCATTGTACTCACGGTACGAGTTCTCCTTCAGCAATTGTTTGCTGTAGCTACCGCTACCTGGTACCCAAAGGCTAGCTAGTTGAAGACCATGCAACAAGTCAAACCGCAACACCGCAACACCGCTTGAAAAAGCGTCACCCTCTCTTCTAGCTACTAGCCAGGCTACGCAATGGGTCCAGAGATACCGGTATGTACTGTGTTGGTGGCGTGTGTTCGTTTATGGGTTAGCGAGAGCTTTCTGCCGCCGTCACTATCGATGCTCCAAAAGGCAAATTTGACTCCCGTGCACCTGCAAGATATGGAGTGGTTGGCGGAATTAAGGTCGACAGGCGACTTAGACAAGATTGGAGGGCGTCCTCGAAGGATTCTTAAGATCAGCGATGGTGTTGGATTTGGAGACACCACAAAGCCATTCGATCCTTCGCAATGCAGCGGAAAAAGTGAACGAGAGCTTTGTGGAGTACCATTGGAGAGATCGAATAGCTTTGGAGTAGCGCAGGGTTGTCATCAGCGACTCACTCCTTCATTCAGTGCAGCAACAGACGCCCACTAGCTAGAGACACAGAGCAGAGAAATTCCAATTCGTTGAATGGGATTTTGAGCTGCACCGAGGGCAAAAGGTGGACGTAGCGTTACGTGAGAGATCTTCTTAGCGATCGCCGCCATTCCCATAGCAGGGAAATCGAAGAGGCGCTCTGTGTAGGAAAGAAGATGAACTTTTGTGGCGGGGCGGTAGAGCGTCAAGTTCACGAAACACCAGTTGTGAAGTTTGGTCAACACCACTCGGTCGTCAATGAAGACAAAATGCTGCATCCTTCTAGCGGAGGGCAACAATACCATCATCACGTGGACCTGCCAGTACATCCCAGTTGCATGGTAACCTCCTCGCAACCTCAGAATAGCAGCAGTAGCTCCACTGCAAAGTCCTCCTCCAAATCATCCCTTGTGAAAATAGCCAAGAAGAAACTCCAACAATCATCAGCGACTGGGAATTCATCCTCCTCGGGGCAATCAAACAATCATCATCATAGCAAATCGAGCACGACGACCAACTCTACTCCTCGATCACGTTCTAGATCCCGATCTACCGGGAGGTCCAGAGGAAAGCGAAAGAGTCAGAATAGTCAAACTCTGGAAGAAGGGATGAGTGGGATGGAAATCTCGATTGGTACGCCTGCAAGACAGACTACCAATCCGTCTGCAAGGGGCACCCCCAGTCCTCGCATGTTGAACCCTCTTAGCCCTCAAAGAATAGCGGTTCACAACAACAGCATGGAAACTGGTCAAGGGCTGCTTGGGCTTCCGTCTTTCTCCAATATGAAGACATTGGATACACTCCTCAAACGTTTGGAGAATGGATTCAGAGTGGTGAGTTGTGTCGCTCAGAGACATGGGTCATATGTGTCTATCTGTTGTCCTCTTCCTTACGTTCCTTTCTAACTCTTTCGTTTTGTTTTCTACACACAGACCATCCACAATGGTTCAGATCCTGGTGGCAAACGGGTATTCCTCACACTTCTGCAGAATAGAACGAGTCTCATGATTCGACCTGTGGGGGGCGATGAAGGCTCCACGCCAAGTGTCAAATTCCCGGTTCGGACCATTCTGAGATTAGAAATCGGAAAGACCAAGTCAAGCGTATTGGGTCGCTCTATATACGACCATGTCCATCCAATGACTTGCTTCAGCATTGTTGTCAAGCTGTGGACAGATGCGGAAACTTACTTCGACTTTGAAGCCAGTTCCGTCATTGAAAGAGAAGCCCTTATTTCTACACTCATGGTTGTCCTCGATCAGATGCATAACAGTGCAGCAGCGGCGAACACTGATCTCTCCCCCGCTAGTGTTGGTGGAGCGGCATGGCAACATCCCCGAAAGGCTGGTTCTTCCGGTGGTGAAACTGGAGAGAATCGAAACCTCGCTGTTTCAAGCAGCGTCACCAGTCGCACGGGTGCTGCTAAGCCACAACCAGAGGTCTGCCTTAGTCCCGGTAGGAGAACAAAGATCTACAGTAGCAGCTACTTCGAAGACAATGGAGAAGACCAACAAGGAACAGAAATCAGCTTGGTGTATCCTCCTGGCAAAACCACCGAGGAAGCACTGGCTTACCGGTCGCCCAAACAAGGCGCCAATAACAGCAGTAACACAAAGCAGAGCAGCATCAACAACTCAAAGCCACTTCGCCAACGACAATTGCAGCCAGCTGCTGAAGATTCAGATGCTCCCAACCCCACATCACCTCCTCGAACAAACAGATTCCGGACAACTCCTAGAGACTTTATGAATGGAAACACCTCCAAGCCATCTTCCTCATCCTCCCGCAACAATGATGCGACCAAGTCTACTGCCGCCGCCTCGACGACCAAGACTACACTAAAGTCCCAGAATAGTAGCCAGATGGAAGTTGTTGTCGTCGACAAGAACAAAGACGACAAATCGCAACAAGATGAGCAGCGTGACAGTAGTAATTCTGATTCGGAGGGTGGCTTTGTGATCATGCCAACCAATCAACCTGAAACTGAGATTGAAATTGGACTGGGCGGTTCCCCGGACGGAGAGATTCAGGCAGAATTGAGTTTTGACATTGCATCTCAGGGTCTTCCCGTGTCAAAGATTCAGTTTTCACCCACTAGAGACAACTTAGATCCTCAAAGTGGATGCTGTAATCTGGCGCCACCCAGCATTGACCAGGTGAACGCGACTTGTGGAAGTGGCAATGGTAACCAACAAGTTGCTTGGTGTTCAGATGACATATGCACTCTGGCTCTGAAAGACATTGCAGAAACATGCACAGGCATCTTTGATAACCATCCAGATAACCCGAACTTGGAGATGCAAATTGATGGAAATTCTCCTGCTGGTGCTAAGGCGGCGGCAGAGAGGGCCTACGTCGAGGAGTACATTGCCGGTGTGCTGGGAGGTCCAAACAGCGCCCTTGGAGCATTCTTCCCTGACGGTGATGTCTGGAATGTTGACACTTCGAAACAATCGTCAAACCAAGACAAGCCCAGAACTAGCCGTATCAAGAACCGGGCTTCCTTGTTGAACGCCCAGGCTCTGCGTCTACGTACTCTGCGCAATGAAATGACGTTTGCAGCTGCTTTGAAGCGCTCGAAAGAGAAGATGCAGTATGTGCAAACTACCAAATCATTTGATGACGCCGACGACGCCGATAGAGAGCGCATACGCCAAGCACAGGAACGATCCGTCAATCGCTTGCATAGTTCTGCACTTATGAATCGTGTTATGGGAAGCATGGTGCTATCCAAGCCAGATGCAGAGGACGACTCTGTTTACTACGACAGTGACCCAGAAGACGTACGACCAAGGACAAAGGGGGTTCGTCGTGCTCTAGCAAATCGCTCCAATAAGCTTGGACACGCAGAAGCTCTTCGTCTCCAAGCTCGTCCAGTGTTGAGCGGCGTGGGTTTTGAACAGATTGCTGTGGGCAAGAAACTGAGAAAACTCGATGAAAGTCTCATTGTGCAGATTGTTCAGGTGCGTGTTGACAGGCAACTGGAGATGGTGTCTGGTCTTTTCTTATCCTGCCATACTCACATCTTTTTGCTTTCTTCCATGATTTCGTTTTGCAGGCCATGAGAAACGAAACATTGACGCTTATGTGGCACCCCACTCAGTCTGAGAAACACCCCAACCGATCTCCAGTATGCGTGAACTTGTGGATTGAATCCGGTGTTTACTTGGTTGACGGGTCCTTCTTGCTACCTCGACTCAGCTGGAGTGTCGCGTATGAAAATAATCTGGGTGCGAAGAAGCTCAATGTTTCGAGGAGTGAACCGGATCAAATCGATTTGCTCGATGTTTGCAGGATCCGTGTGACAGAGAAGATAGACCGCAAATTGCATCCCTTCCCAGATCCGCGCAAATCGTTTGTCATTGAGACGCAAGACGAAACGTATTTGTTTGAAGCGCAGACTGCCGACGAGAGGAACCGCATCGTCTATGGATATAAACTGGTCATTGCGCGTCTTGCGTCTCTTCTCATGCTCCGCGACTCTCGAGCCGTGGAAGAATTCTTTGGGTCAGCCAGCGCTATGGTTCCCGGTGGCTTTACAGTTGGAAAATAGGTACCGGTATGGTCTTCGCCAGTGAGCGAGCTTCTGACTTGAGGCAACAGCTGTAGTCTAGCTAGTTTGATGTCTATAATCTATTTGATATGGGAGTTTGGTTGGGCGGGGGGCCACCACATGTTGAGTTGCAATCATATCACAATATCACCACGGCGATGTATACCGGTAGTATCGGTAGGAGTGCCAAACAGGGATTCCTCGGTTGAAGAGAGGTTCGCTACCGGACGAGAGGGCAGGGTAGAGCGAGAATTGAAAAGAATCCAAATTATCTCAGTCGTAATAATCGAAGCTTCTTGACTACTCTTGAGTCCACTCTATCAGTTTATCGTCCTGGACTGTGTCTTCTACCGTGCCGGTACGGTACCGGTATGGCATACCGGTAGCGCTATCGGAAAGAAAGCCAAGCACACCCTCCAGTAAATGACGGGGAAACCCAGCTTGCTTACCTTTCAAGCTCACGAACATGAATCGAATCAAGCAATTCATTGATGCTGCTGTTGATGGCGCCCATGTCCTCCGTAGCCGCTTTCATTTTCTTCTTCTATCAGCACACTCCCATCGTTTGCTTCTTCTTGTTTGTCTTGGTTACTAAACGTTTCCTTCTGTTCTTGGCGACGATGACTCCGGAACAAGTCCTGAATACCTCCACCAATACAACCAATACCACCAAAACTTGAAGCATTGTAGCTCAGGTAGTATCGTTGCTTGTACACGTGTACTGTTCAAACTTTTGGGATAGCCAAGCAGCTAGGAATAGTTTGGTGGGCCACAGAGGAATTCCTATGGTTTTGTTGAAGAAGAACCACTCCGAAAAGGCTACTACGGCACGTTGTGGGTCCCTGACAACAGGAATGGCCTGGACAGTTCTCTGCATCGATTGCCAGACTCGACTACCGGTCCCACCCGTGCTACTACCACGGTTTTCCGTCCTCCTCCGCTTGGTCCACCCCTGGAGTTGTTGCAGGACTCGTTTTCCGGCCGCAGTCTTGCTCAGACGCATCATGGGCCGGTAGCGGTAACATGCCGCAAACAAAGCGAGATGCCATGCAGTTTCAATGGCCACGTAGAATCCCAATGACTTTTGCAACTGTTCCTTTCTAGTGGGACTTCGGTTCAGAGGACCACCATTAGCGGTACCGGTACCATCAGTAGAAACACTTGATGTGGTCTTTGGATCGCCACCAGGTGGTCTGGATGCATCATCCATACCGGTATCAGTAGTAGCTTGCATCTTTCCGTTTTATGGTTCGTCGGAAGATTCATCGTTTGCTGTTGTACCGGTACTCGTCTACTAGCTAGCTAGCATATTACTACGTAGTATGACTTAGACTGTCACTAGCTAGTGGTGGCTTGCATTCCGGATGAACTACTGTAGTCTAACTCATTGAGCGCGAAGAATTCTTGACCTCTCGTGCGAGAAAGGTACATGTATCCTTTGAGTTTAGTCATGGGTATCCGGGAATGATTCGGAAGCCTACAATAAGATCCACACAATCCCTCCACAAAACAACACCACAAGAGACAACGCACAACGCCACCGAAGAGCGAAGAGCAGAGTACGGTAGAGCATCGAATCGAATCCTTCCATCTATTCTTATACTACTAGTACTTTGCCATGGCTGAGGTTGATCTTGAGAGTCACGTGTTGGTGAACAAGGGTCTCTCTATTGAGATAATGGAGGGAATGGGTCGAGTGGCTGTGGCTACCAAACCCTTGGATAACAGTTACTTGTACCAAGTCGTCCTCTGTGAAAGACCACTCTTGGTGTGGGAAGTTGGAGACATGGAAGACTTTGTCCACCAATTCCAGAGTGCCCCACAGGAAACCCAGGATGCCATTATGGACATGTTTCACCCTCCTCTGGATTCAGATTCCTCTCCTATCATTGCCAAGTTCAGAGACATGGCTGGCCCACTGGCAGAAGCTACCGGTACTGACGTGACCTGGGCACACAAAATCCTGGCCATTTGTGCCACCAATGCCCACAAATTCTACAGTGGAAAGACCACAAGTCGAAAACCACACTCGGCCATATTTGCCTATGCTTCCAAAATCGCTCATTCCTGTATACCCAATCTCGCCTACACATCCGTTAAAAGCGAGGACGACAACAACCAGGGCGCACTGCAGTACAAAGTCATTCGAAACATTCCAATGGGACAACCGGCGGCATTCTCCTACATTGGCGGTGGAAGAGTCCTCTACCAGACACCCACACACGAACGACGCGAAAAGCTCTGGCGCACTAAATCATTCGTTTGTCAATGCAAGCGTTGCAGTGGACCCGACTACTGTCGCTCTGTACAATGCAATACATGTACGCAAAAAATGTTTGTCCCATGCATATACAATAATGAAGAAAACGACTACCAACCGACCTGGACTTGTCGCCGAGAAGCCTGTGGGATTCGCAATAGTCAAGACATTCAACTACAAGAGAAACTATTCGATGATCGACTGCAAGCCCTATTCCAACAACATCAACAACAAACAGACAATGAAACACAAACAGACGACAGTGCTATTCAGGCACTCCAGGATCTGATTGAGGAATCGAAAACTAGCCTCTCACCAGTTCATCACATTACCATTCAAGCACTGGAGACGCTGGCGAAATGGACTGCAGCCAATGCAGCTGTCACTAAAGAAACCATTGCCAAAGGGGGGTTATTCAAAATTGCAGCAGAAGCATCCCTACAGGTGGTGCTCGGTTGCGAGTGCGTGGCGTCTGGTTGCCCTGGTTGTTTTGATGCCGCCGTCTTGTTCTCATCGTCAGCAGCCAATGGCACCAGTACCGGTACAGGAGATGTACTTGCACAACATGACCCAATCTACGAAATGGGTGTCACGGCATTCACGGCTAGTAAACTCTTGATGCATGTTCCAGAGGCATCAAGGCCTCCCCATGCCATGTCCATGATCCAACGGTATCTACCTATCATCGCGCAATTGGCAGCCCCGTAGCTCAAAACTTGTGGGTTCCGGTACATGATAGCTGTGGGTTTCTTAAAAACGACCCCATTTATTCAACTTGTAAGCTGAGGTGAATGTAGATCATTGTTACTGCACCATGACAGGCTCCTCTTTGTCTTCAAACTCACGGCAATTGCTGATGACGATATGGCTAACTTTGTGGATTTGCAAGGCTTCCACATCAACGGATGACTTCTTTCGGTACGCCACGTCTCTTTGGAATCGGCCAGGGCTCTTTGTAGGGCGCCTCTGCGTCGAGCAAGGGCATGGACTGGCTCCTTGGCTTCTGCTTCCTTTTGAAATCTGGGTTCGTGTCGATTTCTACCAGGGACATTGGGTATGGTTTTCCAGACTCACTTGTACCAGTACCATACACGACTGACCTGTATCCTCAATTTTTGTTAGAGTGATATGCACATTTTAAAAGACCGACCATTTCGCGGAATATTCTCTTCAGAGCTGGATATCGAATTAGTACTATTAAAGCGGGGAATCGAGAGAACACATGTAGTTGAGTATGCCACAAAATTCCCAACCTCAGAGTGTACTTAGAAGAGGAGTTATGGACGGTTGAAGATTTGGGCTCACTGACAGCGAATTCTTTTTCTCTGCAGATTAAGACCATATAACATCACACGTAGCCTCTGGTACTGAACCTACGTAGGATCCTACTGTACGGCTACAGTGGTCTATCGAGTAAAAAACTCACAGCCCTGGAGGTCTCGAAACACATGATAGGCACCTCTATCCACACTCCTTCTTCTTCCTCTTGGATACATACCTGGTACTTCGTACCTCTACTGGTATAGTTCGAAGCACCTCTATCGTTCGAAGCACCTCTGTCTCCGGTACCGGTAGTCTACCTCTACGGTACCGACACTCCTTCCTTCCTCATAGACACTGCTTCCTCTATCCTCTATCGGCAGCCAGTCAACACACAACACCACCACACAGCTCGAGCAATGAACAGTCACTACACAGCATGCGCAATGGAGTTGATACCGGTACCTGATAGTTAGTCCATCCTCTAGCTAGTAGCTACCCGTAGCTCTACCGGTAGGCTGTATGTACCTGTTACTATAGAAATTACTGTACAAATCCAAGAATATTACGATGGTCTTAATCTGCAGTGGGTCTTAAAGTGCAGATCACTCTAACTTAGATAAATTGTAATTTTGGAACAGTTGTACCAATACGCTTTTGGAAAACATAGATTAGTGGTGAGATTATGTGAGATATCATAACATTTTCAATTTTTAACCTTGGTTTGAGAAAAACAACTAAATCTATTTACCCAACTACCCTGCCACCTTCCACTGCAAAGTCTTTTTAAACACCCGACTTCGTCGTGTGTTGCCGCCGGCAAACCCATAATTTTACATCTGTCATTCCATTGGAACTCTAGTCTTTACAGCTCTTGCTGGCTTAACATGCTTTTGTGCTGAGTGCAGTAATCTTAGAATATTGATTTATTCCTACCCCTAAATTCATTTAAACCTTCAATTGCCAGTTTGGTTGGCTTTTGCCTATCTATATCCCTATATTTTGGCTTCACCGGAATAGGAAACAGGAAACAGGAAATATGAAATACAAAAAAGGGGGCGAGGGCTCAGGCAGATAGACTGCCGAGGTAAAGGGGTGAGGGCTCAGGCAGATAGACTGCCGAGGTAATTTAAGTCAGCGGGAGCTGCGATACCTCGGCAGAAAGACAGATAGAAGAAGGACAATCATATTCGGATTGCACCCATCTTTCAAGCTAGCTCTGGCGACAACATCCAACTAAGTCGTGTGTTGCCGCCCGGTATCATTCATCCCTCATTGCAACCTTCTTTTTATTAAGCTAGACCTAGCGACAACACCCGACTTCGTCGTGTGTTGCCGCCCGGTATCATTCCCTCATTACAACCCTCTTTTTAATTTAAGCTAGCCCTGGCGACAACACACGACTCACGAGTCGTGTGTTGTCGCCAGCTAACCATAATTTTACAGCTGTCACTCCCGTATGTACCTGTTTCTGCTGGCTTATTGTGTTGAGTGCACTAACCTTGAATAATCCTGATTTATTCCTACCCCTAAATTTGTAGAACCTTTAATTCCCAGTTTTGTTGGCTTACGCCTATCTCTATCCCTATATTTTGGCTCTGCCAAGGTTTTAGTAAGTTCACGACTGAGCAGACCAAAAGATCTCCCGAACCTCGGCCTGAAGGGACAAGGGACAACACACAACTGGAACAAACACAAACAGCTTTTTGCTCAACAGAGAAACTAGAGGCAATGGTGGACAAACAAGCGGACACCCTCATGCTCAGAGAGGCTCTGCTGCTCAACGATGCTGGAAATGCCGATCGCAGCGACGACAACGAACGCGGCACTCTCGGGGAAGCAGAAGAACGCACAACCTTTGCTACCAGAAACCAGCAATACCTAGAAGTGACATGGGACGACTTTCCCAGGCTGTACTTCTGCTTGAATCTTTTAGAACCAATTGCAACCACATCCTCGGGATCGTGCCCAATCGCAGAGAGTACCAATGATGGTCCCCTCATCCTCTCTTTGGACGGAGACACAGCAGAAGGGGCAGAAGATCAGATCCAGCATCCAAAACTCCTAAAATGTCTGGCCTGGTTGCTATATGAATGGGTACATAAATGGCAATTCGTCCTTTATGCCCCCCACATTTTCGTGGCGTCCATGTTCGTCATCACAGCGGATACCATGAAGCAGGATTGGGATTTCTTTTGCCTCTGGTTGTTTTTGGTTTCTTCGGCGCACTTATTTCTTCTCTGGGTGGCAGCACTGGTCCTTCCTCTGGATCGCTATTCAGGGGTACAGGTTGCCGATTTGACTGGAACGGCCGTTGTGGGAGGTTTGATCTTATTCTGCGGCTTAGCTCGCAGCGACTATCGCTTCGAGCAAGATATTCTCCCGTCCTTGCTCTTGGGGAAGTTTATATGGTTGGCGTTGACACTGCGGGTAAGATCCTGCATCTTCTCCGACAATCAACGAAAACAACGGTCCCTGGTCTTGATTTTTGGACTGCTCTCTTTGGCTTGTGCGGATGCGGGTGCGGTTGTCTGGGCGCTTGCCGCTATGTTGTTGTACCTTGCCACTATGTTGGCCACTATGTTGTTGGACCTTGCCTATGTGTTGTTGTTCCTTGCCACTATGTTGTTGTCCCCCCTTGCGTTTTTCGGGATCTGCCGCGCGTTTCGGAATACAGGACGCTTCATAAGCTGTCTCGCCTTCGTTTGCCCCTGTCTTCAGATTCGAGACTTGAAGCGAATGGAGTTGGATGCCTTTGAGATGGAGTACGACCAGGAAGACGCTGCTCAAGCCAATGTGGATCAACAGATACACCAGCTGGGACGACCGATGCACACAGTATCCACATACCTTGAACGGGGACAAAAGTCATTTGCCACAACGGCTGGTTTGCTGGCTCTATGGACGCTAATATGGACATATTGGCTCTGTGCTTTGGTGATGTCCTATACCATGGATTTAGTGGAACCGGTAGTCTAGCCAAGGCTTGATCAAAGAATGGTTGGGCCCTTCAAGTCATATAGTCTACCAGCTATTCGTCGTAACAGAGCTTTCGCTTCTTCCTCTTCTTGTCGGGACGGGGACTTACTTGTCCAAGCCTCCTCCTTTCTAAAGTACCGGTAGCAGCAAGTGTGGAGTGGTTTCAGGCTGTCGGACATCACGATCGCAAAACTACATGTACTATGATACCAGTAGCTAGATTGTGTGCATTTCAACCGCCGGCCAAGCAATCTGCGAGCGACTTGTCTGCTTACCATGCAACACACGCTGATGAAATCATCGAGATACAGCACAATGAAATGCAGTTACTAGGTTGTTACAAATGAAAAAGGTTGCTTTCAAAGCTAATGGGAGCTTGGAAGAACAGTCGACAACATTCGATGAAGACGACCATATTGAGCGAGGAGGAATGAAGGCTCGTGCTGTCGTTTGTTTTCGTTGTCTTAGCGATCACTGTCACTTGTCTGTTTACTGGTAAGCCAGTGGCGGCAAGGACATCATTTTGTCGTTGGGGTTTCTCATCTTTCTCATGGATGTGATTCCCAGAGGGGCACGTGAGGTATCCGTGTAGGCACTCATTTCACTAAAGGGAGTGGTGTCGTATCCGTCGTCTGTGATCCCTCTTTCTGGTGTGCGGTTGATGCCCAATCCTTCTGCAGCGTTTTCCTCCTTGCTAGAAGCTCCAATGATGCCACTGGGAGCGGTTGCATTGTCGTCATCATCTTCGTCCTCGTCATCCTCATCGCCTTCGTAGCTCTGTGAGTCGGCAACATCGACTCCTCCAGATTCCTCGTCATCGTCCTCGTCGGCACTGTAGGTGTTACGTTGGTTTTTGAACCAATCAATTTGCTCGTCAAGCTTTTCTCGAAGATCGCGCCATCCACCAGCTACGTACACGAGGACCGATATTACGAGTACCAAGGAAGCACAGAGGAGTGTGCAGGCCAAGATGAGTGTCTTGTCGGCTTTTTCCTTGGAGATTCCATCATCCTCGACTTGCCACAGCTTTTGTGCCGGTGGCTCTGCCGTTTTGAAGTTGATAACGACAGATTCTGCAGATCCTCCGAGAATATCGTAGATGTCATCCAACAGCATATCCGCGACGTTTTCTTTTCGAGACAATCGAATCAGGATGGATGCCATGTCCGGAACTCCTGCCTTTGCCACGTAGAGTACATCTACTACAGCATTCATGTGAAAGTTGGACTCCTGTCTAGTGACGTTTTTGACATGCAAGTCCACAGCCAAGACTTGCTGTTCTGGGAGAAGACCAACATCGGATTCGCTTTCTTTCTTCATTGTTGTGTGAAGGAGAACGACAATGGCGCTCTCAAACTCGTTGATCTCTTGGAGATTCAAGGAACTGACGTTGTTGGCAACCCAATCCAACTCCATAATGGCACTGGAGGAGAAGAACTATATGAACAAAATAAAATACACAAGAGCCAAGTGATGCGAATGAGACGAGCTGAAGTTTGAATGGACAAAATTCGAGGGCACAGTCATGATGAAACTCACAGCTTGTGGGTTTCCGAAAGCAGAGGACGCATAGGAAAGCACCAAGAGACAAGTCGCTAGAAACACTCGGGAAATCATGGTTGATGGATGAAGACTAGCAAAGCGATGAATGAAGACTATCAAGGCGATGATGAATGAATATACTCGTCTGGTTCAGAAGTTGTGATGCCTTGCCCCTGTGTTGTCGTCGGAAAGCAAAATGTGGCTGTTGGTTTTACGGTAGCAGCACGACTCTAAGTCGTCACGTTGGCCGTTCACGAGCGATATATTTAGCTTAGGGTACATACAACGGCAGACCGGAGCTGCTGCCGACGCGTTGCTTGCGGAGCAGTTTTCAACGTGGCCTTGAACGGGGAAATGGTACCGTAAGTGCGCTGAGGCCTCAAGCAAACCAGTGCGAACTGGTGAGAGCTACAGGCGCACCTTCATTTTTCTACTCCTCGTTACACATATTACTTTAAAAGTTATCGACTGACATCAGACTGGATAACAATCAGCAGCAGACAGGCAGCAGAACAAACAACAAACAAGAGAACTTGTGAAGATGATGACGATGATGATGCGACTCTTTGTGGTATTGCTTGCGGTTGCTGTATCCGCCGCTATCGAAAGCGTTCAACCAGAAGAAGGCAAAGCGTCCAGAAACTTGGGCTTCTTCCGCTCCTTTTCGACCATGAACAAACTGAACCGAGCCTTGTTGGACTGTGACTATGACCACCCCGAGAAGGCGAGATACTGTCCCCCTGTAAACGATATTGTGCCCTTTCCAGAAGGCTCGGAAACACAGGATGCACAGTCTCAACGAGAGTTACATACCATGGGCATACAAAAGGAAATCTCCGAGTTGTCCCAATAGAGAGTTCCATGATCATGTCGCGCCTTCATTTTGGCTACAGTACACGATTCCTCGTTGGATTCAGGCTGGACTATAATCGAAGGCTCATCACACGAACGTGATGCGCGATGATACTGCAACGGCCACATCCAGATTTGTACAAAGAGGCGTCAAAACCTTGCCAAGGAATGAAAGGCGGCGTTTTGATGGAAAGCCACTCGCTCAATCAGTCAATCTGCTACTGTGACGTCAACAAAGAAGTTGCGCGATTGGACAACGATGCCACACACATTATATACAGTAATATTACACTCGATAGTCTATATCAGCATATCAGCACAGACGCACAATTTCTACTCTCATAATCTGCTGGCTAGATGAAACCAGGCCGGTGTGCAATTCCCTCAGTGGCTACGCGGAAACGACACCTACCGGTATCTTCCAGCAGTTGGAAGACTTGGTGTCCTCTTGATGTTGCCCGTACGGTACCAGGTAGTTAGAATTTTGATTGGTGATGAGAGTACCGGTACCGTATCTTTCCACCATAGTGATTGCCCACCCCATCCAGCTCTTGTACCGGTACCTGCCGCTACCGGCATCTTTTCGCAGACTAGAATCCAAACCAAAACATAAATTAGCTATGTAAGAGATACTCTCCAAACCTTACTGTACTTCTAAGCACGCTATGTCTAATATTGGAACAATCGTAGCTGCAATACTTCCTTCCCTCGCTTTGCTCCTGCGGCTGCCGTACTAGCACAACTTCAAACTATTAATAGCTAGACATACCAGTACCGCTACATGTAATCCACGCTTCCAATAAGGATGTGTTGCATGTATGCGATCCAGGACAAGTACAGACACTGCACAAAAATTGATGAGCATACCGCAGCAAAAAGCACCGGTAACCACAGCAACACCTTTGGTTTGAAACGACTAATAAGTGGATTAATCATTCATTCGGTCTCCGAAGAGGAGGGTGGAGGCACCGTGACTTTTTGAGCAGGAGCACGGGAGGCCAACTTGTCTAACTTTGCTTCGGCTTCAGCATTGGGGAATTGCACTATCTTGCCCTTTCTGTAATCCGGTTTGACCACTCCAACCTTGTTTGTCACGGTATCATAGTCTTCAATGACAATCCCTTTGGCCAAAAGATCCTCTAGCGCTTCGGGAGGAATCATTTTGAAAGTTCCATCAACCCGGCGCACACTAACATACTTTGGCCGTTTGTATTGGCCTGAAAATTGATTGTTATCCAACTTTGTGCCTGTGCGAGCCTCCTGATTGTACTTGTCGCGGTTGGCATCTGATCGAGCTTTAAGCGCTTGGATGAAATCGTTGTTGATGTCATCATCATCGGCAAGAGCCGGTTGAGGCAACACGAGTCCTGTCAAGCCCACGAGAGACGAAGTGGCCAAGAAGACCCGTCTACTATTGGTAGCAAGAACATCCTCTTGTCCACATACATGTACCGGTAACACCACCTTGGAAGTCTTTGGTCCTTTGGCAGGCAGCTGGAATGCATCAGCACCAAGCTGCCGAGAGCACACAAAAGCAGCAGCAATCAAGGCGATATGGAGCCACATTGTTCCTGTCATGTTGATTCCTGTACAGGTACGGTACTACGTTTCTGCAACAGTAGTTGCACAGGGTCAGTATGTGCTTCCCTCTGCTCCTAGGTAACTCTACATACCCTCAGGATCCTGGAGGGTATGCTACGTAGAAACTCTACAGTATCGGCAGTCATTGAAACAAAGATCCTCTCAATAAGACTCTCACTATTAAATAAACTGAGAGGATTTAGACATAAAGCTCGTGCCTGGATAAATAGAGGCCGATGCACATACTGAGAGGATTCCAATTTTCGCTTAAGTAGGACACCACATACCCAATCGATTCCCATATCCGATCCAACCGTTGCAGAAACCAGAAAGATACTCTTATGCAGCCACCGTACGAATCGTTCGTGTATACTCAAGCAATGGTACATCGTTCAAGTAAGTAAAGAGGCAACCAACGGGCAAATCCCGTGCGATCGATCCAGAGGCAAACACTCCGTTCGCTTCAGTTTTCCTCAGTTTTTCCTCAGTTTTGAGCTCATTATTTTCAATCCTTCTACTCTGTAAAGGAAACTCTGCCGAAATTCCAGCTCAACCAACAATTGCTTAGTTGACCAAAGAATTGCTCCACCATGGCCAATGCTGGAGCAGCCTTTGGGTTGGAAGACGTGCCGGATTTGCCTGAAGCACCCACGGAACAGCCCAAGTACAACCGGGATTACCATCGACTCTTCGTCAAATTCATGAGCTGGCTGCACAAGAGGACGTACACCAAGCGGCTCGCTTCCAACCTAGTGCTTTGGCCGGCATCCAACCACACCACGTTGCCGACTACTGAAATGGCGTGCGTATGGTACGACGGACGTTGACTTCAAAGACCTCAGCAGAATCCAACTTGCCGCTCCTCTATCTCTTGAGCAAGACAAGAAGGCTATTTCCTTTACATGCCCATCAAAGGTGCACATGGAATGGAACCTCCGCAATCCAACCAAGTCCGATCCTGTGAACGAAGTGGTCAAGGAAGTCAAGAAAGCGGAGAATCAACACCGCGGCAAGAAGTCTGTGCCACCAGGGATTTGACGGAAACTGAGTATCGCAAGGTGGTCCATGAACTCTACGGCAAAGGGAGCTTTAATCGACCATCCGTACAGCCTGCATGTTGAAGCAGCAAGTCCATCTCATCACCAGGACGGACGACATCTCCAAGTTGAAGTATTCCGACTACAAGCCGCATCCAGACTTCCTTTTGCGCTCATTGCAAGGTGCATTGGTCCAAGAATATTTCGGAAGAACGACATGCCCTGACCAAATCATTCTTGGGTCGATGGATACCGACTTTTGTGCTATGCTCGGATTGGCGAATTACATGGAGGCGTCCTTCAACTACGGTATGGCGCCGCTGGTCGGGAAGATGCATTCCTCTTTACTCCCGAAAGCGATCCTAAGTTGGCTCCCAAGCACTGCAACGCAGCCTACCGCAACATTCTCAAGGCTGTCTTTTTGTCGGCTCCATTTCTGGCTGTGGCGCTCCTCATTGCCGGTGTTCTTGGGAGTCACAGCATTCGGAAGTTTGCTGCAACTCTGGCAAGAGGAATGGGTGCTACTGCTGACGAAGTTGACATTCGAGGTCGCTGGAAGGCTCGCTTATCTGGACGGGTTGTTGATGCCTACATTTCGCCTGAACAGCCCTGGATCGACGCCCGTGTTGCCGAAAAGCTTTGCATGGGGGCTCCTATTGCCTACAAGCTACACCGGATGCCAAGAGAGTGACTCCCGACTGGTTGATTGAGCATGTGGTGCCAAGGACACATGCGTTTTACGACGGTGTCAACGACATTTCGCTTCACTTGGCTCTGCCTCTGTTGTGGGCTGCTCTTGACGAATCTTGGGAGGAGAGGATGGAGCCTCCCGTTCGTGTTAGGATCCAAGATGCGTACGAGCGCATCAAGGCCGATATTCCTGTTGGCGTCAACCCTGTGGTGAAAGTGCCTCTCTCTATTTGGACGCACAACACCAAGCTCCACATCAACGAAATCGAGCCGATGGATACGGGAGGTGGCGGTGGCACGGCTGGTGGCACTACGACTGGCGGCACTACGGGAACGACCGGCCAGGCAAGCACTCGTCAAGTTGCCAATCAGTCTCGGCAGGTGACGCTATGCAAACGCAACAGCAGGTACGAACGAACGAGGAGATCTGACAAGGATTATTGCGCAGCACAACCAGCTCCAGCAGCTCATTGCGCAGGAAGTAGGACCCGCGACAGTTCGGCTGCTGCTTTGAGAGGTTGGTTGGAGACTTGGCTTGGCGCGGAGCTGACGAAACTCAATGGAAATATTTGCAGGTAAGTGTGGACTTGTGGCTGTTGGCTATTGCAACCATGGCTATTATGCTGCTAACTCTATATTTTTGTATCTTTTTAGGATTGCTGTTCAGCCTCCAAGGATGGCAACACCTGATCAGGTAGATGGTAATCTTTTTAGAAATGGGTTGACTGTGGAAAGGACTCGCCGGAATGGCCAGACTAGCCTCAGGTACAGACAAGCTGTGGCCACCACCCCTGCTGATAGTAGGCCTGCCAAGCTAGCAAGTACAGAACTGTTGGCTCTGCTTGGCAAGAGTGGATGCATGGTATTGGTGGCAACAAGCCAGCCAAGAACTTCACTGCTGATGATATCAGGGCTTGCAAGTCAACCTACTCCAGGAGGAAGCCACTCTGGACTCTCATGGCTACACTTGTCAATTCTGGCAAAGCTCCAGCTTGGGTGATCACCAAGATTGAGCACCATTACAAAGGAAGTGTTTTGAATATTACTGCTGCCATCAAGCAGGACACCATTATGGGCAGTCTGCATGAGGATCTTTGTATTGTTCGTGCTCAGTAAAGTTGACCTTAGTTTAATAAGCATGCTAGCCATGCCTTATAGTGAGTCTGTTACATGAGTACTTCTGGCTTGTGGCATTTTCGTTTTCGTGGACTTGTGCTTTTCGTGGACTTGTGCTTTTCGAACGTAGTACTAGCTAGCTAGTAGCTAGCTAGCGAGCGATTTCGTGGACTTGGTCTTTTCGAAAACGTACTCAACCAAAGAGGTGCGACGTTATCTTAACAGTGAGTAGTAGAGGTGCGAGCCTCATTTTTCTTACGGTCGAGGCGGTGACCTTCACTGGTTCGTCACTGGTATTAACATCGATCGATCGACCTTGCATACACCAGGTGTTGGGGGTACGATGGATACCTCTTGATACCTCCTGTAGGATGGCTACCACAGGTACAGGCTCTCAGTATTTCTCTCAGTTCTGGGATATACTTTTACGGTACACATGGTATAAGGCAGTGGTACCGCCAGTGCACTGCAAAATCAAATGTGTTGGGTTGCCGAAGTCTCGGTGTCAACTTTGGGAGACTGACGTCACTAATAGTTTTTGAGGGGATCTCAGGACATCAACAACCAAGCAATCCACAGATCTTCTGAAGTAATCGCATCCTTGCCACAGCCAAAGATCGTTCTTACCTATCCCCTACTGGCTTAGCAACTGCATCTTTTGGCTACCATAAGCTGGCAATTGACACTGGCGGAACAAATTGTCTGTCGTTTTCTTTCCCTTCCAAAGTTTTGTCCTTTCAGCAGAGACCAACCTTCCATACCTTTCATCACTTTCATTCTGTTCAGCACAACCAACACCGATCATGGCTATCCAAACACTTTCGTTGGGAGTTCTGCTGTTATTATGCCTCCAATACCATGCCAATGCGTGGGTTCTTAACAAGGAAGCCCTTCAAAGGGCCGCCTCGGTGGCTTCCATTTCAGCTGTCATTGTTGCCGCCCCCATGGGGGCGGACGCCGTTGTCGACTTGGCCGGTTCTTACAGCGATCCCAAACACCCCAACTGCCTACGTGTGATTGAAATCAAAGACAAAGGTCGGGCAGCCGTGTCTGGCACCGATGGGACCCCAGGATGCCCCCCCGATGGGAGTGGCCGTGTATGGAATCTAGAAGGAAAAGTGAATGGCAATGACATTTTGGTGGATTTTACACCCAAGGGAGGGCCTAAGGATCTGCTTGGCAAGTGGGAAGAGGAAGCTCCAGCAGGGATCCGGTGGCCCGATGGCAACAAATGGACTGTAAACAAATAGGGTGCAAATACGAGCATGTATTTTTTGTTTTATTCTTTAAAAAAAACTGCCATGATGATGCAAGTACCGTTTCGTTTCCACCTAGCTAGCTGGTACTTCTAAAGAAGTTTCCCTTTACAACCAATAGAGAAAATGTTGTCCAAGCATAGAGGCAATATCAGTTAGCCTGCTCCTGCTGTGGCCACTTCTCCTGCTCTGGCTTGCTTGTACAGTGTAGATGCCAGGGCTTCCAAACTTAACGCTCGGAGTCCCAAATTCTGGGAGACCCCACTCCCAGAATCTGGGAGTCACCCAGATTCTGGGAGTGGGGTCTCCCAGAATTTGGGAGTGGGGTCTCCCAAAAAATTAATGCAAGCGGTTTTCTAGAGTAAAAGTTAACAGCATCAGCAGCAGGCGGCCATGGTCGTCGGCACTACTATTACTATCCATCATGGCAACCATGATGATGCATCGATCCAACAACAACAGCATTAACTCTCTTAACAGCATCTACAATGAGATGAGATCAAAGCAGCAAGCAGAGAAGCACGCGCGCAAGAATCCACTAGTGCATCTTCCAGTCGATTTATTCTTCTCCTCCATTACTGGTAGCTCCATCGGTGGGTAGCAATAGTCAAATACAATGTCCCCACAGCAGCGTCGGTGTTCCTTCTTCCAATGGCTGCGACCACAGTCAACGCCGCAGTACTTGGCAATGTTGCATTGAAGGCACGTTATAGGACTGCCATCAATAATCTTGCTGCAACTTGGATAGTCACAAGTGCTCTTGCAATACACCTTGTGGATCTTCCAATGGCTGCGCTGACAGTCCTTGGAGCAGTACTTGACGTTGTTGCATATGCTGCAATCCGCCAGGTCTGCAGTGTTGCCGCAACCGAGATTGCTGCAGAAGGCAGGCAGGAAGGGAATGAAGGGTTTGAATGCGTCCGATGCCACATTCTCCTCCTGCTTAGGTTCCTCCTGCTTTGGTGGCTCCTTCTCCCGCTTCAATGCAGCCTTCCGCAACATGATCCACTTGCAAACACTTTTGTGAGGGTTTTCCTGCTTCTTCAGTCGGCATTTGCACATTCCCGGTTGCAGTAGAGGGTCTTGCAGCTCTTGCACCACACGCCATTGTCTCCACTCTCACATGGCTTCTTGCAGTGTCCACACAGGCGCTTCGTGCAATCATCGCATCCAACCAAGCCTTCTGGGTAGGCAAGCCGAAACATCAAGTCTGACAACTTGATATCACCGTGCTGGAACGTTGTATCAGTTCGCTTCTTGTCCTTGTCGGCTACCATCACCATGATTGGGTTTGTCGACATCTCCCGGTTGAGATAGTCAATGACTTCATCATCGGCAGTAGGACACTCCTTAGCGGAAAGCACGCGCTTCATCTGATGGAGGACGGAGGTGTAGTACATATTGCGAGCCTGCAATACGATTGGTTCCGTGCCTTCTTGGTTGTTGGGGAGTCCACGCCACATCATGATATCATTCATATGCTCTCCATCAGGCATTTGGAACCTTGGTCCGAGGAGTACTTTGCCAGCCGCGGAATAGTCGCCATGGCGACTGAATCTCGCCTCGATGAAGGCTATTGGTTGCGAGTTTGAATCGAAATACTGATACACCACACCCAGTTCAGGCTCATAGATAACGGGCTTCAGCTGGGAAGAAGCAGCCGCATGGTGAGTTTCAATGAGAGGCAATCTGCAAGACACTCCACTCCCATACACTTACCATTGCACTGCCAGGTATGTTCACAGTTTGAACGCCCACAAATGTGTCTGGGAGCTGACTGTTGTTGTAACCGAGGATCTCTTCAATCGCTCTGTTCTGCGCTTCGATGTCGGTCTGGATAGTTTCGAACGACCCAGCGACAGTAACAACAGTTGGACCAAACCGTCCATAATTTTCGGCATCTTCGAATCTCCACCCCAGCTGTTCTATCTGTTGGTCTTGGTCGTTCTTGAACTCAAGGAATACCGAGAAGTTTGTGTGATCTAAAAAGACCTCACACGTAGTGCTCTCTTTCTCAATGCGATCGATCTGTTCCCTGGAGGAAAGAGGTGAAGCCAAAAAGTGAGGCAAAGGAAAGGAGCAGATGCAAAGCACAAAGTGTCATTGTTACTCACCGCGAGTGCAGGTTGAGCAGATGGTCGGCGTCCTGTCTTGGAGAGGAGACAAAGCAAAGAGGCATGTTAGTATATCGAAGAAGTCAAGAGCGCACACTATCATCGTCATCGTCACTCACTTTGAAAGCGACATGGTCAAAGTTTAAAGTGTTGTTGTTTTGGCAGAGTGGCAATACCGGTACTGAAGAGCCGAAAATGAGCTTTTAAGCTTCGTTGACTGTCGATCGAACGGCTGAAAGAGTTTGACAGGCGTGGATCCCGTGAATTTGCCTCTACTTTGTGGTCGATTCCCTTCAGTCCGGCTTTTTCGTTCGATACTCTAGCTAGCGTTGAGTTGAAACCTTGTCTTGCAAGACCGATGTCAATCTAGTCTATGTATCTAATCAACTAGAGCAATCAATACCATCATGTCGCCTTTCAAGCTATAAACAGAAGGCAAAGAGAGATGGGAGTTGTTGTTCTCGGAGCGAAATTTTCTTCGTTGGAGGCACGGAGGCGGAGTCACACACGCTGGAAGTGCTGGATTTATACAAACGCCATTTAAAGCTTTAAGAAACGGTACCCAATGGGATCCTTTGTGCCAAGATCTTTCAAAGATCCACGGCCACCAAATACTCCCTCTTTGCTTATCTACGTCTTGATGGCTATAGTTGTTAATAGATTGTTGCAGCACTTTGAGTAAGGATGGACGCTCTCCAGGCCGCAAAGAATGGGACAATAACACGGGTATCGATACCGGGCCAACTCGTCCCTCCTCTTCCACCCATCTTCACAATTTCCTTTGTGGGTACAGTTTCCATCGAACGATTCCTCGTCCATCAATTCTGCCACCATGAGCACCGATCGTATGGCAGAGCTAGAGCTGGAGCTTAGTATTGCTAAGCTGGAGATTGGAAACTTGAAGACAGAAAACAAGGCTGTCAAAAAGACGGTGAATCGACAGTCTTTGGAGTTGAGCAAGCGAACCGTGAAGGAGGCCAAGAAAGACGCCCAGACACTTCGTCAAGTGGAAAAGCTGGATGGGGACATTGAAAAGCTTGTACGTCGTTCCCAATGCTTGAACGATCTTAACAACGAACTGCTCATGAGATGCAGGCAACATGACAAGGACATGGCAGAGCTGATCCTGAAGCTTGAGCAGCGGGACAAGATGATTGAAATGATGAACAAGGCGATCAAAAACGACCAAAGAGCATTGGAAATCCGCAACATGGAGGTCGAGCTACTGGAGCTTCAGAATCAGAAATTGAAGGATCAAATTAAAGGCTACGAAGCTATTTTTGGAGCCGGTGTCTTTGTGGCAATTTCCAAATAGTCGAAATCCACAACGCAACAACACAACACAACACAACACAACAACAGCTTTATCTCGGCGCAGCAGTACAGTATTTGTTACAACAATTGACGGACCAAACGTAGTTAAAACGTAACCAATCTAGTTTAGTTTATTATGATTCCACTGCCATAGAAATCGTTGTTTGTGCTTTGATCGGATGCACTATTTGTTCTTCGAGAGGGATACGTTGAACTCTGCAATAATGATATTGATCATGGTGACGAGCTCCATTGCCTCAGCTGCAATGAAGTCTTTCATTACTCGTGTCTGGATCTTCTGCAAGGTGTTGCCCTTATTGAAAACGAGGATCTGCAGCATTGCCTTCAAGGTGTCCGTGAAAACTGCATATTCTTCTGTGCGGAGCCAGGTCGTGAGGCTGCCCGCAACTTCCTCAGCATTGACTTTGTTAGTCCTGACTTTGCCATCGGGTCCAAGGAATTTAGTGACATCAATGAATCCCAAACAAGCAGCCAGTTTGCGAATGTCCTTGTCAATGCAGAGGGTGCCTGTGAAGCCGTATGCGTTCTTCAGGAAGAAGCTCGCGTTATGCTCGTTCATCAGATCACAATGACAATTCTGGTTCAACTCCAAAAGATCATCCAATGTAGTAGGGCAGATGCCCCCCTCAGTTCGAACATATTCGGCAAGTGGCTTCATCCAAGAACAGTCCAGCTCGTTGCTGGCTGCTGAAATCGTAGCTTGCTCAGCTTGCGCAAGCTTGTCATATTTCAACAGGTCTTTCTGTTTCAAGTCAACCAAGAGGTTGTGGACAACACCATCTGGATCCCTGTGTGACGTGTGAGAGTACAATTCGAAGACGTTTGTGAAAACAAGGTATGGCACTTACCTGTCTTTCTTTTTCCAGAGCGCAATGCTGATTAACAGCCACAAGAAAGCCCTGTCTGAAGGGTTGCCTCCACGTGTTGTCCCGCCAAGTAAATTGTTGACAAACCCACTCAATGCACACCGGTCTGCTTCTATTGGCGGATGCATTGACTGAAGAGTGACCAAGAGTTTTCTGAGTAATGCATACTTCTTTCGAGACTCCTTGATCCAAATGGCCCCAGGCTTCTTATAATCGTTGCTTCCGGCGACACGCAAGGGTGGATGCTGACCTTTCGGGATGCTAGACCAGTCATGAGTTTCAAACTTTGGCCGCTCAGTCCTTTCAATCTTGGCCTTCTTGTTGTTCTTCGGTGCTTTTGCTTGGTTAGCCACTCTCTTCCTGGTGGCAGCTGGGCTGCGAGCGCCCGTACCGTTGGCAACGGCGGGTCTGGGAGCAGTGGCAGCACGTCGTGGACGAGTGTTGAGTGCATCCTTCTTTTGTCTGCTGCTTCTTCTTTGCAACTTCTGTCTTTGGATCCTCTACTGCACCCCCTTTCCCCCCTTCGTTCCTGCTGTCATGGAGGATGAATCCTTCTCCTTGGATGCTTCTGCCCCCTTCAGTTTCAAATCTGTGGCAGCAGCTGGATCCTTTGTTTGTGCTTCATCTTCCTCCGCTTTCTTCCCATCATATACTGCCACTGATGCCGCTAGTGCTCCTGCCTGTACCTTCTTTGAATTTGCAGGCTCTGCTGCACCCCCCAAAGAGCAAGGAATTGGGGCTGCCTCCTTTCCTGCTGCTGCTGCTGGGGTAACAATTGCTGGAGCGGCCTTGCTGGCGCTCGGAGTTGAGGGATTATCTGTGCTAACCCCTTGAGCTGATGATGATGATGTGGAAGTCTCCACTCGTGATGCTGCTGCTGCTGCTGCTTGTGCCGACGCCGCTGCTTGTGCAGCTTGTGCTGCTGCTTTTTGCAGCTTGTGCTGCTGCTTGTGCCGCCGCTGCTTCTTGTGCTGCGGATTTCTTCTTTGCATTGAGTCGCCTACGGTACTTTTGGACCTCTGAATTCCATTTGTCGGTGAATTGTTTTTTTGTCGTGCAGCCGATGAAGCTTTTTTCAGCCATCGTATCGATGACACTATTCTCGCTTGCTGGATACATATAGCGGAAATCGCTATGAACTGCACGGTTCGAATTGAGGTACACTCTCCATGAACTCCACCCAGGCAGTGTTGTGAAGGCTTCCTTCATTCTCAGTTTCTCGCTAAAATTCGCTCTGGACGTATTGAATCTCTCACGCCATTCCCCATAGGCAACCATTAGCTTCTTGTTCAACGTGGGATTGATCTCGGAGAAGTCTTCTACCCGTGGCATCATGATTTTGCCAGTCTGGGCAAGCGCTTCGGCTTCAAACTCAAGCAGGTCCTTCTTCTTATGTGGGAGTAGTAATTCAAGTTTGTCAACCTCCAGTAGAATGGCAGCAATTTTCCCAGCTTGGAATACCTTCTGGGAGTAGGTCGCAGAGGGAAGATAGATGGTTGCTAGTTGCCTGAGCTGCTTTCGTTGTTCCTGTCCAAGGGCTTCGTAACTACCTTGAAAGTCTTCCTCATCGGCTGTTGCCGCATTGGCTTCTTGAAAGTCTTCCTCATTGGCTGTTGCCGCATTGGCTTCAGGACAATTCTTGTCAAAGGATCGCCATGGGTTGTTGAAAAGTGTGCCCGCTGCCACCACATGCTCGTTGGAGGGCTGGGTGTCAGCATCAAATAAAAGGAAAGCTTTTGAGAATCAGAGAGAATGCGTGATCCGAAGTGCTCAACAGGAGTGCATGCCAATCGAAGAACTGCTTTTTTATCTGTTTCAGGGACTTGATTGTCTGCACCCCACAAGCGTTGAAAAGCTGCATGATAATGCTTGGGTTCGAGCACCTGTGGAACGTCACAGCCTTGAACTTTGAACATGTGCTTCACAGCCTCTTCTATCGAGCTGAAGGGACCAGGTTGTAAAAGCTCTTCTGCCGTGTAAGGCTGGAGGTCGCCAGCATTCTCGTTGAGTAAATTAGTCCACGCGACACTAGGACCCTGAGAATTGCAGAGATACTGGACCCAGTCATTAGTGTTGCGACCAGCAAAAGACCTCAACCATGGGCAACCCAAAACATGACAGGCGGCTACCCACTGGATGGTTGTGGTAGACTTTAAGATGAAGCCACAGTTCATCCCCGTCGCTTCCTCGGTTGTATCGAAAGTGAAACTGCTACAAAGGACGGTAGGATCAGTCTGGCCAATTTGACTGCAAGCTTATGCGAGTCATTCAATTGGTCATGTGCGTTGATGCAGCGTTCCCATACTGTGAAGATCTTGTCCTGATAATCGCTCCCCGCCGATCTGAGGGCTTTCTGGAATCCCTGTGATAACTCAACATCCGCTTCATTTGTAGGGTCGAAAGGCGTCGAATCCATATCTATACTCTTCACTTTGCCCAAGACAGTCGTAAACAACTCTTTGGGTTCGACATTTGGTACTGAGATGAATCCTTCGGATTTCTCCAGCATAGAACAGATCTCTTTTGTGCATTTTGGTGAAATTGGGACGGCTAGCTCTGGAATGGATTTGTCCTTCTTCATTCCCACGAGGACATTTGCCCCCGTGATGTCCTTGAGCCCGTCTGCTGGTGCAAGGGGTTTCATTCCAGGGGGAGGTGACGAGACACTGCCCACTTCAAACCGCAGAGGAAAAGCTTCCAAGCTTTTTTCCTCGTTGGAAAGAGGGCTTATACTGGCATATGAAAGCTCGTCAAGGACCGGGCTGCTGCTTCTTTCAACATCAATTGCTGCTCCTGCTGTTGCCCCACCTTGTTGCTTTTCCTCAGGATTGTTACGTTTCTCTATACATGCTGTCCATTCTTCATCAGCCCAAACACTTCCAAAGACTAGATGAGCACCCATCCATTGGTGTGTTGCTCGTGATGGCACTAGATAAGTCCCGTTGCTGGTCTCAATGCAGGAGTCTCCAAAGGCAGATGGATTTGTCAATGCCATGCGAAAGCTCAATTCTTTTGCTGCCTTATTCACGTCGGAGTCTTCGCTGCTTCCACTTTCTGGCCACATTGAGTTGTACAGTTCTTGGTAGTTGGCTGCCAGTGCAGAATCAGGAACCATTGAAGCCACAGCTTTCGACAACTCTTGGTCCTTATCATTGTTGGGTTCGAACGGGGTCCAGTTCATCTTGCCGCCACAAAACACGCCAACTCGTTTCCAGTTTGAATTGGCGGCACTCGATGTCACTTCATAAGCATTCTTGGGGCGGTCTACCGTATCCTTTTCCATCAGATCCGTCATCCATAGGTGGCCGAGCACATCCCAAGCTCCCATCAGCATGTCAGTGCGCAGAGAGCGAGGTAAAAGACCAATGGCGTTGTTGGCTTCACATTCCTTGAACTCTTTGAATGCTGTTGGCTTGGCCATTGCCAGGCGGATGCAAAGATCCTTTATTTTCTCAGCAAGCTCCTGGGACTGCGCATTGCCTTTAAATACATCGTCAAACACCTCCTTCCAAAAAGATCGAGTAGAGTTTTCGAGTTTGACATCCTGTGGGTCTCTTTCTCCTGCATTTCTGTTGCTGCGGACGGCCTCAGTAGCAATTGCTTTTGCAAGCTCTTCATCAGCCACATTTCCTGGTTCAAATGGCTTTTTGGTCGATAACCATTTGTTGACAAAAACCAAATCGTAGAGATTTGCACGCAGCTCGTCCGATGCGTAAAGAGGCACGCGATGGGAGACGTCTATCATTGGAGGATCCATAGTTTCCCCCGTTATTTTGGTCGAGTCGGGATCTGAGCTGCTGTTTGCACGTCGTTGGCTTCCGTAAAGAGTTGCAGTTCCTCTGTATCCATCTATTACTTTTGGCATGGCTTGGGATTGGCCCATGGCCATCTTTGTCGGACGCCGGAAACTTCGAATGGCTACGTTCGATCCACGGTGGGAGTTTTTGAAGCGTGGGAGTTAGTCGAGCCGAGTGATATCCTGGTTTCCATCAGTCGCCCACGCAGATCCTGGTACTGATTCTACGTTGAAATGGAATTTTAGCAAATCCGGAATTTTGATACAAAACCCACGTAGAAATTGCCTAACGGGAAAAGGCCTCAAAAGCTTTAACCTTAATAGGCTTCTACTCCAACCAACCCAGAACTTTCCTCGAACTTTCCTCGAACTTTCTTGAACCTCGTGGACAAAGTTTAAGTGCTGCCATGGAGTCAATCGCCACTTTCCACTTCGTCCTTCGACCATGGCAAGCACCTTTGAACGGACTCGGGTCCTATGCCAATGCGGCTCTTGTCAGAGGCCCGATAGGTGGTTGGCTACAACAGGCCTTAATGGCAGGATAGAAAGAATTCATGACGAATTCGCTATTCTGGAACCATGTGGCCACGTCTATTGTGGTAGATGTCTTGCCCATCGACTAGCCAGGCGAGAGGGAAACATGAAATGTGGATGTTCGGACTGCAGGGCCACCGTGAAAAAGCACGAATACTTTGATATGGACATGAAAACATTCAATACAGAGCACTACGATGTTGATCCTTGCCCTGATCGCGATCCTTTCCAATTCTTACGGCAACAAGTAGATATGGGAGCTCGAAGCTTGCCCACAAAACTGACATTATCTTTTGTCAGTCGCAACCTTACTCCTGCTGCATTGACGGCTTCCTTTGATAGGAAAAGCTACCAGCCACTCTCAACAAAGGACAGGGTAGCGTTCACTGGTATTCTGGCAATGCTCCATCCTTTTCTTCTTTCGCGTCGCCAAAACCGAAACAACCGCACCGATGAGCATGTCGCTTCTAGAAATTTGCCGCTTTGCTTTCTATGAAGACGACCGCGATCTAGCAAAGTACGTCTTCGCGCTTTCTACTGGGTATGACAAAGTTGAAATGGACAAAGTTAGGCAGAACTCATCCTATCAGTCAAAGCTTCTGGCGGCGTTTGTTGTCACTGAAATGCTCGCAAGAGTCAACTCTCCGGGACCTCAGAGGCTACAACTTTTGATCTCTGATCTCTTGAATATCTACAAAATCCCAAACAGAACATGCGATGCTTAAATCGAATGAGACTTTGCGCTGACGAGAAAACGCTCCACAACTTTGCATCGGAGGCAATTTGTCAGCATGCAATTGAAGGAAAGAAAGCAAACAAATGTGTAATTCATAATGTGGATCATCGACAACATTGGATTTCGCAAGAAGGTTGGTTATGATCAATGGACGATTGTGGAGAACATCGTCATTACCCTTGACAAGTTAATCGCCGCCAATATCTACAATCCACAACCTGAACTAGCCCTGTCGAGGGAAAGAAGAGATCTCAATGAAATGATTCAGGAAGACGGCCTGTCCACTGTTTGCTCCAGAGTAATCGAGCCAACAAAGGCTGATATTAGTTCGCTCTGCTTTTATTGCCTCAAGCACATCGAATACGCCATGGAGGTAACTGTCCCGAGCCACGAAGAATGCTTGGAAATGGAACGAGAAGAAGAGTATCATTCAACAATGTCCATCCACAAAAACATGGGTGTGATATTACAGGTGCAAAAAGGGGAGACAACTAGACAATCAATCTACCAAAGAAACAACATGGTTCCGCAGCCAGTGCATGTCGACCTTTCAAAAAAAGACGTAGTTAGAGATCTGTCAAGAGTTGCTCACAGGCAGCCACCAATCTTCTTACAACAGTCAACAACGCACCCATCCCAAGGTTTGTGCGAGATTCGGAACCAATACAGAACCAAGTAACAGCTATTGTGGGGGATGGAGCTCCTGTTTACCTCGCGGGAAGAATGGACACAGAAGGAGATGACAGTGAACGACTGGCCGAGTGGTTCTTTGGTGGGCTCCACTACCTAATCGAATCTCTCAACGTCTTTGGCGGTCTCTTTCTCGAAACCAGGGGACATCTAGTGTGGAAGTACCGAGACACCCCCGGCCGATTTAACTGGGTTATGCATCCTCGCAGCCCTGATGATCCAATGAATGAGATTCTGCCTTATATCATTGCTTTGAACAGAGCCGCGGCAGACTGCTGCGCAGATGCTCTGCAACGAGAAGTCACACCGGCAGAAGTTCTGCAGCATCAAGTGGATTGTGCTCTGGCAAACCCAAATGCACTTCTCGCGTTGATGGAGTTGCGATACGCAACTTTGTTGCTCATGCTGAGAGACTCTGAGAAGGTTGGTCAGCATGGAGATGTGAATCTCTTTATTGCCTGCATTCGGCTCTCTTTACCATTCTGTGCTGTCACCAATGCCTACAAGTACGTGAGCATTGGATGTGAGTTTCTTGCCTGGTGGGAAACAGCATCAGCTGCAGACAAGAAGCTCTTTGAAACGTTCATTTACACGAGGCACAGTGAAAGTGGGCTGCCCATTTGGTCGGATAGATGCATTGAGTGGACCATGGGGCAGATTCGGGAGTACATGGGAAAGCTGCAACGCCCCGGGCATGATTCAAGGATGAACAAGACAGTTGCAGAGTTGCCGTGGCGAGAAGGCGACAAGACACCTGAGACATGGATGAAGCTGTTCTCACGAAGTGATCTTGTCGATCCCGACATGAACCGCAAAGCCAGAAACTGTAATGAGTCGACGCTTCATGGTTTTGGAGTAACAACAATCTATGCCTTGACCTATAATCATGCGAGACAACAAGGCTATTGGCAGCTGCCAGAGTCCACCGAAGTCATGAGTGAGCTCTTGAATCCAAAGGGCGAGGCAATGGACACCACAATCCTCAAAGCATTTCCATTGGGACTGCGACGGCTCAAGCATTTCTTCAGAAGCAAGTATACTGATGACGGCTCGGATTCAGATGACGGCTCGGATTCAGATGACGACAGCATCTTAGAAGGGGAGTCATTGGAGATTGGCCGGATTCCTTGCAGTGTCACGAAAGTGTCTTCAGAGCGGGAAAACAAGGTGATACAAATGACTTCAACTTCTCTGGCCGAACTTTCAAAACTTCCTGCAAGGCTTTTTACAAAAAATGACATCATGAAGGAAGCTTGTGAACTACAGGGCTACTTCAACACATTCAATCTACCGGGAAAAGGAGACACGAAGAACGCGTGGTTGCGAGCACTGTGCCAACTACGGGAGGAATACTTCTCTGCATTTCCAGAGTTTGTTGAAGACATCAAGCGCATGATATCGGACGAGTCGTCTTCTGCCACTGCCTCCACAAGACGCGAAAGGAAGCAGGTGCTTGACTCACAGTTTTTTGCTGTCCACCAACAAGTGGCTGTTTCTTTTGACTATGTTGTTAAGAGGAACTCAAAGCCTTGCTTCGGAATCGAACGATGAGCCAACAGCAGAATCATTTGTGCAGTCGACATAATTATAGTTCTACTACCTGGTTACTATTACCTTTCTTAATATCCATTCATCCAATCCCAACGCCAAGGACAGCATTGGTTCTCGTTTGCCACTGCCATTACCTTTTCTCCGGGGTCCTCATACCATTATTCTTGCTGCCTGTCTTCATGACACCAACAAAAGCAGTCGATTCTTGCACAATGTTATCCGTGCTGCGTGGCTTCTTAGGCTCTTGCTTGCGAGCAATGTCTGGCTGCTGGACGTTTTGCATCATGGTCTCAGCCGACGTGGTGTAGTCGATTTCGACGTTTTCGGACTTCAGCATACTCATCAGTTTCAAGCCCTGAGATTTCGATGGCACCAGGACAGTCAAGGTAGGCTTTTCGAGATGCAAGTCACACGGTCTGACAGAGCTACTGGCAACAGTGTTCGGTTTCTGCTCTGAAAAAAAACCATTGCAGGAATGATATTTGGCCAAAGGGCTTCTCAGACGATTGCCTCCTCTGCATGGAAGTCCAGTCACCAATAGGGATCTGGTGGAAGTCATCGCTCTTGGTGAGAGGCGTAACCATTGTCTGGAAAGCCTCCAAAGCTGTAACAGCTGTTTCAAACTGGCGCCGAGGTCTTTCGGCTAATTGATGTTGCGGCAGTGTTGGACGCTCTCCTTTCTTCTTCCTGGATTTGTTCCTATTGTTGACCCGTAGCGGAGATCATCTTCTGCTTTCGTTTTCGTTGTTTCTTTGCTTCTCTGGAATTGTCGTTGGGGCACGGAATAAGCTCCCAGTTCGTGGAGACGTGGGTGATCATTTGGTTGTTTACGTTCTTTCTTTGGAATGTGAAGCTTTTTCTTGCTGTTGCCATCTGCGACCCTCAAAGGAGGGCGAGAGAGAGGAACAGGCTTCTTTGCTGATTTGACTTTGAACAACTCCGATGCCAAAGTGGTGATCTCTCGTCTCATTGAGTTGATCCTCTTGTCAACTTGCTTACAACCAAAGGAAGAGTTAGCTGCCATTTCAAAAGAATAAGGCATCAAATCGTCATCTTTCTCCAGTTTGTCTACAAGCTTGCATGCCGAAACAGTGTTGTCGAGAGTGTGCAACAAGCAGTCAAGGGAACCTTCACGTTGCTCCGAAACTGAAGGAAGATGAGTGGTCGGATTGAAACGGTACAGTAACAGGATACGATTGCCACTTACTAAATCGGCACGAGCTTCTTCAATGTCGATGGTTGATTCAATATCCGTTCGAGAAACAATGTTGAGCCCACATGACTCGGACGTCCTTAGCCCATCTCCAACATCTAGGAGAAACTGAACAAGCTGTGAAACGATGGAATCGTTTTGTGGAGTGTTGCATCCTGCAACGAGTCAAGATGGGAGATACGTGTGTAATCTTGATCAATTTGAGAGCCTATGAAACAGCTCAGTGGTGAGAAGATCATCGCAGTAGACACATGCTTGCTTTCAATAATCGGCACAGCCACCAGGAATTTTTCTGAAATCAAATCAAACCCAGAAACCCATCGATCAACTGCCCGAGGCCTTAACTCAGGATCGTTCAGTTGCCACCAGAAGTAGGGTTCGAGCCATAAGACTTTGGAAGGAAAACCAAAGCGACCCATCCTTTGAGCAGCAAGAAATGCATATAAGGAAAGCAAGTTATGACAACCTGTATCGAGTAATACATCAGCGCACTCACCAGTTCCTGACGAAACAGAACAAGTTGTCGGCTAGCATGTCATCCTTCATCAGCCCCTGCTGGTCTTTATGATAGAAAGGAGCCTGTTTAATGTGCTTGTTCAGCGTTTTTGATCCGGTGACGAGGGCACGCTTGAATGGTTGCGAGCTTAGCTTCTTTTCAACCTCAGCAACGTCCTCAAATTGCATCCCATCAAAAGGGAAAGTAATCATCGGTGGTTCACTTGTCGGGACCCGTGCATTGGGATTGTCAACATCCACTACCTCTTCTGGCGGCTCCTCCTTTTGGGGCGTGTGGCTACTCCTACTCATTGGGATCGGGCTCAGGCTTAAACCATTTGATACATCCAATTTTCCTTGATTGGAGATGCGCGGCTGTCCTCGTCGTTGCCATCAAGGAATGGATCGGGGGATTCCTTCTTTCCTGAAGCTTTCTTGATTGGAGTTGTCTGGCTGTCCTCGTCGTCGCTATCACGGAATGTATTGCGTGATGCATTCCTTGCTGAAGCTTTCTTCAAAGAGGATGTCTCGCTGTCATCGCTGTCATCGCTGTCAGACAAGATGGGGGAGGACATCTTGTTGTTGTTGTTGCTGGGGACGTGCAGCCTGCTGTTGTCATCATCGTTGCTGCTTTTAATGACAGGACGGTCCATTTCCTGGAGGCGTCGATCAACTTCATCTTCGTCACTACTAGTAGAAGATTCGTCATCACTGGATGCACTTTCAACCTCTGTACCGCTGATTGTTTTGGTTGTTTCAGAAGATGCTTTCATTTCACCGCTTTGGTCCAAGGCTGCTGCGACTTCGGAGCTCGGCTCCGTCCCATTGTAGGATTTGGATTGAACTCTTTCAGCAAAGCCGACCCCGATTTTGTCGCCCATTTTCCGGTACTTTTTTTGCCTCATTGTGACGTGTTTCTTTTGCTGTGCTGCCTCCTCTTCAGCCTTTCGTCTTTCCTCTTCCTTGGCTTCCTCACTTGTTTTTTTGCTGTGCTGCCTCCTCTTCACCTTGCGTCTTTCCTCTTCCTTGGCTTCCTCGACTTTTTCTTTTGCTGTGCTGCCTCCTCTTCAGCCTTGCGTCTTTCCTCTTCCTTGGCTTCTCGACTTGTTTCTTTTGCTGTGCTGCTCCTTCTTCTTCCTGGCTGCTTTCCTCTTGGCTGCCCTTCTTGTTCTTCTTCTTTGCTGCCTCCTCTTCAGCATCTCGCCTTTCCTTCTCCTTCAGCTTCCGAGTCTTGTCTTCCTCCTCAGCCTTCGACTTCTCAGCCACTTGCACTTCCTCTCGATAACTCGTTTCGCATGCTTTAAGTGCGGCCTCTTTGTGCTTCTTCCTCCTGTTCGTGCTGTAATTCGACCGTGAAGAGGTGGGAGGTGGCGGCGCTGGAGGAAGGTCTGGCTCCCAGTTCTTCCTCCTTGATCCGCGAGTTCCAACCATTGTTTTGTCGATTGCCCTACGATGCACTTTAGCTTGTTTGTGTGCTTGTTTGTGTGTTCCATGGCGAAGGGTGCGAGGATTTGGTGATCAACAGTTTCACCATTCGATTCGATTCAAATCGAGATTTTCTTGTTCAATGGCCGATGCTGCCAAACGGCGCCATCCAAAATATCAAATTCAATGGACTGCCTCCATCGACCACCGCAGTTAACTCCATTGTGGCTCCATGCAACGAATACATCATGATGTCTACTCGATCAGTAAGCTTCAAAGCTAAGCTTCCAGCTACGGTACGCATTAGCGACAGGCTAATACCAGTAGTAGCTTTCTCGTGACGTTTGAGCAAAACAGATTATAGTCTATTAGGGTTTAAGGATAATTTTTGTGGCGAGTAAAGAAGCGACGATGGGCAAGGAGACGACGGCTCTGCATGACTGTCTTTGAATGTCGCACAATCCACCAATACAAACGATGGTTCCAAAAGGATGGGGCCAGCAGCAGCTTACTTCTTGCCATTGCGGGCAGGCTGCTTGCGGCTAGGACCAGGGGTTGGCTTGCGGGCAGCCTCCCTCTTCGATTCCTTGGCCTGTTTCTTCTTGGGGTTGAGCTTCTTGGGAGTAAAGTACTGCTCCTGGGAAAATCCACCAGCCTCCATGTACTCCTCGCTGGAATCAGAGGTGTCCAAGACGTTGACACTGGCATTCAAGCCTCTGGCAAGAAACTTCACCTCATCGTCATCTGACAATTCCTCCGAGTATTCCGACTCGGAAGAGGACATGTCCTCAGTAGCAGCGGGAGCGGGAGCCGCAGTGGGAGGGAGGGTGTCAGCGAAGGGAGTGGGAGGGGGGGAGGCTTCGAAGGGATGGGAGGGGGGGGGTCGAAGGCAGAGGAAGAGTCGAGTGAGTAACCACCGGGAGAGTAAAGCAACGAGGCAGGGGCAGTGGCAGCGGGTGGGGCAGCGTCAGAGCCAGTTTCCGTGGAAGCATCTGGCTCAGCAACAGAAGCTGGGCGAACTTGGGTGGCCTCTTCTGCATGGGCTTCTTCCCGATCCTCGACGCGAAAAGCCATGCTCCAAGGGGTTCCCTCGATGGTGAGGCTGACTTGCTTGCCGGTTTCCTTGTTGATGCCATGAGCCGTCACGGAGAATGCTTGCATATCGAAGCGCATGATTGAAGATTTAAATTTGTTGTTGCTTCAGGGAGATCCTCTGAGATGTGAGCTGCAGGCAAACTGATCGGCCAGAAAACAAGCTCGACTCCACTTTCCCTCGGTTTTGAGGAGAACCGCGCACTCCACTCGGAACCGAGGAAGCTTCTTTTCGCTTTGAAGCTCGATAATAGCGGGGAAAGATCCAATGAAGAAGAGCCCGCTGCCAACAGATTGGTTTTGATTCATTGTTTCTGCCCCGGCTGACGGACTCGACTCCCCCTCGCCTTTTTTAAACGCCCACAACTTTGAGCCCGCCACAACAGATTGGTTTGGTTGCATGCGATTTGGCAAACACCTCTCCCTCACTTTTTTGACCGCAGCTTCCAAACATGATGTTGGACGCATTCACGAACCATGCTCTCGCCCTCTTTCTTGCCGCCCATTCTTGGTGGCAATGGGTTTTCAATTGTGGCGCAAAGCTGTGAATCGTCTGTACTCATCCTTTCTCTTTGTTGTCGGTTGCATTCACTCCGCTTGTGGGCGCTTGATTGGACAAGGTGTCACTTGGAACACGCGTTTTCCTTCAGCAGTGATGAAACCGACGAGATTACTATGGTGGTCCGTATGACTTCCACTATGGATACTTTGACAAGCGTGTGCAAGGATCCTTGACATTGCAACAGTTTGGAAGCACAACTCTATTTAGACTTCTTCTTGATGGACACGAAGTCTTGCATGCCGAAGATGGGGAAACGCCTTTGCCGGGGGAACGCTTCAACGGAGCGGTGTACCTCCCTGAAAACGTCCAATGGGAGCCGTTCTTCAGGAAGGTCAAGAGTGCCAACACTACATCTATCCGTGGCAGATGCACTATTCTGAAGTTTGGACCCAACCGGTCGGGTATCTCATACATCCAAGCCACCTTGATCCACACCAGCAGCAGCAAGAGTGCAGATGCCAAGCGAGCAAGTGCTGCCTTTGAACAAAGCATCGTTAAGGCCGCTGAGGTGGTAAACAGTGTGTCCCAATCGAAGAACAATTTCCACTTGTAGTTTGAACACTTCCTGGACCCGTGGCAAACAAACATCAATCCGCAGAATGTGAGCGGCACATCACAACAAACATGGCAGTATCCAAGAAGGGAGCTTGTTTCCTTACTCCCCTAACGATAATAAAGAACAAAACCTATCAAGATAGTGATTTGGTGGCTGACTAGTTGCTAGGCCGTAAGTACTAGTATCGGTGGCTTCGCGGTAACTTGAGGGACTACAATGTCATGTACAATCGTCATCAAAACGAATAATGTGAGCAACCAAAATTTCGACCCGTCAATCCATAGATAAGCTTTGCTTCCGGTTTGATGGCATAATTTCCTTTATATTAGATACTTTGGCTTGCGATCGATTGACTATGCTCCACTGTCAGATCCAAGCAGGAAGAGAGACCGTTTGACTGTAAAATTAGACCATGTTTGTTGAGTCTAATCCCTCATCGCTACGGGAAAATGGACGTGTTGGCTCGTCGATCCTTGGAAAGATAAATACTCTATTCAACCACAACTCAACGAAACAATATTGACAATGGTAAGTGCTTGCTACTGGTATCTATAGTAGTGGATGTTTATAAACGAAACAACAATGGTACATGTATGATGGTGCGTGTCTGCTGCTTCCGATCTAGCCGCTAACACAACTCGAACCTTTTGTCATAGTCCCACAATGCTTGAATAATGGAACCCGCTATCACCACGTATATCCTCCAACCATGAGGATCTGTGGATTGTTGTGTTGTCGGCTCATTCCTCCTGTACGTTCTCTTGGTCATCTTCAGCTGCTTCCACCTTGGAGATCCAACCGTTCCGCTCACACATTCCCTTGATCTCCTCGTATGCAGAGTCCGAAAAATTCAACAAGAGCCGAGGATAGGAGCCGTTTTCAATCTCCTTCTCTATCTCTGCCAACGCAAATGGGAGGGTAACCTGAAGGCAGCCAGGATCTCCTTGCTCCTCCTTCATGCAAGCGAACAGGATCTGCCAGTTGTCTCTGTCAGCCGAGTACGCATCCGTGTAGTCTTTCTGCCATTGGTTGATGCGTCTAAAATGGCCAGCCACTTCATTATCTTCAATCGCCCGATCAATGACCGTCAGGGTCTCCTTGGTCCATTCTAACTCTTCCTTGTATGTTGTCGCCTCTTCCTTACATTTTGCCGCCTCCGCCTTGCACTGCTCGATCTCTGCTCAGCAAAGCCTCTACTTCCGTCTGTTCGGTGACAGCCATGTGGGCCAGAGCAACGGCCACTTGGTTAATGTCAGGCTCTTCGTGCCTGGTGCGTTTGGCTGGCCGCTTGCTCATGGTCAAAACTTATAGTCAAAACTTCGGATGAGACGAGACAACAAAGACATCAACCACAAGTTAACAGGTGAGTTAACAGGTGAGCTTACCTCAAAGTTTGTCGAACTGTCGAACTGTGCGAACGATTTTGGTATGCAGCCACAAGCGTGAGGGCTGCAGCATCGTGGCATCGTGGGGGCTCCACGAAAGGAGTGCAGTGACAGCTTCCTCGATGGAGTCGGCCGACAATACCGGCCGACAATATCGGTATCTTCATCATCGACTCCTTTTGGCGATTGTCAGGAAGCTGTGGATGCAGATGACGGACCAACCGATGGTAGCTGCATGATGCATGGTCGTCCATGGTTACTACCTATACTAACAGTTTGATGTTGCCATCGTGACAAGGTTTAAAGGTGGACGAGCCGCCGAGAATAGTGAGACTCCCAGATTCTGGGAGTGGGGTCTCCCAGAATCTGGCAGACAGCCTCCCAGATTTTGGGAGTCTGACTCCCAAAATCTGGGAGTCTGTACTGGAACGGTTCTTTTCTGTTAAATCTGCTTGGGAGACCCCACTCCCAGAATCTGGGTGTGGGGTCTCCCAGAATTTGGGACTCCGAGCGTTAAAGGTGTTGCTGCTAAGAAATAGGATGTGGATCCCTGGCTTAGTTGAAGGCCCAATTCCTTCTCTCCATGTCTTGGCCATCTCTACTTCTGGAGCTGCTTGCTTGGTTGAACGGAGATTGGAGGCTCTTTGCCTGGGCAAAAAGAGAATACCGGTACTTGAATCCAAAAGGACGGGCTGCTACTAGTTTCTACAATCCGTAGCTGGCTAGCGGGCAGCCCGTGTTGGAATACTAAGCGGGGCCACTGTAATTGAGCTTGTAGGGAGATTTTGGGGCTACGGTACAACCAAGATGCGACACTCGGAGCCACACTGGGGTACAAGAACTCGACGAGATCTGCTACAATGGCAGCAGTCTCCAATGAATTTTCTAACTTCTAAGTGATATCTACCGGTGTAAATATAAGCACCGTCATAGTTCGTTCTTTCTTGGGGGCGGGTGATGAGCGGACTGTGCCGTCCCCCCTCGGCATTTATGCAATTATGCTGCGGTCGTTGCAATACCAGAGCAGCGGTCTGGGCTGCTTTGACGTTCAGGCATGATTGGTCTTCCAGCGCCTCGAACAGCGCTCAAGCTCTTGGCGCGACGCAAGAGTCCCCGTCGACCCTGTGCGAACCGGCCTCCGGATTCAGCCACTGCATCTTCCTGCTCGTTCGAATCCTCCTGTACATTCAAACGTTTCTGGCTTAGCTGACGATCAAAGCGCCTCTTCGTGGCCGTCACAGCATCAAAAACAGCAAGTCCCGCAGCGCCGCCCGCAATGACTGCATCTGTCAAAGCTTCTGTGGCGGCAGTTGCAAGTCCAACCGGTTCCACCTCTGGCTCTGGGGGCGCCTCATTCGAGACGTATCGGGCCTTCCCGCCCTTATCTTTCCAAAGAGTCCTCTTTGGCATGCTGTTTGTTCTAGGGGGAGGTCTCCTGATCTTTCCTTCCTTCTTTGGTTGGGGCTGCTCGTCTGTCTTTTCCACCTGGGGGGCATCATCTCTATTCCACCGCAAGCCCCGCGGCATGCTAAGAGATCTCGCAGGTAGTCGTCTGACTCTCTCTACCTGCGCGGGCTTTGCTACCGGTGCCGGGGAAGCATCTTCATTGCTGTTGGAAAGAGACACGGTGGAGCAAGAGCAATCCGAAAGACTCTCTGACTTGTCTAGACCCTCTTCCATCTTGCTTGTTTGCTTTCTTTGCGTTTCTATTGTTTCGTTTCCCAATCTATGTCTTTTTTATGCTAAGCTTGGTGTTGTGAGTGAATTCTAACCCTTCCGCAGACACCTATCTGACCATAGCTAGCTATACCTACCTGGAAGCGAAAACAAGATTCGGGGCTCATGCCACACCGTAGTAGTGTTGGCTCGAGGATCGTTTGTTTCACCTCCAGTAAAAACTGGACGTCGATCTGATTTATTGGGAGTGACGACCTTCACCAGTGACATCCGATTATTGAAGGTCTTTCCTGTTCAGCGTTCGTTCACCGGAGACGCCTTCGGTTTGGAAAAAATCGGTGAACGAGGCACGACCACCAAGATCCACCTTACCCCACGGTACAAGCGTCGTCTTTTGTTTGTCTACTTGTTACCTGTCCCGGTAGCCCTGGTCGAGTGGCTCTGTTCTTGGTTCAAAGCAAGCTCGATACGGTACATTATTGATCCATTTGCGTTCGCAAGGCATACCGGTACCGTAGATGCACTAATCTTTTGGTCGCCTCGTACCCACTTACGATCCAACAAATTGGCACCCCCGTTACTCCAGTAAAATTGTTTAAAGTGGGAAACGCGTGAGGTACATACCGGTACGGCTGTGCTTCATCAATTATCTAGGGTCGCTGCCGCACGCACGGTTGTCGTTTTTGCTGTAGAGGGCTGGTACTGCGACCACCACCATTCCTTCCTTCTTCCTGCAAGAAGTCAGATCTTTTTTTCTCTTACCAACGTTGTAGCTGCAGTTACCGTCAATCGCCTGATACGAGGCTGTTACGAAGGAATCGTAAACCCCATCTAGTTAGTCGAGGGGTTGCTCAGGGAGGGAGTTGATGAACATGACAAGTTCAGCGGCACGGTGCTGGAGCGACGTTTGTGAGCTTGCATTTGCAACTACGCTGGTATTGCTCGTGGGATGAGATTCCCCTGGCTTTGGAACTGCGACAATTCCACCACTTAGCTGCACTAAAGGCCTCCAGAGGGCATCACAGTCAATTCGCACCATTTGCCGGATCGTTGTCTCACAGGCTTTGCTTGTTTCGACATGAGCATCCCCCAAGAACGGCAGTATCATCGTTCCTACAGAAGGAACAAACCCTGCCAAGGAGCGGCCGCAAACACCTCTGTCGAAGAGTTTAGAGAAGCATGTCAACATGGCAACAATCAACAGCGTCTCCGAGGGTTGTCTCGGATGGATGTGGCCTGAGAAAGCCTGGCCATCTCGACGGGACTCCCGCAAATCAGAGCTATTGGTGACAAAATCGCCCAGCAACTCTCCCAAGAGCGGGAAAACATCATTTTGCATGCGACTGGCGATGAATTCCTTTGAGCATTCTGCCATGATGGCAATCAAATCGAAGAGCTTCGACAAGAATACCCGCTTAGTCGAAACATCCTCTGTCGCATAAAAAGTTGGAATCGCAGAGTGTCGTTGTGCAATGACGATCGACCTGGCTCGGGAAGCTCGTATCTCGCTAGTTAGAGCCACAAGACGAGCATGAATAGCTGGCCAGGCGTCATTCACTTGACGAAGAATAGCGGTGCCAGTTTTGTTTTCAGGGTCCTGATAGCAAAAAGCAAATGAAGACTGAGGAACAGGTGACGGCTGAGTCGATCCAAGTCGATCATACCTTGCATATCAACGCAACGATTGCCAGAAAGCGAAACCCCTCAGCCATGGCGGTGCAACTGTCAATTTGCAGCTTCAAGCTGTAATTGGAGAGGAAGAAAGTGCACCGGGAGACCAGCATGGAAACAAACCTGATTTCGTGGTTGCTCACAATGTCATGATTGTCTTTAGGATGTTCCTTTTGCTCCGTCCCTTGCTCCTCCCTATCGTTGCTATTGCGATATGCTTCGAAACCATCTTTCGGTGACAACACGTCACCTTCGAGCCCGTCGTTCACCTCGATCGGCACAGAATGCAGTGCACGAAAAGGCTCTAGCTGTTCCAGCCAAGGGTTTGGATCTGATGCATGAGATTTCTCCAAAGAGCGTCTAGCAGCGGACTCTTTGGTTCGGTATGCATGGTTCGCGAATCGAAACGCCGATTCATACGCATGCACGATGGTGAGGCTTTTGTCCGATTCGTGCGAGCCCTTGGATCCCAGACAATCGTATCTTTCGGTCAAAGTCATCACCAATTCAATAACATATGAAATGTTTTGACGATCAATGTACAAGATATCCCTGTCTTCCCTTTCCCCTGTCGCCCCACTTCCGCGAATGGCTAGTTCCAACATCATTTGTATAGTATGTGCAGTGTCAAAGATGTCAGAGTTCATTTTGCCCGCAGGAAAGGAAGAGACGCCTCCAGGAAGTCGGAGCTTGGCCAAAATGCTGGATGCAACCACGCTCATGTTTTCATTTATCATTCCTGCCATTGTCGTGTATCCAACAGAGATTGCCACAGATTCCAGAGCAGCGCGAGCACCCGCCCTGACGTATTCAGCCCTAGCGATTGTGGCCTTTTCAAACAGTGGAGGCAGAACCATGGCCAGCAAAGAGCTTGCTTCCACTCGAAGTAGTTCCGTGACTGTTTGGACAATCCCAATCAACCCATGAATCAAACAAGCGTTTCCCCTCAATGCACCGGCGGAAAAGGAGTCGTCAGTCAGTGCTAATGCACCGGGGCGATCGATCAAAGGTTGGTCTTGCTGCGGAGAATCCTTTAGTTCTGGTTCGGTCAAGGTTAAGTCCCACAAAGGCGAGCTCACAATGATGGGAAGTATGGATGTTGCCAGTGGACCGAGATATTTTGCCCTCTTATCCTTCTTTTTGGAAGAGGATGACGGGTCGACAGTGGCAAAACCACCTCTCAAAAGCTGTTGAATGATAGTCATGCAACCAACCCATGCATGACACCACGTGACTTGACTATGTCCACTTCGAGAGGTCCCGGCTTCCATCCGTGCAAGACAGTCGTTGAAGAGGTTTGCGACCATGGAATCTACCAGAATTGCAGTCTGTTTGGGCCCAAATAGTTTTCCAAGTTCCTGTAGCATTGCCATAGTCTCTCTTTCCGAGGCAGGAGTCAAGAATTTGCGACGAGGAGCCCTTGGACCCACGGCTTGCCTGTCCAATTCCCCGTCAACAAGGGTGATGATTGCAAATGAAGAGCGCTGTTCGCCAAGCGACTCAAAATCCAAATCCAACAAAGTGGACAAGGCTTGTTGCAAATTGAGAAAGACGCCTTCTGTAGCGAGCGAGGATCGCAAAATCTTGCTTTTCGAAGACGATGTTTTGCTGCTATTGTTGTTGTTGAGTGATACAAGAGCAGTGATTAGCTTCAACTTTTTTCTCAGTTCCACTTCCGACTGACGCTGCGCCAAGGCAGCAAGTTCTTCCAACATGGCCACTGTTTTGGGAGCCAGAAATGAATTCATGTCAAGCTTGAACTGTTTGTTGCGTTGATAGTCATTGAGAACTGATTGTGCCGCATTGGCTACACCCCGATCGTCATCCCTGGACAAAATCAAGGACGATTCCAATGATAGCATGCTCAAGTTTGTCTGTATTTCCTTGTCCCAACAGGCGCGTGCCTCCAGCAACAGGACACGGTACAGATCCGACGCTTCCCTCCTTACTTCTTCCTTTGGAGCCGTCAGGAGCAAATTGGCTAGCACCGTCAAGGGTCCTGGTAATCGATTGTTGACTGCTTCCAGAAAGGTTTCATTGGGATCATCTTTGTGTAGTGTCGTCGTTGTAGATTGTCCATTTTTGTTGCTGTTGGAATTGTCCCCCAGAATTTTCCTCGTGTTATTGTTGCCCGATTGTTGTTGTTGCTTTTGTGCGATGGATTTCTTCAAGTCTGACAAGGTGTTGACAGTACTAGTTTTCTGTTCCGGCAATGCATTGTCGGCTAGTGTCAACCTGAGAAGCCTCGTACATGCCTTGAGACTAGACACAATCACGACTGGCTTGGTCTGTGCCGTTTGGGTTTGCAGCGTCAAGCCCGACACCATGGTCCGAAACAGTCCCTGATCATGATCCATCCATCCATCCAACCAACAAACCAAATGATTTTGAGCATGTTGAAAAATATGAACAAGCAAGAGTTTACAGTGCCTCCTTTACTTACCGCAAACAACCCAGGGAATAGTGATCGCCATGCCAAAGGACTAGGGGATGCCTCCATGAGCTGCTCTAATGTCCTTAATGCTTGTTTCATGGTAGTGAAAGGAAATGTGGAAGGAGGGGCCACAATAGCAATGCAAACATCGGCGAGATGGGCCAGGAGAGCTCCATCCATGGCCGACGCCATTTCCTTGTCCTTGCTTATTTTTTCTCCATTCCCATTTGGTTGCAATATTCCCTCGGGCGCTCCCAGTCGCAACAAATACTCAATGGTGGTCAACACCGACTCCAAATAAAAATCCCCTGTATCCAAGCCCATGGTTGCTGATGATTGTTCGGATAATTCCCGTCCCGTAGGTAACGCCGAAGCACACGCCAGCAGTAGATTTTTGAGTTTGATCGGGGACAGACTGACGGATCCCTGTTCCATCCGTTCCAGACACAGCTGTAATGTCCGAGCCGCCACGGTACTGCTTTTTCGTTGTGCACTTTGTCGAATTTGTAGTAGTCGTCGCGTTGTTTCCACGACGGATTTTGGATCCACCACAGAGGAATATTGTTGTTGTCGTCGAAGAATGGCGACAATTGGAAGCGTAATGTAATCCATCAGGATGGCCAGGGATTCCACAAACAACGATGATGGATCGGATGATGATGACAATGATGACATGCCGATGGCGGCCAACGTCTGAGGAAAATCGACGACACGACGCTGTATCGTTTCGAGTAGCGTGGCCTCTTGACGCAACAATCCGAGAATCTCTTCTTCCTTATTATCCAACATGTCGTTATTTTTGTCTGCAATTTCCTGCTGTCGCTGCAGCAATGCCAACAGCTGGCGAATGGTGGGATCCAGTTGAAGAAACAAAAGCTTGCCCAACCGATCGCAACCATATTCCTCCTCTTTCAATGACATGGTTTTCTTCGCCGCGAGAACTGTTGTTACGCACAGCTCAAGTCGGATGTACTGTACAGTAGGTGAGACAAGAAATCCTCCACCCCTTCCACCCAAGCTTGGCTAACACTTGCAAGCAAACAAACAAGACAACAGGCGCAATGAAAGCTGCCGTAGTGGTGCCATTGCGCACGGCTGGCTGAGCTTTGCCTCCTATCCGAGCATTAACAAAACAACCAAGCATAACGCTTTACTAAATCGTTAAATCGCTCCGTGAGTAACAAGTGGGACTCAACGTTGTGTCGTGGATACTGGCTCCAACCCTTGGTCTTGGAAGATCTTCCTCACACTTTTACACTCTTGGGATCGTCATCAACCCAACTACCCTTCTAAATACCACACCGCCATGTTCTGGGCCTTTCTCTCTCGTCTTTTCCACATTGCGCAAGGTCGATTGGTGTACCTATTGGCACTTCTGGATATACCCATTGGTTACTTTGAGAAACAGCGATTTCAACTGCGACGCTTGCCGCATCCTCGCAACAATAACGACAATCACGAGAACACGAAGAAGGTGCTGTTAATTTCCTTTGCCGGCTCCACGTTTTTGGTGGGAGGTTTCCCGCGAGCTGAATTCCAAACAGTGCTCGAAAAGGCGGCAGAACGCTGTGGAGTAGCAGCAGATTGTTTGTTTCTAGTGGATCCGTCCGTCACATTCTACACCAAAAGCAGTAGCCACGCACAAAGAAGAAGCAAGAGATTTGGCACTTGGGAAGGATGGGACGAAGTGGTCGAGGATATCAACCAATTGATTGCAGCAGAAGGTTATGACAAAGTGGTGGCCGTCGGATCGAGCATGGGTGCAACGGCCATTTTGGCATTGGTGGGGCGGTTCCGTCGATGCGATACCGCCGTCGTGTTCAACCCCTTGGTAGACCTGGTCCACGAATCAAGGCTGGGATTCTATGTGGGAGGGCTGCGGCTGCCTCCTCACATCCGTCACAACTTGCCCGATATCATGGCCGAACAATGTCTCGCCAGCAGCAGACGAGGGACGAATGTGATGGTTCATTACTCTCAACACAGTCCCAAAGACATTGTCCAACTGCAGTATCTGCAAGATGCAATTCGGGCACGGCAAGAGAAGACTGACAGGGAAAGAGATGACAACATTCTGGACACCATTGGACACGATACTAGCAAGCATGTTCTGGCAAGAGAGCTCAAGAAAAGACAAGAACTGTTGCCTCTGTTGGAAGATGCGTTGAGGAAAACACTACTACTTCGAGAGCAGGACGATAAAAAGACGAAGCAGTAGAAAGCATTGCTAGCTTTGCAGACTCGACTCCAAAAAGACGAAACCGGGCTCTTGCGGAGACCAAAACATGGAGTGTTGCCGAAGGAGGTACCCCAGACCCCAGCCTTGCTGCCTCGCTCGGCACATCAGAACATCGATTGTGCCTCTTCTCTGCGTTGATTGAATTCCTTCGAACGAAGCCCTTGGATCAAGCAATCTTGAACGGCTTGTATTACCATAGCGCGAAGCGTCGTCGTTGCGGAGAAAGCACTGTTCCAGTCTTCCCCAGATAGAACAAGGGCCATAATTCTGGCCATTACGTCTCTGCTGCCCAGCTCCCGGTTTTAGGCTCGAAGGAACCGCCGAAACGACTCGACTCGACTCTCCCATGCGACTGGCAATGCAAGCTCAATGCATTAGGTATCGCCCCCAAACAGCCGATGCATTCTTGTGTGTGGTGGGAAGACTTCTTGTGCCAGAAAGCATTTATTTGGTGTGGGTTTGGTACTGTTGATTTAACATCATTCTTGGATAAACGATTCAATCTGTGTCTGCACCATTGGTGAATGATTCAATCTGTGTCTGCACCATGTTGGCATCTGCCTCCCCAATTCTCTCTGTTTCATTGACGGGAGACGGGAGAGGGTCCTGCAACTTGAAGGGGTGGGATGGCTCTAGTCCTTTGTGCAGGTCGAAGCTCGAAACTACTAGTAGAGGCTACAACATGTACTGTAGTTGCAACTTACTTGAGCAGGGGGGAAAACTTCTTTCTATGCTGCGAGCGAGAAAACAGAAAACAGGAGGACCTAAGTTATAAGTTCAGTTGACTTTTGAATGAGGTACCAATAACATCATCGTTTCTGCCAAATAGCTCGACTGAGTAGGTGCCTTATTGAATGGAGGCTAAACGCGGCGTTTAGCCTGGGCTATTGGAAAGAATGAACCTACGTTTCAGTCCTACAGTCTAATTCCAATGGAGCCTCCCGGACATTGCTTCCCCTATCACTTTCCAGCACCTTCCCTTGAAGCAATAGCCTAGACATTTATTGAACGAATCAATTTAGCTAGCTACTATTAGTAGTATAACTGGCTCTTGGGGCTGCGGCTGCGGTACAATGATACATGTTCTGGCTTTCGTTTCTCGTTGCGAAACGCTCCGGCTAGCTACTAGCTAGCTACCGTAGCTGGCCAGCCATAGCTCCAGCCATGGACTAACCAAGCATACCGCATACCGTACTTTACTAGACTCCTTCAATTGGCAACGGTGCTGCCCTGACTGCAGGACTGGAACTGGAGAGCAGAGTGGAACAACAAGAGATCGGTACCTGTACAGGTGGTTAGAGACATGTGCTTGCGGGCTCTTGCTGGCCAGAGCGTCACCAGCATACAGTTGCCACCGCTGCTGCCGCCCTAACTGGAAGTGACGAACTGAAGGGCAAGGGGGGTACCGAGCTCTAGCTAGAGAGTAGGTTGTGGTAGCTGCTGTGGTCACCATACGTACCGTGGACATCAGCTGCTCCGAATTCCTCTTTTTGTGGGTTCCTCTATCCTCTGCTAGCTAGTCGAGTAGTAGTCTACTACTAGTATGCTGCTATGCTGTGTGTAAGAAGTTGTTGGTGGTACTAGCTAGCTAGCTAGCTAGCTAGTACTGGTGTTGTACTGGTGGTTTTACGATTGTAGCTTACACGCGACGCTGCACGCTGGTATTGGTGTTGCACCGGTTATCGACACTTCCCCAATGGTACTACCATACTATCCAATCCGGCCGGGATGAATTAAAAGACGAAGGTAGTCTAACGTTCTGTGGATGACTCAAAACTGCTCTGGACCATGGAGCTCTGTAGAACTCCAAAGTCACAACTCACAAAGAAACTCCCTGGACTGTAAAGAAATGTCAAAGACATTTCTGCGCACCTGTTACACTTTCTTCAACTGCCACAGATAAATCCGAACTAAATGCCAAGACCTTAGAGACTTACAAGACAGACATAACTAAAACTATGACCACAGTGGATATAGATTCACGTTGACTGAAGGCATAGGAGTAGATCTCGTTAAGTATCGTCTCTTGTCCAAGATCACCTTTGAACCATGTTGTATCTTGGACCATCTCTTTTCTGCCGCCACATGCTCCGCTTCCTTGTGATCAAGTTAGTGCGGTATTGCGCTGGGACAATTGGCGAGAGGAAGAGAAAGAGCATCTTGGACAATGCATCTCAATTGCTTCTTGTGTAGCGCTGCACTCCGATCAAGTCCAGTCTGGTGAGATACCCGACCGTATGTTGAGGTTGAATAATCATCAACCGTCTTTGAAAAACATCAAGTGCTAGCTAGCTAGCGGCAAACTATCTCTCACAATTTATCCACAGCACAAAACGAAAACCACAAACTAACTAAAGTAAACATGTCCTCCTCACCACCATCCACACGATCCTGTCCTCCCTCCACTAGACGTCCCAGGCGCACCATGTCCGGAGAAGGTATGGCGGCCGTCAGACAAAAGTCGCGCCCATCTCTGGTTGCCATGTTCCAACGACCCCACACAGAGCCTTCGCCAAGTCGTTCCTCGTTTCGCCGTGCTTCGAGTATGCGAATGATGTTCGGTGGACGCAACAATAATAACGACAACAACAACAGTGAACAACAGGACCAAAGCTCCATGGAGCTCCATCTGGAAGACCTCAGCAACAGCAGTAGCAGCAACATCAACAACCAGTCTTTCTCTTCGTTGCACGGCAGCAGCAGTAGCAATCTTGGAGAATCCTCCTGCTCCTCCCGCCCAGAGAGACGTCGTCGTCGCCCCAAACGATCCGTCAGTGGACCCGTCCACCGATTGCCCAGTCGCTCCAAGTCGGGCAGTTTCATGATGTCGCCCTTTGGAAAGAATGACGCCGATACCAAGGCCATGGACGAACTGGATGTCTTGACCCGAGAGCTGGAACGCATGGCCAGTGCTCTGGAACGAGTGGATTGTCCCGAGAAGATCCTGCTCAAGCACATGGCCAAGCAAAACGCTGCATTCAATGTGGCGGCATGAAAAGCAGCTCCAGCCATGTGTAAAGCTCCTCTCCCTTCCCTCGTCCAATCATCCCAAACGGTGTGGCACTATATAGCTAGTATCACCAAAAGATAGAACATAATTCATACTAGCAACTTCCAAGAAGTGCACTGTCACAAAACATCATCAAGCTTAGCTAGAGATCATTTTGAAGGCAGGTGCTGGGGAGTGGCACAGCCGGGTTCACGGCCCACGGTTCCGGTAGCTAGGGCTTGGCTGATGCAGGCCTGGCCACGGTAGGTGTTGGAGAGGGGAAGCGGGTAGAGGTGCTTGAGTTGGTTTGCCCAAATCGAAGGTGCTGGGTCATGGTGTTGCCAGCCAAGAGCCTTACTAGCTAGCTAGTGTTGGTGGCATGTGGTTCTTGTTGTTTTGTGGCTGGGGCAGGAGCTAGCTAGCTAGCTAGCTAGCTAGCTAGTAGGTTACTATTGACATCTTATCCCAACTTTTGACTGTCACCATCCAATCCCACTCCCCAGGCCGGTGGTCAATAGGGGTCATCAAATCCACTCACTTCTTTGACTTTTTTCTTTCATTCAGGGGACGGGCCCCCGAAAGGAGAGGAGAAGAGGATGTAATAGCTGGGTATTCACTACATGGCTGGTTTGCTGCATCGTTCTTGGAGAGTTGTGAAGAAATCATTGATCTCTTTGGCACCTTTTTGTGTTGTGGTTGACATGCAGACATCTGGTTTCCTCTATGGGGATCCAATCCTCCTGCCTGTGCTGTCCTAATATGATAGCCTTTATGATAGAGCAGATTGTCACAAAGGATGATTGTGTTGGAAGTACATCTAGAGAAGCATTGCACAGCGATCAAACACAACTGTTCATCTGCTAGTCTTACTGAAGAAGTGGCCGTAATGACCTGACTTCCAGTCTATAATAATAATAATAATAATAGTAATATTTTGAATATTTGTTGCATAACACCCAGACCGGTAAGACACGTACAGGCTGAATCTAAACTATCAAGACAAACGCAAGCCCGCTCCCGGTAAGACATTCGAATGCGAACCAGAAACTCTTGGAACGTTCCTCGAAAAGACTTAAGGGATATATAGCCTCAACCCTAAACTCAACTGACATCACTCTCCGCCCCGATCGGCGAGCCACTCGTATGGTCCTCTTTCATTATTTCGATACCTCTATCTTTACTCTCTATTGACTCTATCAAGATGATGCTACTCCTCTATAGCGGCTACTCCTCTTAACAAAGGCTACTACTCACCACCATGACAGGCTCCTCTTGTTTGGTTGGTAGCGGCAGCGGCAGCCGTTCGAGCAATCGGCCGACGGATCGATTAGGTTGATGACTTCTTTCTTTTTCCACGGAGCAATCAATCAAAGCGACCATGCCTCCTATTCCACGGAGCGACGACTCCTCTACCGCTAATGCAACAACAACCGGCTACTACTAATGCAACAAGCGAAAGCGACACCTCGACAATGGCTCTGCTTCTTCGTTGCGGCGGATCGATTCGATTCTGTGTTCTTCCTCTTTCACCATCACGGAGCGACCATGAGGATCGCTCCCTCTTCCATGGAGCCACGGCCGTGTGTCTCGGCTTTGATACTACAACAGGAACAAGCGGCAGCTTCTCTACTACTGAATTGACTGGCCGATTGGCCACAAATGTGAAATCTTTGCTCATTATTTTGGACATCAAGTCAACAATTCTCCTTCGAAATTTTGAACTGGGTGCTCTAGTCTTCATGCAGAGCCACCCACTCCTCTACCATACTCTAGAGTGAAGATTGAGTGCTGAGAGTGAGGACTGGAGCACCTTTCTCATGGAGAAATCCATGGCAGAATGACAACAAAATGGAATCCAAGCCTGATTTTTCATAGATGCTCCATAGGAAACCTTGGAGTTGATCAACTCTTTTCAAGGGGAGTGTCTGTGAGTGTATTGGTGAGCTACTGCTAGCAAAGAATTGATCAGATCAATGTGTTGCTAAAGCTAATGGCCATTTGGTCAACTCTGTTGCCATGGTGGTAAAATTCATTTTATTTGCTTCAATCTTTTCTTTCTAGGAAATATTCATTGCTATGCAGGATTCGCGAAATGACCTTTTTTGTCAGAAATGACAGCTTCCGATTTTGGTTTGGCCAAAACGAGAATTCATTTTGACACCTGTCAGGGGTGAAAAAAGTCATCCTGTACCGTCCAACAAATGGAATCATTCCACTCAACATTGTGTTAATAAAAAGAAGCACACTTAGTGGTTGTTTCAAAAAGGGAAATTTTCCGAATTGGAATGTACATGCCTTGATAAAATTTCTAATATGGTGACCCTGGTCTAGTTTGCAAGGGAAATTTTCACTTTGGCAAGTTCAGTTTGGCTGTAGATTGGGAACTCTCTCAGTTGCAAATTCAAATGGGAATCAAAGTCTAGATAGAGGCTATGTTTCTAATGTTCTACATAGTTGCCAATTCAGACCCTTTCAAATCTATTACTCTATCTAGTTCATAATCTATTATCATGCGCTCCAAGTACATTCACCGAGTTCTTGATCACTTCGCGAATCCAACAAGTTGAGGACTTCTGCATGCTGGAAAATTATCAGCAAGGACACAGTGATCACCAACCAAACACAAGGAAATAATAAGGAGGGATGAATCTAATATGAGATTCCACTCTCTTTTTGTGTGTTGTTATGTAGCCTGCCCTCATATCCAGTTGACAACTGTTGTTATTATGACACCATTCAGCGGTTCGTCTAATGAAATGCAGCCTAAACAATAAAACTTCTTTATTTTTTACTACTGTTGCCATTAATTGGATTGACAAGACGAGTTTGGACTTGGCCACTCAACTCGATAGGTTGGATTGTCACTCTAGGCAGCTAGCAAGAGTGCTTGGTATTGTGGCGCTGTTAATAATAACTGTCCTACCACCGTACTCTAACCCCGTCTCCGTGTTTGGACTGTGGATGTTGTGTTTGGCTTGGCGTCTGCCAAAGCAAGAACTAGTACCCATTCAGGCACCCACATACAATTGGATGCTTTCATCAGACAGCTCAGACAGCTGAGCTTGGTGGAACCAAGATCATATTTCATCTGGAACCTTTGAACAGAACATTATGCAGAAAATTGTTTCCAAAGTGAGAGATGTGTAGATGCCGATTTTGCTCACCCTACCAGAGATGCAAATTTTGTGCGACTTGAGAATTTTCTGCCACCGACATGCGCCCTAGAGCTGCAGATTTCTGACGCCAAAAAACCGATACCGACAAAGTATATTTTCTGCCGCCGAAGTGCGCACCCTAGAGGTGCAGAATTCTGACGCCAACAAACTGACAGGGACGAAATCACCCTAGAGGTGCGGAATTTCTGCCGCCGAGGTGCACGCCCTAGAGGTGCAGAATTCTGACGCCAACAAACTACCTCCGACGGAGTCGCCCTAGAGGTGCGGAATTTCTGCCGCCGAGGTGACGCGCCTAGAGGTGCAGAATTCTGACGCCAAAAACTGACGCCGACGGAGTCGCCCTAGAGGTGCGCAATTTTCTGCACCGAGGTGCGCGACTAGAGGTGCAGAATTTGACGCCAACAAACTACCTCCGACGAGTCGCCCTAGAGGTGGGCAATTTTCTGCCGCCGAGGTGCGCGCACTAGAGGTGCAGAATTCTGACGCCAACAAAACTGAGGCCGACGGAGTCGCTCTAGAGGTGCGAAATTTTCTGCCGCCCTAGAGGTGCTGAATTCTGACGCCAACAAACTGACGCCAACGGAGTCGCCTTAGAGGTGCGAAATTTTCTGCCGCCGAGGTGCGCGCCCTAGAGGTGCAGAATCTGACGCCAACAAACTGACGCCGACGGAGTCGCCCTAGAGGTGCGCAATTTTCTGCACCGAGGTGCGCGTACTAGAGGTGCAGAATTCTGACGCAACAAACTACCTCCGACGGAGTCGCCCTAGAGGCGCGCAATTTTCTGCCGCCGAGGTGCGCGCGCACTAGAGGTGCAGAATTCTGACGCCAACAAAACTGAGGCTGACGGAGTCGCTCTAGAGGTGCGAAATTTTCTGCCGCCCTAGAGGTGCTGAATTCTGACGCCAACAAACTGACGCCAACAGAGTCGCCTAGAGGTGCGAAATTTTCTGCCGCCGAGGTGCGCCCTAGAGGTGCAGAATTCTGACGCCAACAAACTGACGCCGAGAGTCGCCCTACTAGAGGTGCAGAGTTTTCTGCCGCCGAGGTGCGCGCCTATCTCTCTCTTTCC